GGAAGATTAAGACGTGAGAGTGCTATGAACACAGTTGCAGGAAGCTCCAAAACTACTTCACGAGGAAATCGTAAAAAACAGTCGTTTCAGGCAACTCTAACAGATACAATGGTTGGGTTCAGAGAGTTTCAATGCCAAAGCTTACAACAAATGCGCCCAAATTCTTTTGATCAAGAAGATTATGATGAATACGACAAGGCTGTCAAGATGTTTGAATCACTGGAGGTTCAGTACACTGGATTTTATTGGGCATGCTTACAATCATTGAAAGATGAAAGATTTTGGCGAAGACATTTCATTGACAGAGCTGAAAACATTGTCGAAGATAAGCTACAATTTTTGCAAGCTTTGAGTGGATATACACAAGACGGCGAATTTGTTGGAAAAAAACTTGTCTCAGGTCAAAACAGCGGAAGTCCAAATTTTGGTGGTTTTGTTTCTAATAGTCCACCTTTCGGCGGTAATAATTCGTGGGGTCAAACTTCAGGAGGACAATGGGGTTATGGTTCTCATCACTGGGGTACACCTCCAAATCTTCAACAATGGGGTACTCCTCCAAATGCTCAACAGTGGGGTACTCCTCCAAATGCTCAACAGTGGGGTACACCTCCAAATGCTCAACGATGGGGTACTCCTCCAAATGCTCAACAATGGGGTACACCTCCGAATCCTCAACAGTGGGGTACTCCTCCAAATACTCAACAGTGGGGTTCATCATCAAATATTCCACAATGGGGCCCTACATCAAATGTTCAGCAATAGGGTTCATCATCGAGTGGTCCACAAAGAAACACCCCTCCAAATGCTCAGCAATGGGGTTCATCATTACATGGTCCACAATGGAGTTCACCGCAAAATGCTCAGCCATGGAGTTCATCTTCGAATGCTCAACAATGGGGGTCATCAACTAATTCTGGTCAATGGGATTTATCACCAAACAACCAACAATGCGACTTATCACCAAATGGTGAACGTTGGATTCCTCAGACAAACATTCAACATGGATTTTCATTAAGAAATGAAGTAGAAACTACAATGAGTGGTGAGCTAGGAGTTTCAAAAGAAGCAGAAGTTCGTATTTCCGAAAACATTGAGAGAGGAGTATCACCAGAATTTGGTTTCACGGATTATTCAGGAGGTGCAGAAATACACAGAGCAAGAATGCGTAGAGTGGAAGGGTTATTCAATATTTGGGGAAATAAACAAGGGCCAAACTTAAATGAGAGTCATCACAGTGATTCAGGAGCTGAAGATTAGTTTAGTAGCGTTTATATTTTGTCATTAGCAGTTATGAAAAAATAATGTAATATTTTTATAATATTGAATATCTGTTACTCACTTTGTTTCTTATTATTTGATGTTTTTGATTTTTTATGGTGTTTCTTATTATTTGATTTTGTTAGATTATTCAATGTACTTTTTGACAATAAATGCAACAAAATGTTCCTTATTATTGGTTGATAGCTATTTAAAAAAAAAAGTAATACATCAAAAGTGAAGCATTAATTGTTTCTTAATCAATATGAAAACTCTAAACATCAAATAATAAGGAACGGAAGGAGTATGTTTTTGTGAACATTGTACATTTTTCTTGTCAATTGGATTTACAATTTCTCTTGTTTTTACAATTTTTCAGGCTTTTCGTATATGTGAGTTACGGTCATATGGTCTCCACAATCTAAGCTACGAGGAGAGAATTGAGTTGTGGAATTTGGAAAATGAGCAATTTGAAGAATTAATAATCCAACCATCATTAAGTTACTACAATCGATATATTGAAAGAGGGCCGGTCCAAACTGATGGAGGTTTGGGATGGAGAAATATTTGGCGTCGATTACAGGAAGATGATGCTGCTTGTCTTCAATTATTACGGATGTCGATTGGTGCTTTCAGAACATTATGCGATAAACTGCAAACGAGTTATGGTCTACAACCAACATTGAATGTAGGCATTGAAGAGAGCGTCGCCATGTTTCTACGAATATGTGGGCATAACGAAGTTCAAAGAGATGTTGGATTAAGATTTGGACGAACACAAGAGACAGTAAATAGAAAGTTTTTTGAAGTGCTAAAAGCGACAGAGTTTCTTGCTTGTGATTATATTAGAACTCCAACAACACAAGAACTACGACGGATTCCTGAACGGCTAGTAACAGATAAAAGATATTGGCCATATTTTAGTGGATTTGTTGGCGCCATGGATGGAGTTCATGTCTGCGTTAAAGTGAAGCCTGAAGTACAAGGAATGTATTGGAACCGGCACAATATAACATCATTTAATATAATGGCGATATGTGATCTAAATATGTTATTCACATATATTGGAATGGAGCACCTGGTTCATGTCATGATACCGCAGTTCTCACAGCGGCGCAAGAAAGTGATGGTGATTTTCCTTTACCTCCGCCAGAAAAGTATTACCTAGTCGATTCGGGTTATCCAAATAAACAAGGTTTTTTGGCTCCTTATATCTTCACGAAATGTGGTTGTTCGGTATCATATGTCACAGTTCGAAAGTGGTCCTCCTCCTAGAAACAAGCAAGAGTTGTTTAATCGATACCATGCATCTTTACGCTATGTTATTGAAAGGACTTTTGGAGTTTGGAAAAAGAAATGGAGGATTCTTTGTGAATTTCCTAGATACAATATGGAAATGCAAAAAAGAGTGGTAATGGCGACAATGGGACTACATAATTTTATTAGAGTTTCAAATTTTTCAGATGAAGATTTTGCTGATGTAATGGGAGAAACAGAGACTGACAACACAAACTCTTTGGTAGAACCAGGTGATATGGCAGAAGCGGAAATAGGAGAAGGAAATTTTATGAATAATATCAGAGAGCATATTGCAAATACATTATGGGCAGATAAAAACACTCCACATTAAATTTTGTTCAATGTTGTAATGAATTTTAAATTGAAGTTGTATTTGAAGTTTTCTATAATTGGTTATTTAAAAAAATGTTACATACTTATTTGTTTTTTTTTTGTTTTTGTCTTTTTTTTTTATTAAATATTTAAAATATTTTTAGAATTATTTCATCTGTTTATTTAGTATGAACTGTATTTATTTTGTATATTTTAAATGAACTGTATTTTTTCTGTGTAAACTGCATATTTTCTTTGAACTGCAAATTTTGGACTGGATCCATTCGAAGCCTAAAAGTCAAATGTGATAACAACTTAATTTACCCTCTTATCAATCAATCAATCTTTTTCTGGAAAACAATTATTTTAATTGGTATTCTGGAATATTCCTCTACCTATAAAAAAAGCCATGCATGTATTGAAACTTTTTCTTTTTGGTCGACTATTGAAACTTACCCCATATGTTTTCCTTGATACCTCCACACCATGCATATTCTCTCTCACTCAGAGCTCGAAAGCATTTCAAAAACCTTTTTAATTAGACTAAATTCTTATTCATTTTATTTGTGAGTTCATAAGAAAAACCTTTTCCATTCCTTAGTTGTTTTATTTAATAATGTAACCCAGTTACTAAAAGTTAAGTCATCTAACGATGAGTTATATAGCATACCTACAAATGATTATGGTCAAATTTGCTTTGTTGACATTATTTATAGTATTAGCAATTCGAAAAGAGATAGTTTTCGGTTAACTGCAATGGTATACTGTTTCAAATGTATGTGCCACATGTTCAGGAAGTTAGTAAAAACAAAATGAGATATTTCATTCAGAATAATATAAGAATGTTATTTACAATTTTTGAGGATAGTCATTTATAAAAATGTTGGTGAATTTGCGACGCAGTCGAACACTTTCAATATTATTCAGCTTACATTCTTTTTGGTTTTTACGTTTTCGTTTCGTTTGTGTTTCCATTTAAATTATATATTTTTTTTTTATAAAGGCCATAAAATATAATTCTTGGCCACTATTGACAACGAACAAAACATAAATAAATATCTTCGCCCACCAATAGGAATGAACATACTTGGATTTACAATGGACGGTGCAAAAATCCAACTGGTCGAAACAATAGCGACCATATATATGTTTTTAAAGAGAAAAAAATAATCAGATAATCAGATAAGTTAACAAATCTCATGTAGTATGTATATGCATACGTAATGATTTAATGAAAACAAAGGGAGGGAATGGGCTAATTTGTAGGCAAGAAAAGTGGTGAAAGTACGATGGAACAAAGAAGCAAAGTGATATTCATTTGTTATTTATCTTTTGGAAATTTAAATCTATGTCCTTTGTTTTTGGGACATTATCTTACATCCATTTCAATTCCCTCAACCTTTCGGCCGTTTCTATACCCCATTTGTTCTACAATATAGAGCTTATTTATTTATGAAGCGCCTACAATTTAAAAAATATAGTTGGACCTGTTTACACCATGTGAATAACGTAATAGAAACTATAAATAATTTCATAAGATTTTTTTGAAAAGATGGGTCTTGTCATATACAATATTATCAAAGGCAGTGAGATATCGATTCCTAATATTGCATGTCAAATCCCCTTTCTGAAATTGTGAATAGATCCTATAGACATGAAACTGAATTGACAAGATATCGAAAATATCGAAAATATCGAAAATATTACATCGACATTATATAGTTTTACTATACATTATTTTAAAATGTCATCTAAGGACTAAGGGTAATGCATTTTAACAATGGGCAAACATTGAACATGTTCAGGTCCAGTGTTTGAGGTTCATAAGTCAAAGTGGGTCTACTTGCGCTGATCAGATACAATGCTATGGTCCTGTGGGTGCTGAAAACCACACTCGAAATTTATAGGTTTTGCAAGGAAGAAACTTAGGGAGATTTAGGGCTAGATTTTGATGTAAGTCGAATGAATCGTAAGCAAGGATTTGGCTAAAACGGATATGTATTAATCGAATGAAAATGGTTACAATGAATTCTCAGAAGAGAGAAAGAACTAAACTCAAAGGAAAATACAAGAAAATATGATAGTAATTAGGTCTCAAATGATCGGGAGAAGGTCCTTTGATCCGACTGCTTTCAAGCTCCTTTTATAGCTCCAGAATCAGCTACGATCCACCTCCGCGTATCTCGCCACGTGCAGCTAACGATCCCGGTGATCTCGGACCAGACCGGATTTGAAGGAGATCTTCTTTGACTTCGTCTTTCTTCGCAGTGCCGACCTGGTCCTTGATCGAGCTGGAGCTCGTCTTTACGTCGACCGGAATAGCTCGGATGGCAGTTAACTGGCTTACGATGGAGTTGCTTGGTGGGCTCGAGGTCTTCTTGCTGGGCTTGAGTGGGCCTGGACTTCAATCTTGGATCAAGGTAATGGGCCCTTACGGGCTAGATTCCAGGTGTGGAATCTGGGTCCAACAGGCCTATAATATACAATCTTATTTACTTCATTTCCTGATTTGTTTAAGAAAAAAATGAAAAATGGAACATTTTATAATTTTCGCAGTTACTTTTCTTGTTATATAATAGTGTAGTTGCTTCCTTTTGTTTAGTTCTCAATGTTTTTCTTTCAAATGATAGACAAGAGAGCTCGTATCCGACACATATAGCGATGTGTCTATATGTGAAGAAACTCAAGATATTAATTTGTTAAGAGCCACGGGAGTTTGAGAGTATTGCAAATAGGATACGAACTCATGAGTCATGCCGTCCTGGTTGGTTGTAACTTGCAGATTTAAGGAAAATATATGTAGAAATTGAACATGTAGAAAGTGATGAAAGGGAATCAGTCATTGCGTAGAAATTGAACCAACATCAAACATTTTGTGTGTAAGACCTTATTTCAGGAATGCAACATTTCATTACCAAGGCCTTATTATTTACACCAAAATGGACCAAATGCAGAAAAAGACAATTCTTTTTAGTACGCAACCGCAATAATCTATCTTTCGAACTCAAATCAGGAAGACATGTTCCAATCAGCGAGTTTTGACATTTAGGTCCATAAAGAGGCACTTCGAGGCAAATAGGGTTTTGTGAGAGGATGGCAGTTTCGGACGGTATTTAAAGCTCTTCGGCTATGTTGAGACGACGGCAGTTTCGGAATGGTCTTTTTATTTTTTGAGAAACGTATTATTAAGCTTATAAAACCGGAGACCATATGTACCTCTCTGTGTGAATGCTACTGCCAATGACTGCTTCGCTTTGGTGTTTGATTCAGTTCTCTGTTTCGTGCTCTCTTCTCAATGTTTCTCTGCTTTACAGTCTTGTTTATGTTTTCTGATCATATGAGCTCATGAATATGAAGTATGAACACATTCGAAAACCGGTGAAACACTAAAATCTTGCAATCTAACCAAACCAATACAAATATGAAGTGGATCGAACAGATATCTCCAGAGTTGATAAGTTTTGGATTGGTCAAGACAGAAGTCGATTAATAGATTCAATAACCCAATGGGTTCTAACAGACCACAAAGCCTAGAATGCACATTCTATCTCTAGATTCTATAAAAGAAAATAAACCAATATTAGGAAACAAAATCCCCAAAAAATCTGTCTCAGTATCTCCTTCTTTTCTCAATATTTGGTTTGGGTTAGGTTTAGCCGTTTAGGAGAAGGGGATGTGAGTTATAACGTGGGGTTTGGTTTAGATTGTAGGGTTTATATTGATGAGTGTAAGGTTTATTTTCAGTTTTTGATGCATTTTAAAAAATTGGAATACATTAACATTGCCGATTTAATATAAAAACAATAACAACTACATTTAAAAAAATTAAACCATAAAAGCAAAAATTGTAATGAGAAGGTGAAGATGATAAAAAAATTGAAACGTAAAGAAGATAACAAATAAAATCAGAAAGAGAAGACAATCAAATAAGATAAAATCGTTAAAATCGTTGGAGTTTAAATTGTTCTTTCAAGAAAATATATTTGAAATAACTGAAATGGTTTTGTCCACTATATCCAGAGAATAAAAATCATGAAAACTTTGAAAAGAACAAAAATATATGAAACTAATTATTGTATAATTTAAAAAAGCTAAAATATATGGTTTGATTTGAATATATAGATTATTCTTGAGACCATATTTTGATAGTATTATTTTTTTTTCCATTTTGTTAAAACAGAGCACTAAGAGATGGTGAAGAAGCATATGCTCTATTTGTGTTTGCCTTTTTGTTTATTGCTTTCTTTTGGGCACCTTGTCTTTGTTGAGGAGTTGATGATAAGTTGACTTGAAATGTATTCTCTGTTGCGACGAAAACATTACCACAGTTTGCGCAAAGTATGACCTTGTCAAGAACTCAAGATAATGCTCCTTCACATATTCCCCTCTCGTCTTGCATCCACTGCACATTGTCCAAAAAGTAACCGCTGGCATAGACTTAGACTTAGCCTTAGGTTTATCACTACTAGCCTTACCACTAGAAGAAGCTCGCTTGATTTGGTACTGGTTTTTAGTTAGTTACATTTAAATGAAATTTTCCAGTTTTTCGTTAGTTAGGGTATATGTGTAATATAAAAAAAAAAAACATCCCCCAAAATATAAAAAAAAAGGTATAGATCATCAAATATATAGTCAAAACATCCTTTATTTATTTCCAATTTTACCAAAAAAATATGTAGGTGAAAAAAAAAAGTCTAAAGATCTTGTAGACTCGCTGTAGTGAGGCATATGTTCGTTACTTTTCCATTGTGAAATTCAGATACAAAACTCTACAAGTGTCATTACAGTTTTGTATCTGAATTTGTTGTACCTTTAATTTGGGCATATTCAACTCTACAAAAGTCATTGTAGTTTCTTCTCTGCAAAACTGAGTCAATTTTACAGAAAACTGAAATATGACTTTTATGAGGCAAGGCTGATTTTCTGTTCTATGGAGTAGGAACTTCAACCAGAAGCTCGTCGTCTTCCTCTTCCGAACCATCAATCTCCTAGAGAAAATATATACAACAAAATTTTAATCGATCAATTCCACACAATGAGTCTTGCAATGTTTCGTAAAAGTCTCCTCTCATTTCAATGTATCTGAGTCATACCTTTCTGTCGTCAGCCAAGAGATTTCTTTGGTTTGAATTGTTTCTGAGTTCGCTTAATGTGTCTCCAGGAAGACATGTTCCAATCGGCGAATTTAGAACTTTTGCTATTTAGGTCCATAACATACAATCAGTGACTTCTCTCCTGTCCAAAACTTATCAACTCTCGAGGTATTTGTTCATTCCACTTCATATTTGTATTATCGGTTAGATTGACTGTTTTTCAAATGTGTTCATATTCATAAGCTCATAGGATCAGAAACATAAACAAGACTGGTAAAGCAGAGAAGCATTGAGAAGAAGAGACCAAGAAGAAATAGAGAATTGAATCAAACACCAAAGCGAAGCAGTCAATGGCAGCATCATTCAGACAGACAAGTACATATGATGGTCTCCGGTTTTATAAGCTTAATAATACGTTTCTCAAAAATTAAAAAGACCATTCTGAAACTGCCGTCGTCTCAACATAGGCGAAGAGCTTAAATACCGTCTGAAACTGCCATCGTCTCACAAACCCCCCAAAACCCTATCTGCCTCGAAGCGCCTGTTCACATTTCACACCTCAGATAAATCAGTCATGCAAGAACAAAAAAAGCCCATCGATATAACAAGTAGAGTGGTTTAGTTTCATACCCTCCAGAGAATAGGGAGCCACAGATTAGTGCTTAATACCGGGGCCTTGGAGGCCTAGCCTGAGCTTCCGAGACTCTTATTTGTCTGCCGTCCAAATCCTACATAGCCACATCGTGAACAGCTTATCAAGTAAGAGTTTTGTTCGAATTGATTGCCTTGTAAGAGTAAAGAGAGGAAATGATACTTACAGCACCATCCAACTTCTTGATGGCGTTTTGGACCTCTTCAGCAGAGTTGTAAGTGACAAACCCGAAACCCTTGGATCGACCATTGTCCCTGTCGTAGATGACTCTGGCCTCAACGACCTTTCCTTGCTCCGCGAACAAACTCTCAAGAGCCATGTCATCCACTTCCCAAGATAGGTTCCCCACGTAGCAACGGTTTCCTGAACCAGCAGACCCACCACCACCTCCACCGTATCCTGAACCTGAGCTTCCAAAGCTACTCCTAGGTCCTCTGGAGAAGCCATCTTCCCTCTTTGGTGGAGGTGGACCAGCGTTCACTCTCAACGGTCTACCATCCAACTCCTGCAAATTTCACATCAAAACGATTTATCATTAACTAAAGAAACAACAAGCTTCCACAATAAGAGCCACAACACAGAGGATAAGGTATCATCTTAAGACTTAAAAAGTCTTAATTTGCAAGATACTAGATGCAGCTTATCACTGTAATCAAGAACACTACAAACACATTTAAGAATCCACCAAAAGACCGATTCTCTCATCTGGAAATGAATACAAACGCACAAAAACGCTAATTCACAAATAAATAAGTCAAAACACAAACGCATACCAACAAGAAAGGGCTCATCAACATTTCACAGCAACAATGGAAGAATAGAGTAAGAGTAGAGTAAGTATCTGCTTACATAGCCATTGAACTGCTGAGCAGCAGCCTCAACTTCAGAGACTGAGGACATGGTCACGAATCCGAATCCTCTGCTTCGTCCTGTCACTTTGTCATAGATTACCTAAAACAATAACCAACAAAAACGACTCATTTCAACAACAACAAAACTATCCTTATCTCTTCTCGAATTCTTAAGGAGGACAATTTAGTCTATATCTCACAAAATTCGACATCAAATCAATCAGCAAAATGGGAATTGCGACGAATTCGTACCTCAACAATCTCGACGTTTCCGGCGCTCTCGAAGAGCTGAGCGAGCTGAGCACTGTCGACGTTAAAAGGGAGGTTACCGACGAAGAGTTTGAGGTCAGCAGAGAAGGATTGCTGCTGAGGAGGCGCCGCGTCGTCGGCGAAAATGCCACCTTCTTCCACCTCGAATTCCTCAACCGCGACGTTACGGACGAAGCGAGACGAGGCGGAGCTCCATTTCGCGGCGGGGGAGGCGAAGATTGAGACGGAGACGGACTCGGAATTGAGCTTGAAGGAGACGGAAGGAGGTAAGAGGGAGGCGGAGGCGGGTCTGGAGACGCAGAAAGGAAGGGATTTAGGGTTGAAGGTGGAGAGAGCGAGAGATGAAGCGGAAGCAGCCATGGGCGAAGAGATAAGGTGTGTTAGGGGTTTTTGGGTGAGATTTGAGAGTGGAGATAAGATGCAGTGTGTTTGCTATTTATGGGCGAAAAAATGAGAAATGTTTACACAATTATCTCATACCTGATTTTTATTTATATTTTTTACCTGAAACTATTTTTTTGTTGCTAAATATCCTAATTTTCTGATTCTTTTGATTATGTACAAACAGTATATAAATTTTGTGTCCAATTTAGTTGTGTGAAAAAAGTTTAGCTTTTTTTTTGGGGTTTTTTCCATAGATTTGAGCGAACCTGCAAGGATTTTTGTGATCAAAGGTCATATATTTAACACCATATGCATATGTTTGTCTAAACTGATTTTATGTTCATAATTTTATTTCAGAGCTTAAACCATGAAGGTGCTTTTTTTTCTCAATTGAATTAGTTTTGTTTGGTTTTCATTTTATTGGTTGGTTTAATAACTACTTGTCATAATTTGAAGTGAAGTGATGGAAGAAGATGTGATCTGAGCCGTCCAACTTTTGGATGGACAGTGGAGATGGCACGTCTCGTGTTAAGGCAAAAAAATCTGCGAGAAGATAAGATATTTAACTAACAGCCAATAAAGGTCTCCTTCAACTTGCTCCAACAAAGGGAAAAAAAAAAGCTGAAAATCATCTTCAAAATATCTTTCAAGTTTCAACTATAAAATGACTTCATAAACCCAAATTAAATCATGGTGGTTAAAAAAAGGGTACTAAATCAGAAAACGATACAGTTTCTACCAAATACGGCACTGATCATACAAACGCCTCCTTCAAAATCAAAGTTTCAAAAAAAGGATTTATTTGAATAACAACAACAGATAACTGAAGTTCTTGAACTAACCAATGCAAGAGAAAAAAACAAAACCAACTTCTTTTAAGCTTTTATAGAGAGACTGTGCTCTGTTTCTTCTCGTTCTTGCTTCCTAGTCCCTTTTTCATCATTCTAGAAAGCACATCGGCTTGCTTTGTATTCCCTTCCTGGTTTAAGCTCTTGATCAGCTCATCACAGCTCTTCCAATCACTCACACCACTTCCTTTCCCCATGATCTTACACAGAACCGAGTACGCATTCAGAGTCTTCCCAGCTCCCAAAAGCGCATCCAAAACCTTATCATAGCTCGAAAACTCCAAGCTAAGATCCCTCTCCAACCCGAAATCCAACAGCTTCAACGCCGCAATCGTCTTCCCTTTCTCGCTCACGACAGACAAAAGCCTGTCCAAATCAACCGAGTGTCCGTTCTGATTCAGAAGATCTATACGCCCCAGGGCTTCCTCAACGTGCCCTCTCATCAACAGAGCTTCCAAGATCTTCCCAACCAAATCCATATTCTCTTCCACGCCAACGTTTTTATCAATCATGATCATCATCACACGGCTCGCGGTCTGCACCCTACCGTCCTCGAACAAACTCTCAATCACTGACCTGAACAGCGACGAATCCGGAACATGCCCGTCTTCAATCATACTATCAAGCGCGGTTTTCGCGTCACCAGGCTCTCCTTTGCTCATGTAGCTCTTGATAAGCAGCTCGTACGCATTCGCTTCTCTAGGCACTTTCCTCCTCGACATTATCTTCAAAATCTCGTAACTCGAATCCGGGTTTCCTTCCTTCGCATGTCCACGGATCAGATTGTTCAACGCCTCTTGATCTTGCACACCTCTCTTCATCAGCTGCCTGAACAGCACTTCCGCTTTCGACGTCTGTCCATTGTCACACAAGTACTCTATAATCGGGATAAACGCGGTTGGCTCCATCTCCAACGTATCCTGATGCCTCAATATGATTTCTTTCTCAACAAGAACATCTAAAAGCTTGATCGCACGATTATACGCATTAGCCTTGCATTGATTCTCTATCAACACCCCGTAGTGTCCAGCTTCCGCTGGAACGTTCAGTGTGGCCATGGCTTTAAGCACCTCAGTAGCTGCAGCCATATCCCCAGCTTTGCTCTGAGAGACCAAAAGCTTGAGGAAGATGGAGTTATCTTTCGGAGCAATGTGTCTTGCCATCATACTCTTCAACACATTCTTAGCCTCCACCATCTTCCCTGCATCACACAAGCCAGGCAACAACGTGGAGTACGTAGTAGCATTAGCCTCAACACCAGAAGATCTCATCTCCTCAAACACTCTCAACGCATCATCAACTCTTCCTTCAGCAAGATACCCTTTAATCATCGTCGTGTAGCTCACAACGCTAGGCTCAATGTTCTTCCCTTTCATCTCCACAAACATCTTCTCCGCCTCGTCCATCTTCTTAAACCTGCAATAACCATTGATCATAGTGTTGTACGTAACAACATCCGGCGAGATCCCTCTACTGATCATATCTTCGTAAAACCTCAAAGCAGTCTCAAGCCTCAGAGACAAAAAGAATCCCCACAGCATTAGATTGTAAGTGTGCCTTGTTGGCTCTATACCTTCACCAACCATCTTATTGAAATACCGTTTCGCCATCATATACCTCCCACGCCTGAGAATCACTTTAAACAGAGTATCATACGACTTAATCGTCCTCTCAACACCCATTTCCTTCATCTTCTGGAAGATTTTAACAGACTCCTGAACGATTCCGGCTTTGCCATAGCTCTCGATGAGCACCACGAACATGTCCTCATCCCAAGGAAGCCCCTTTTCAGGCATGTCCAATAGAATGCAACGAGCGTGATTGAGCTTCTGGGCTTGCCCCAGCATCTCGATCATTTTCATGTGGGTCTCTTTATCGTGGCGAATCAATCCGGATCTCTCCGTCCACCGGAAGAATTGGAGAGCGTGATCGAGTTTCTTGGCGCCGTGCAAGACGTTGTAGACGAGAGAGTGATCCCATTCGGGTACGAGATCTCGGATCGAGTTCTGTAATCGGGTCGTCCAATCGCGGCTATTCATCATTCTACATATTGTATCCTCTAGCTTTTCATGGTTTTGACGCTTACCTCGTTGGGATCTCTCCCTGAGCGGCCTCCCCACCGTTACCGTTGACGAGCCCAGATTTTCCGTATCGGGTTTTGCAGCTAAGGGAGTCTCTGGGTTTGCAGCATCGATCGTCTCGGGTTTAGCAGCATCGGTGGATTGGATTTCTGGGTTTGCGACTGGGTTCTGGATTTCTTCAATCGAGCTGAATAAACGGGAGAATGAGAGGAAAGACGACGAGTCTGACGATCTGGGAAGCGAGTGATAAACCCTAGCTCTCCACTGAAAGGGTTTAGATCTGGAAATGAAAGCCATTTCAGCAGATGAATTCCCGAAAACTTTCGTCTATAAAATGAGAATCTTTGTTTCCGAATTTCTGTCAATTTCAATCCACATGAAATAGCTACTGAGAAGAAGAAAGACAGCAGGAGTTTTAGTGCAGAGTAGGGTTTAGGGAGGAAATGGAATCCTGGATCCAAGATCTTCTCCGGGTCGGGTATTGCTTGAACTTTGAATCCGGGCCGTTTATCGTTACAATCCGGGCCTGGTTCGAGTACATAATAAATGGGCCCTAACAGTTAGAGCTTTTAGAAGTCAAAGACGAACAGATATTTAGCCCCTAAATCCTGGAGGGAAATGTTGTTTTATCAGACAACTTACTTCGGAGCAGAAACTGTTTCTTATCAGACAAATCTGCGAAAAAACTGAACGACAAAGAGATTTCCCGAAAGGAACGTTTTAATTATTGTACAAAAAACAAAAGTATATGATTATGGACACATCTTCTTCTATGCGAGTTGTATGAATATATGCGTCAGCATTTTGATTCTTTGTGCTGTGAACAAAAAAAGAGAAAGGTAAGAGATTTTGATTCTATGATTTAACTATGCTTTGTGGATTTCTTCAAGCGCAACACGCTTTTAGGATCTCTTCAATAGGGGGGTCATCTCCAGCTTCTTTGTCCTGAAATGTTCCACAAACAAAATTTCTTGAATACAACGATGTGATTAATACAGCTTTGATCACATGTGTACAAATTTGAGGCTAGCTTTACATCAGCATTAGATGACACGGTGTAAACAGAAAGATCAGTGCTAAGTGATTAAGTATGTTGCATACCTTGCGGATGTAAGAGATGTTATTTTTTCCAGGCCCAGCAACTAGGATTCCACCTTGTTGCCTGCATGCAAGAGGTCCAACACCATTGTTAATAACGAAACAAGAAAGTTATTTCTTGTCTCTAATAGTAAGATATAGTTCAGAATTTTCAGACTCTTAAACCTACCAGCCACCTCTTTCAACAGTATCTTTCATAAAAGAGAGTTTCCAGTCTTGGCGGTATCCTTCCATGTAAGACTCTATTATCTTCAGAGCGGCCTATAACAATACCACACAAGCTACTGAGAGACCACACAAAAGTATGTAAAATTTTGACAACTTAATATGCTAAAGTAGAAGTCACTCTACTTTGGGGGTAAATGTCACAGAAACTCCTGAAACAAACTTGAGCGCCTCATATGATGCGTGGTTTGGATCAGCATAGACCTCTGAGATAAATTTGATTATACAAAGATTAGATAGATGATCTCAGAAAATGAAGTTTTAGAAACCAAAAGTAAATGAGAAGTGTACCTCCTTCAAATTTAGTCTGTTCCACAAAAGTGTTAGCCTGCATAGTTGTTAGTTACAACGTGAGAACAGGCATTTAAAAACTGTAACATCTGGTCTCTTCTTCAATATTCACTAATCAAAATACTTACAGGAATTGTGTATACTCAAATGTCTTACCTGCTCAATACTGCCCGGTCCGATCAGAACAAGAGCAACACCAGATGCATCCATCACATCCTAACAACAACAAAACTCTGGTATCAATCACTCAATGACTACAATTGTATAAATGGCCGATCTTGACTAACATCAAAGCTATTGGAATGTATAGTTATTACCTTCTTTGCTGCAAGATAAGCTGCTCGTTTTCGACAGAGCACGCATCTGCAAACATAACAAGCTAGCTTTGATAGTTATATTACATAGTGACCAAATTCATCAATCTAATTAGAAATCACTCCAAAGACTAATCACCCGAAATGACGAGCAAATGCAACAACAGCCTTCCTATCCTTCCATAAATCGGAAATCGGAAGCTCATTTCCTCTCGAATCCAATATTTTCACTGTATCAAGCAAATCAACCGTCTCTTTCTCGATTCCAGTTCCTGTGGAGATTCAATTTAATCTAGTCATAAATCTGGAATGTACAAATTAGTTTATCCAATTAGATTAGAAAAGAAGTCACTTTATAGCTGACCTGAAGCGCCGGTAACGGCCGACACAACAACGGCGCTACGCCGGAGAGAGACACTCGTAAGGCTTTTACGAAAGTGAGAATTGATCGAATAACCAGGAACTACTCTCCGTAATCCATGAATCGTTTTCAGCTTCGGCTGCAGAGTTATTGGAGTGATCGTCGACGACGATGACGAGAGAGAAACCGCCATTGTTGTTCCTCGAAAGCAGAACCAAAAAAAAAACAATCCAAATTAACTCCTACCGTTGGCAAATCTCGTGGAGTTGGGTTATTACACGTGGCAAGTGATGTAAGCATGAGATCTCTGTCAGAAAAGTCACAAGCCACGTCAGCTCAGTAGGGGCAAAAATGGGAAAACATCCTTTTAAGTGCGAATGTTTCGCACTTGCACGTTTTTGCTAGGGTAAAAAAAAAGCTCAAGCCGCTTCTTCGCTTCGCTCTATCTCTCTACATTTCTCTATCTGCAATGGCGAGAATAGTGCGCGTGGCGAGATCCTCCTCTTCCCTCTTTGGCTTCGGGAGCAGATTCTACTCCACCTCAGCCGAGGTTACATCCGGAGTTAGCCACGCGTCATCGCCGCCTACGCCGTTTCTTCACGGCGGCGGAGCTCGCAGGGATGCTGCGAAAGATCGGAACGTGCAGTGGGTGTTTCTCGGGTGTCCCGGTGTCGGAAAAGGCACTTACGCTAGCAGATTGTCGACCCTCCTCGGCGTTCCTCACATCGCCACCGGCGATCTCGTCCGTGAGGCCCTAGCTTCCTCTGGACCTCTCTCCCAACAGGTACTTCCATGTTCCCTATCTCTGCTCTGTTTCTCTGATTGAGATTCTCCTCTATGTTCGATTATGGATCCATTTGATTTGAAAGTAACGTTTTTTATTAGCAAATCGGAATTCATGATTGGATCTAAATAAATTTCATCTATCCCCGGATAGATCTAATGATCTAAGTCCAATTAAAGTGTATCTGACTAGCTTTTGATTAGCATCAGAACCGATCTATTCGTATAAATTAAAGTCAATATCCTTCTCCTTTTGCTATGTAAAGTCATTTTAAAAGCTTTGATTTTTATTTTGTTTAACCATGTCTGATCTCACTGTTACTTGATGCAGCTATCGGAGATTGTAAACCAAGGAAAGTTGGTTTCGGATGAGATCATAATAAACCTTTTGTCAAAGAGACTTGAAGATGGTGAAGCTAAAGGTGAATCAGGTTTCATTCTTGATGGCTTTCCTCGTACCATGAGACAAGCTGTAAGTTTGATGATTAATCTCTTTCAATACGATTTTACTGAGCATTTCGTAAATATTGACACTCATGTTTTGTCTTTTGCTTGTAGGAAATTCTGGGAGATGTGACCGACATCGATCTAGTGGTGAATTTGAAGCTACCTGAAGAAGTTCTTGTTGACAAATGCCTTGGGAGGAGAACTTGTAGTCAGTGTGGTAAAGGTTTCAATGTCGCTCACATCAACTTGAAAGGTGAGAATGGCAAACCTGGAATCAGCATGGATCCACTTCTCCCTCCACCTCAGTGTGCGTCAAAGCTCATCACTCGAGCTGATGATACCGAAGAGGTTGTGAAAGCAAGGCTTCGTATCTACAATGAAACCGTAAGCTCCTTTATATTCCTTCGTATATGCAATGAATTTTCACTTGACACATGTGATGATTTGTGTTTTCTCTATGTATTTGCAGAGCCAGCCTCTTGAAGAATACTACCGAAGTAAGGGAAAGCTTATGGAGTTTGACTTACCTGGAGGCATCCCTGAGTCATGGCCAAGGCTATTAGAAGCCTTGAGGCTCGACGTTTACGAGGAGAAACAATCTGCCGTGGCTTAGTTCCACAGATCAAATCCCGGTATTTAGAATTCTTTGCATGTGTGAAGACATATGCCTAAATCAATTTTGTGTTGGAAATAAAAGTAAAGAGAAAAACCTTACATTGTTTTTTTTTTGTTGCCTTAGTTGAAATAATCATATACACACTTGCAAACTATTATCTTTCGGTTCCATGAAGAGAATTCTGCTGTATCATAATGATTGTTTATGAGCTGAATGTATCAATACTTCTCTACACTACTTGTTATGCATTAGGTTTAATAATTCATGCTCTTGTGTTTTGTTTTGTTTGAGTTGAATGTGAGATTAGTATTTGCGGCTGGCCGAGCTGGCTGGTTAAAGTACTCAACCAGACAGTAACGTAAAACAGCCGCATAGATTAAAGTCTTTGTGGAACTTATAACCAGCTCCTGACTGTCCTAGTATTGGCGGTGTGGGATAGAAATGTTCCTTACATGATTTATATTCCGGTGGAATTGATCCTTCTGTATTTTTATATACTAACGTGATCTCAAAACAAACCTAGCTTTATGTGTTATGCATTTGCGGTATGAATGTGATCTGTGGGTGAAATGGAAGCGAGATGGGAGAGAACTACGTTTGTTTATACATGTTCCTCGTACCAAGATGAAACAAGTCATGAACAAATTATTATGGAGATTATCCGACTTAATCAAATTATTTTTTTACTTGAATGTTAAATGTAAGATACAATTGAGAGGATAAACCAGACGCACCCTATGTAATAACGAACATGCTTTTTTTTTTTTTTTTTTTTTTTGCGAACTACGAACATGTCTAATCCGATTCTAAAGCTTCGAGGAAGTAGAAGATGAAGATGAAGTAGAGACGAGCGAGAGATTGAGGAAAAGAAACTTCATTGAACTGAAACCGTGTGTGCAAGCATGCTTATTTTTATTTAGCTTAAACAATCTACCTTCTTGATTACTCTTAAACTAACCCAACAATCTGCTTGTTATACTGTTATTAACTTACCTTAATAGTGGTAGAAAGTTGCAAGTTATCATCAATTGTTAGCTTTGATAAAAAAAAAATTTTAGTCTTTACAAAATCAAAATAAAAACATTATATTAGTAAACGTAAATATAAAATTTTCTAAATACAACTTCAACATTTATTCTACTCGTAAATATAAGCCTGATTTAACTATAATTACAAGTTAACAAAAAAACTAAGATAAAATTATGTTGAAACTGCAAAACTGTTTGGTGTAGATCGATTTCATGCGATTTTATTTCATGGTCCGCTAGGTTTTGCCAGAGTCCGACGGGCCATGAAGTAAAATCTCATAATCTTTTATCTTTTTTTCTTGTTCACATTTTCTTTGAATGCCAATAGAGTGATGCAGTTTTTGGTATCAGACTTTTTGTTTTTTTATTCAATTGTAATATTTTTTTTTGTTTTTTTTCTTATCTGATGCCTATGTAAATGCACCTTCAGCATCAAGAAAATAGAACCTGCCATTCACTTGTGATACAATTCGCCTTTGTTAAGTTCTTTGATAAAGTAAAGATAAAATATGATCAACTCCGTGTGAATCTCTATCAAACTGCTGTGACAAATTGTCAGAACTATGGTTTCTATGATTTGTTCATATTTTGGGCAAGAACAAAGTTTAATTGAGCTGTATCAAGACTAAGAGTGGGCAGTCTTCGCGGCGCATTCTCTTTAACCCAAACCAGTGATGCTTTTCTTTCTTTAAATGCGTATTTCTTGTTTTACTTTGCCTTCTAGTCTACAAATTGATGCATTTTTTGGCAAAATATATGAGACTAATGATTTTGATATTTGATATTTGATATTTAGACTTTTTGTTGATTGGTCTCTTTCCTCTTGCTTTTCCACATTTTCTGTATTAGAATTTGGTAAAATATTTTGTAACAATAATAACCTAAACCCAAAAATATACATATTTATGCATCCAGTTATTTATGGATACGCCACCATGAAACCGAAAATTAATCCCAATTTTTTCTACTAAAAAATGAAGTTAGTCTGGTTCAGTTCACGTGTCTACATGGAACAAAACAAGCTCATGCGCGTGTCAACAACCAACAAATCAAAGCAACCAATTCTGCAAGTTGCTGGAGCTTTCAACTAAAAACAAGAACGACGCCGTTTCGTAAGCCGCGTGTCCAACTAACTTTCAAAGGGCCAGTTTCAACTCAACTAACGTTCAACGAGACTATCCCCTCTTTCCCTTTCATTGCCTTCTTCCTCACTATAGACTAGCTCCTCTAAAGTACGGACCTTGATCCATCCAACGTACCCTACTGTGACACGTGTCCCTTTCAGTGTCGGGCTAGGCTCAACGAACTGGACTCATACGACGGATACATCAACGCATTCGGTTAAGACCGGATCTTCCTACTCCTTGAAGGGTTTCCTCAAATCCTTCTCAGAACTTCAGATTTTTCACACCGTGGGTACTACTTTGTCTTTCTTTTTCTTTTCATTTGGATTTATCTTTTGGTCTTAATTTTATTTGAAATGACTGAGAGTCTTGTCACAAGTGTATGGCACATGTGGATATCAGGAAGTTTCTTTCTTTATGCTATGTTTTGCAACTACTTTTAAAGCTCGATATAGATCGAGATCCTGTCTGATGGATTTGATGTTTCTCACCGTCCAAATCAAGTCTTTTGTTTTTGTATTTCTCCTCTCTTTTTGATATAATCTTTGAGATAATGAGTTTTGAGTAGATCTCTTATTAATTTTTTTCAGGTTGATTCAAGATTTTTGATAGGCAAAATTTTGGTGATAATATTTGAGTAAATGGAGGTGAAAGAGAGTGAAAGAGCGGTGATATCAAAACCGCTGGCCTCAAGGCCATCATGCTCTAACTTCAGGACATTCACTGAGCTTCTGACTGATTCAGCAACCGTATCTAATTGTCACGAGATTATTGACGCTCCAATAAGACCAAAGACTTTAAGGTTCCCACAGCCAGCTGCACCAGCTTCGGTCTCATGTCCTCGGGTGAGTGAAATATCTAACCAGCAGTTGTCTCTTTCTTGGCATTGTTATCATCTTTCTGAATCCAAGTCTTTCTGATAATCTTAGGTGGAAGGAAATGGCATTGGGAAGTCTTGTGATGATTCAGATAGCAGAAACTACGTCGTTTATAAACCTAAAGCAAAGCTTGTCTCCAAAGCAACTGTCTCTGTGTTGGCTAATATGGTAAGTTTGTTTTCAAGACTAACTGATCAAGATTTTCCAATAAGTCGTTTTAAACTCTGTTTTTGTTTAGATTCAGGGGAATCGTCAACAGGTTTGGAGACAAACCGAAGCAGTATCGTATGGGAAGAGTGTGAGCCAAGGTACTCATCGAGCGGGTCCTAACCTAGTTCAAAAAGTTCCGTCCTTTACGGAATCGGAGACATTGATCAGCGATAGATCTTCCGTGGACGGATACAACTGGAGGAAGTACGGACAAAAGCAGGTCAAAGGAAGTGAGTGTCCAAGGAGTTACTACAAATGCACACACCCGAAATGTCCAGTGAAGAAGAAAGTAGAGAGATCACTGGATGGTCAAGTCTCAGAGATTGTGTATCAAGGCGAGCATAACCACTTAAAACCTTCTTGTCCTCTTCCACGGAGGACTTCCTCATCATCTTCTTCAGGGTTTCAGAAACCACCTAAAGGGATTGCTTCTGAAGGATCAATGGGACAAGACCCTAATACTAACAATGTCTGTTATCCTCTTTGGAGCAACCAAAGCAATGATGACTCGTCTAAAAACAGAACAGAGAAGATGAAGTATGATCAGGATTGTGTTATAACTCCATTCGAGTTCGCTGTTCCAAGATCGACGAATTCAACTGGAGGAACTTCGGATTCCGGTTGTAGAAGTAGCCAGTGTGATGAAGGAAGCAATGGAGGAGAGCTGGATGATCCAAGCAGAAGCAAAAGAAGGTAAAAGATTTCAAAAGACAATGTGAGACTTAATTACTTTTATGTGAGATTTGTTTTGATTTTGGCAGTGATGTTAGCAGGAAGAACGAGAAGCAATCAAGTGAAGCAGGAGTATCACAGAGCTCGGTGGAATCAGACAGTCTTGAAGATGGATTCAGGTGGAGAAAATACGGACAAAAAGTTGTAGGAGGCAATGCGTATCCGAGAAGTTACTACAGATGCACGAGCGTGAATTGCAGAGCAAGGAAACACGTGGAAAGAGCGAGTGATGATCCTAGGGCTTTCATTACAACCTACGAGGGTAAACACAATCACCATTTGCTCTCCAGCCCTCCAACTTCGTCTGCTCTTCCTTTTAACTCCCCACAACATTCTAATCAAGCCATTTGATGCTTCTTCTTTTCAATCTTCATAGCACATTGATTAATCAGTTTTCTTCTTGCAACTGTGAATTTATCAAGATTTTGTCAGGACAAGAGACACGAATACTGTTGTTCATGTAACAAAGAACAAAATAAAAAGAATGTTGTATTTTGGTGTCGCCATAATAGAGTTCAAACATTTTCTTATCTCACAACTCAAATTGTGAAATAAATTGGAAACTAGAATTTGTGAAGATGTAAACTTCAACAGTAGTACCATAAATTAAATTTATCAACTAGAGAGAGATGTATAGATGAAAAATTTTAAAATATGAAACCGGTTTGATCAAAGATCCAAAGTGGTTTAAAGAGTCAAAACTTCATTAAAGATAGATAAATAATCTGAAACATATCCAAAGCTAATGAAAACAGCACAAAAAAAACACTTTTGAGATAATGCGAACTCCAGTGCAAAGGAAGATCCCCTCCTTAACGATTGGCCTTGGCAACTCTCTCAATCTCATCTTTCTTCTTGATGGCATAGCTGCAAAGACAAGACAAGAATGCTACTATTAGCTACAAACTCACAATATGTGAAGCCACCAAGAGACAAAACAATGAAAGAGATTTGTGAGCGGTTGTGTATTAACCTGTTGGAAGATCCCTTGGCAGCATTGATGAGCTCGTCAGCAAGACACTCAGCAATAGTCTTGATGTTTCTGAAGGCAGCTTCACGTGCACCAGTGGTGAGCAAGAAGATGGCCTGGTTCACACGTCTCAGAGGAGAGATATCAACGGCCTGCCTCCTAACCACACCAGCAGATCCAATCCTGGTAGCATCCTCACGTGGACCACTGGCTCACCCAACAAAACAAAAACATCATTCGCAAAAAAGGCGTCACACACAATAGCACTCAAAAGAAAGTGAATGTTATTTCAAGAATTTACCTGTTGACAATGGCGTCAATGATGACCTGAATTGGGTTCTGGTCACTCAAGAGATGGATGATCTCCATGGCGTGCTTGATGATTCCCACAGCCATCAGCTTCTTACCGTTGTTCCTTCCGTGCATCATGAGAGAGTTCGTGAGCCTCTCGACGATTGGGCACTGAGCCTTCCTGAACCTCTTCACTGAGTATCTTCCAGCAGTGTGGGGAACAAAGGTTGCGTGCTTCGCTGGCTGGACACCAATGTAGTCAACAAGACTGATGTCTGTGACCTACACGCACCATAAGCACATCCAAAACGAACATTAGCCAAATAATTTTGCGCACATCTCAATACCACAAGACGGATTGAAAATCAATAACAAAGACAGAAAGAGAACATTTTTCAGAGCAAGATTCACAGATCGGAAGCAATGAGGTATAATCTATAGTTTGGATTAACATTTGATATATAATTCACAAAAAGAAGCCAATATCATAACAGAGTAATAATAATCTAAATACTATTCACATATCATAGGAGAGGCAAAGGTTGCAACTGAATCTAATAAGTGAAATGAGAGCACAACGATTAGATCCCAGAAAGATCTTCAAATGAGCAGATCAGCAAGAACATGAGGAGAAACTGAAGAGAATCTAAGAGTTTCAGACAGATACGACTAAAGTGTCACTCTTTAGGCTCTAAGAAGAATTGAAAAATGAGTGAGAGTGAATCGATGAGGAAATTTTACCGAGACGTCATCAAAGCTCCAGCGGTTGAAGAGCTTGACCTCGTTGGTGGATTGCGCTTGAATCTCGGCGTCAATTTCTGCGACGGCGGCCATGGTTGCTTGAAGGGGTGAGAAGTGATGGAGGAGAGAACTAGGTTTGCTTTAGCCGCTGTTTTGAAGAAGGAAGCTCACAATCGATGAACAAAACCCTAATCTCGGGTGATTGTAACATTTTGGTTATAAATTGGATTTTATTGGGCCCAGATATTGGGCTTTTTGGTTGTATCCTTGTCATTTGACATGTGGGTTTGGTTTTACATCCGAAGTGGATAGATTGACTAATGGGCCACAATTTAGTGGGCCGTATCCAAGCTGTCTGGCCATGAAAAGAGCATTCACGGATTGGTCATGTGATTCGACCTCACATCTGTTTTTTTCAACGAACCCGTGAGTTCTTTTGTTCGATGATGATCGGTGCGCTATTCTAACGAAATTTACAAAAAAATTTGGTTGGTTTTTACAGATCACAACGTGATATTTTTCGTGTTTTATCTTCATTCACATAGGGAATTCGTTTTAAGTTCAAACATATTTGACTAAAGAGTGCTTTCGAGATGAATTATAAAAAGATCAATGTATTTTGTGATATATGCAGTTAAATCAATTTTTTACCACCAATTTTCCCTAAAGTAAAAAAAGTAGTGCATGCACATTTTTAAAAAGGAGATGGACATGCCGTCCCACTAAGGTTACTAACTTTTGTCTTCAATTAAGAAATTTAGTTACATAATTAACAAATGGAGTTATATGAACACATGTAGTCACATTTTAGAGAGTTTTTATAAGAAAACACGAGTACACTAATTGTAAAGTAGATACATTATATTACTAAAAGGTTTATACTTTATGATAAGCAATTCATTCGTTGTGTATAAGTACCTTGAATTTTAGATGATTATCGTTGTCTACAATTGTGTTAAGATACCAACTAAGTTAGGTTTATAGAATGTATAGTCAAAGAGTTCTTTTCTTGCACGTTTTATCTTTTTTTGTTGTTGCTTAAGGGTCTGATTGCGCTGGGTTGCGGTTGCGGGAGTTTGCGGAAGCGGGAGTTTGCGATTAAAAGCTGTTTGTACGACTGGTATAGCAATTCATAGCGGTTGCGTTTGCGGGATATTTTTGACTGGTTAGCCAGCGGGTGCAAGAGCGGTTTAACCAAAAGTTACTAAAATAAAAATAATATATAATTATTCAAAACATTTATAACCATATTAATAATTTTTTTTTTGAAATATATTTTTTGATGAATTTTTAATTTGAAAACTACCCTTTTTTTTTTTGGTTTTGAAAAATACACTTTTTATATGTAAAATGATTATTCCTAATTTAATAAAAACGAAATTCAAATAAGAAATATAAAATATTAATATTTGATAATAATTTTGTATCATTTTAACATCCTAATTACCTGTTTAGTTTTTTTTTAAACAATTTAATAAAAATATAAGATTGTTTATATAAAGTTTAAATGGGGTGAGATTAAAGTTGTTTATGCAAAGTTTCAAAAATATTTAAATTTTTCAAAAGATAAACATTAAAAATGAAAGATATATTTCTCCACTTTTAAATTTTTAATAATTTATAAACTTTAAATATATGTAAAGTTTTAATTTATTTAAAGTTTCATTTGGTTTGAATGTGTATGAGGTTAAGTTGTTTATATAAAGATCCAAAATATTAAAATTTGTTTCAGTTTAACATATACTATATTTATTTGAAAAAAAACTTATTAGTTTATTATTTTTTTAAATTTTCGTTTATAATTTGTAATTATTTATTATTTTTTGTTTAAATCACGTCAAAACATACTTTTTACATTTTAAAAGTGTATTTTTCAAAACAGAAAAAATTTAGGGTATTTTCGAAATTTTTAAACATAATTATGGTATTTTTCAAAAAAATATACCCTTATTCCAAATTTGGAGATATTATGTTTTTTTTTTTTTTTTTTCAAACCGCAACCGCCCGCAACCGCAAACGCTTGCGGAAAGGAGCTTTTGATTTTCAGCGATATAGAGCGGTACAGAGTGGTATAGAGCGGTTGAAAGCGGTTGTCGTGATTGTTATAAAACGCTAAGAACCGCTACGAACCGCAAACGCTGCGTTTGCGGGTGGTAGCGGGAGAACCAATCATTACCTAAATCATCATGCTTTTCAACGAATAAGTGCTTGAAACGCCCACTAACCCAATTCTTACCTTAATCTGTTTATTCCTTAAAAATGCGAACGTTCTGAAATCTGAATAATGACTAAACAATCATCATCTTTTTGGTCACTTGGCCACTATATACTAATTTAGTACTAATTCTATATGACTACCGACAAAAGAACGCATTAAATGAGCCTTAATATCTGTATTGGTTTCACGTGCGTCTTTACTGACTAAAATTAATACAAGGAGCGTATATCATCGAGAAGCCAAATCATGAAGTTTTTTACTATTTTCTTAACTCTAATTTTGATAAGATTATTATCAAATCCGTGTGGGACATACAGTCGGAGACTGCTAGAAGACTACTGTTTTTCTTTTTTTTTTGATCAAAGACTACTGTTTTTCAAGTGTCAACAAATGCAGTCTATTCACAAGAAAACTAGAAAATAATATAAAGATTACAAAAAAGACATGCAAAGAAGTAGGAGCATCATCAACCTTATAGGTTTTTGATAAAGATACCACACGAGAGGGGCCAAGCCTGAACTCCGATGCGATAGAAATATTCGCTCATGAGTCATGATCATTTCCCTTGATTTAGGGGTTTGACTGTAAAGCGAACCAATCCTTTTCTTTTACTGTTTTGATTTTTAAAAAGTTACATTTCTCATTTTTATTGTATCCACACTCAAAGATTTTACTTTTTATATATCTTTGTGTAGATGAAGTTATCACCTTTTTCCAAACCACACCTTAACCTGACCGGTCATACTGATTAGTGTACAGCTCTCGTCATAAAATAGTAAAATACTCACAACATTATCGAGAAAGTGAAAGCATGCCCTACAAACTCTACATTTAAACATATCGATACGGGTCATACTGATTACTGCATTTCTTATACTAACATTAGGCAACAAGGCGTTGTCTGATCTTTAATTATCTTAGTTTTGAAGTTTTAGCTAAATTTCTTTTGATTTTCTGATTTCTTCGATTAGTCGTTGTCCAATATTGGTTTGAACGTCACGATGACTATGATTAATAACATTGTGTTTTTTTTCTGGGTGCAAATGTGAAATAATAACATTGTGTTGGAAAAGAAAAAACAGAAAAGTGTCGTTTTTTCTTGACATTCTTGATCGTTTTTTCCCCTTAGTGTTTAGATTAGCTCGGAGCGATCTTCTTCTTTTTTCCCTGCTGTACTTTACAATATGATTAGCGAAAATACACTTTTAAAAGATGCGTAAAATCATACAATATAATAGTACTACAAAAAAAGTGATGTTCTTTTTTCAATAAAAGTCGCAAAAAGTATTCCATTTTCAAGAAAATATGCAGTTTAATTTATTTACGATGCTTTAAAAATTCGATGGTCCCAAACTACAAAAGCTTAGCTTAATTTCTGTTTTCAAATTGTAATAGCTGTCTTAGCCATTCTTTAATACCTTTTCCCTTTTTTGCAGTTGTTTGTATTTTGTAAATATCTCTTCTTTGTTTTCTTGATTAAAAATTTTAGCCTTCCGAACTGTAAAAATTAGGCAAATTGTCCCACTTATTCTGCTGGTTGTCTACTTTTTATTACTTTAATTTTGTAATTTTTTTAGCAAATTGTTTAATTGTTAAACAAAACTGAAAAAGGGAAACAATTTGCATAAAAACACTAACTTATGATAAGTGGGAGTACTAAGAATTTTGATAATCATGGATGTATTACTTTTACCTTACATCACCTAACTGTTGTCAATTTGAAAATCACGTTTACATATATATTATTAATATATACATTATACATACATACGAAGAAGATAAAAGCCATACTTCATCATTGATATCTGAGCGTTACATCAGAGAAGCCATAGGGACTCGTGTAGGCATGTCTCAGATGGATGGAGAAGAACTACGAGTGGAGCTTTCAGAGTTTGAAAAAAACAAGGCATCGAGTTCCAGGAGCAGCTCTTCAAGAAATGAGCCCGAGGTTGAAGCAGAGTATGCTCTGCAATGGGCTGAATTCCAAAGATTACCAACTTATAAACGGCTGAGATCGTCTCTGGTTGATGAAGAAGGAGATGATGTAGAGAAAGAGAAAAAGGTCGTTGATGTCACCAAGCTTGGAGCCACAGAACGTCATGTCATGATTGAGAAGTTGATCAAACACATTGAGAATGATAATCTCAAGCTGCTCAAGAAAATCAGAACAAGAATGGACAGGTGATAATCTCTGTGAATCTGTTTCAAGAAAGTCTAAAACTTGAGCTTGAACTGACTTGTTTGTTGACTTGCAGGGTCGGTGTGGAGTTTCCGAGCATAGAAGTGAGGTATGAGCATTTAGGTGTTGAAGCAAAGTGTGAGGTCGTTGAAGGGAAGGCGCTTCCAACTTTATGGAACTCCTTGAAGCGCCGTTTCGTAGTGAGTATACTCAAGAACATAATGAAGACTGCAAGTTAGCAGTAGCTGAAGTTGAATTCTACTCATTTGTTTTCTTTTTTTTCTTCAGGAATTGGTGAAGCTGAGTGGTGTAAGAACAAGAGAAGCCAAGATAAACATACTTAGCGATGTTAGTGGCATCATTAAGCCCGGAAGGTAAGTTGCAGGCAGAGCTCTTTTTTTTCATTCAAGCTTAAGATTTGTGTAATGCTCTCAACAACTAATGTAACTTCTTGTTTGTTTCTCATAGGTTAACATTGTTGCTTGGTCCTCCTGGATGTGGAAAATCTACTCTGCTTAAGGCCTTGTCTGGAAATTTGGACAAAGATCTAAAGGTCTTAGATTTTGCCTCTATTTAAATGCTTTTTCTGAAGATAGATGGTTGAATAATGTCTCCTTTATTTTCAACAGCTTTCTGGTGAAATATCATACAATGGACATGGAACGACTGAGTTTGTCCCTCAGAAAACATCGGCCTATATAAGTCAGCACGATCTGCACATAGCAGAGATGACAGTGAGAGAGACAATAGACTTCTCAGCTCGCTGTCAAGGTGTTGGTAGCCGAACAGATATTATGATGGAGGTCAGCAAAAGAGAAAAGGATGGTGGAATCACTCCTGACCCAGAAGTAGATGCTTACATGAAGGTGCACTACTCCTGAAAGCTTACGTTGAAAGTTGAAACTGATCTTTGAACACAGAAGCTTGGTTATGATAAACTTTTGTAATCACATTTTACAGGCAATATCGGTTAAAGGACTTAAAAGAAGTCTGCAAACAGACTACATCTTGAAGGTAGTTTCTCTGATTTCTTGTCCTTCTTGATTACCTTCTTAAATCTTAACTCTGTCTTGTATTACATTTTTCAGATCCTAGGGCTTGACATTTGTGCAGAAACATTGACTGGAAATGCAATGAGAAGAGGCATATCTGGGGGACAAAAGAAGCGTCTTACCACAGGTTGGTTCATAGAGTTGCAACATGGATTTTGCAGGCATGACATGACTTCTAAAAAAGTTGTGTTGTTGCAGCTGAGATGATCGTTGGTCCAACAAAGGCTCTGTTCATGGATGAAATAACAAACGGCTTAGACAGTTCCACGGCGTTTCAGATTGTCAAGTCTCTTCAGCAGCTGGCTCATATCACCAATGCAACTGTGTTTGCTTCCCTTCTCCAACCTGCTCCTGAATCATATGACCTCTTCGACGATATTGTCCTGATGGCTCAAGGAAAGATTGTGTATCACGGTCCACGCGAAGAGGTCTTGAAATTTTTTGAGGAATGTGGGTTTAGATGCCCTGAAAGGAAAGGTGTTGCAGACTTTCTCCAGGAGGTAAAAAAACTAAAAACCCTAATGTTCTGTTTCCTGACACTGTGATCTTTTGTTCTTCATGGTCTTGAGTTGTTTTGATTTTGCAGGTTATATCTAGAAAGGACCAAGGACAGTACTGGCTTCACCAGGACTTACCTCATAGCTTTTTCTCAGCTGACACAATGTCCAAGAGATTCAAGGACTTAGAGATTGGTAGAAAGATTGAGGAAGCTCTCTCTAAGCCATATGATAAATCAAAAACACACAAGGATGCTCTGTTCTTCAATGAGTACTCTCTTCCAAAATGGGAGCTGTTCAGAGCATGCATCTCAAGAGAGTTTCTTCTCATGAAGAGAAACTATTTCGTCTACCTCTTCAAGACGTGTCAGGTTTACATTCTTTCTTGCTCTCTCTTTTTGTCTTCTTTCAAGATTTTGTGTTAATCTTGAAAGAATCCTTAATTTCTTGGGGCAGCTTGTTCTTGCTGCGATTTTCACTATGACTGTGTTTATTCGAACACGGATGGGGATAGATTTCATTCATGGAAACTCTTACATGAGTTGTCTCTTTTTCGCCACTGTCGTACTTCTTGTTGATGGTCTTCCAGAGCTGACTATGACTGTTCAACGCCTTTCCGTGTTCTACAAGCAAAAGCAGCTCTGTTTTTACCCAGCTTGGGCTTACGCAATCCCTGCAACAGTGTTGAAAGTCCCTCTCTCTTTCTTTGAATCTCTTGTTTGGACTTGCCTCACTTACTATGTCATCGGATACACTCCTGAAGTTTCACGGTGAGGAGCTTTAAACCTTTCTCCATATTCACATCCAAGCCTGAGAATGCCAGGAAAAGTTAACGTCAATGTGATATTTGATGATGTTTCAGATTCTTCCGGCACTTCATTATGCTCTTTGCTGTTCACTTCACATCGATTTCCATGTTCCGGTGTATAGCAGCAGTCTTTCAGACAGGAACAGCTTCACTGGAAGCTGCTGGTTATGCCATAGTTGTGACCTTTGTATTCGCCGGTTTCGCCATCCCATATCGTAAGATTTTTGTAACTCTTTTCTTATCAATCTTGTTCCATTAATAAACCATGACACTGGTTTGTTGTTGCAGCCAATATGCCAGTGTGGTTGAAGTGGGGATTTTGGGTAAATCCTGTAAGTTACGCTGAGATTGGTCTCTCTGTGAACGAGTTTCTTGCTCCACGGTGGCAGCAAGTGATTCTCTCTTCCTTTTCTTGTTTCTTCTTATATCAATCATCCAATTTCTCATCATCCTCCAAGAACTAATCAGTTTTCCGGTTATGTTTTTCAGATGCAACCGACAAATCTTACCTTGGGGAGAACGATACTGGAAAGCCGAGGACTGAACTATGATGATTACATGTATTGGGTCTCATTAGGTGCCTTGTTGGGTCTCACTCTTATCTTCAACACCATTTTCACTCTAGCTCTCAGTTTCTTGAAATGTAAGTTTCAAAATATACGAAGGAAAAAAACGCCATGGATTAAAGCATATACTGAAGAGCTTCTTCTTTTTAACATGACAGCTCCCACATCATCTCGTGCCATGATTTCTCAAGACAAGCTCTCTGAGCTGCAAGGAACAAAAGATTTATCAGTCAAGAAGAACAAGTCAAACGAAGATTCAGGTGAGAAACAAAAAGTTGACTTTCTACGCACGCAAACTCTTTCTTCTCCAATTCCCTCAACCTAATTAATGCCTTTTGTCGGATCAACAGGGAAGATGGTCTTACCTTTTAAGCCTCTCACCATAACATTTCAAGACTTGAACTATTACGTCGACCTCCCTGTGGTAAAAAAGCTTATGCTCATTAAATCTTGTTAATAATAATAATAATAATCATTTATAACTGCAGTTAATTACCATGGATTTTTCCTAATCTCAGGAGATGAGAGGTCAAGGGTACACTGAGAAGAAGTTGCAGCTTCTCTCAGGCATCACTGGAGCCTTCAGGCCAGGCGTTTTAACGGCGTTGATGGGAATCAGCGGAGCCGGAAAAACAACTCTGCTCGACGTTCTCGCCGGAAGAAAAACAAGCGGTTACTTCGAAGGAGACATCAGAATCAGCGGATACCGTAAAGTGCAAGAAACGTTCGCAAGAGTCTCAGGCTACTGCGAGCAAACGGATATACATTCACCGAACATTACAGTCGAAGAATCCCTAATTTACTCCGCTTGGCTACGCCTTGTTCCAGAAATTGACCCCAAAACCAAAATCGTAAGCCCTAATGATTCTAACAGTCAACTCTAAAAATAAATAGTGACCTAGGTATTGAAATCGCCTGAAATTACGTGCAGAGATTTGTGAAGCAAGTTCTTGAGACGATTGAGCTGGAAGAGATCAAGGACGCGATGGTGGGAGTCGCGGGGGAAAGCGGACTGTCGACGGAGCAGAGGAAGCGGCTGACGGTGGCGGTGGAATTGGTGGCGAATCCGTCCATCATATTCATGGACGAACCAACGACGGGACTGGACGCTAGAGCAGCCGCCATTGTAATGAGAGCTGTGAAGAACGTCGCAGAGACTGGACGAACAATCGTCTGCACTATTCATCAGCCCAGCATCGACATCTTTGAGGCCTTCGACGAGGTACAGTATATTCAGTTTCTGGTACTCAAAAGCTTAAAACTATTTATAACGGTTTTTTGTTTTTTTTTCCCGCTATTTTTTAAATTAATTTACAAATTTGTAAATGTATATATATTATGTTCAGTTGGTACTGCTGAAGAGAGGAGGTCGCATGATTTACACTGGACCACTTGGACAACATTCTTCTCATGTCATTCAGTATTTTCAGGTTAGTTTCTTGCTGCTCAAGAAACACAAATCCATTTCTTTAGTTTCTATAGTCTTTAAATGTTTACCAATATACAGAGTATCCATGGAGTTGCTAAGATAAGAGACAACTACAATCCAGCAACATGGATGCTAGAGGTCACTTCACAGTCTGTAGAGATTGAACTTGACATGGATTTCGCGAAAATCTACAACGCATCCGATCTTTACAAGTGAGTACTATGAGCTGAAACTAAAAACCGGTCATAATTTATGGCTAATGAGCTCATTGCTTCTTCTTATTTCTGCAGGAGCAACTCTGAGCTTGCTAAAGATCTGAGCAAACCGGAACCAGGTTCAAGCGATCTGCATTTCGAGAGAACTTTTGCACAGAACTGGTGGGAACAGTTCAAATCTTGTCTATGGAAGATGAGTCTGTCTTACTGGAGAAGCCCTTCTTACAACTTGACGCGAATCCTCCACACTTTCATCTCTTCTTTGCTTTTTGGTGTTCTCTTCTGGAAGCAAGGACAGAAGATGTAAGTCACATCAAAAATCTACAAAATCCAAGTATCATTACTTTCTTTGTATTCATATCTCTCTTTCTATGTTTCTTGGCAGAGACACTCAACAGAACTTGTTCACAGTTCTTGGAGCGATCTACGGTCTTGTCCTGTTCTTGGGGGTTAACAACTGTGCTTCAGCTTTACAGTATTTTGACACAGAACACACTGTCATGTACCGAGAAAGATTCGCTGGAATGTACTCTGCCTTCGCTTACGCGTTGGCTCAGGTTGTGACAGAGATTCCATACATATTCATCCAGAGCGTAGAGTTTGTGATCATCATATACCCTATGATGGGTCTCTACGCGTCTCCTGCTAAGGTCTTTTGGTGTCTCTACTCAATGTTCTGCAATCTCCTCTGCTACAACTACCTCGCCTTGTTTCTCATCTCCGTCACTCCAAGCTTCATGATCGCAGCTATTCTCCAGTCGCTTTTCTTCGTCACTTTCAACCTCTTCGCCGGATTCTTGATCCCTCTAACTGTAAGATCTTACGTCATCATCATTGTTATCATTGTCGTCTTTGAATATCTTTGCGTATACTTAGTAGTGTTTTGGTTTCTTGCAGCAAATACCAAAGTGGTGGGTCTGGTTATACTATCTGACACCGACTTCTTGGACGCTCAATCTGTTTTTCACGTCTCAGTACGGAGATATTCATCAGGAGATCAACGCGTTTGGAGAAACCACGACGGTTGCGAGATTCTTAGAGGACTACTACGGGTTTCATCATGACCGTTTGGTGGTTACAGCTATTATTCTCATTGCGTTTCCTATTGCATTGGGTTCTATGTTTGCTTTCTTTGTTGCCAAACTTAACTATCAAAAACGATGATCGATGACAAGACCACACAGGCTACTAGTATATGGCAACACAAGAAGAAAAGATGTAGAAAAACTGTTTTCAGTATGAATTCTATTGAGTTAACTGTAAAATGTACTTGAAATATGAATTACTCTTTCTTGCACAGTTTTAAGCTAATTCTAATTGTAATTAATCAAGAAAAATTGACCAAACTTTCACATTTTTAGAGTGGTATCAAGATCTTGAAGATGGAAGCCATTTGAAAAACAGCTTAGAATATGACTTCATCAATCATTTCCGACAAATCATCAACTTCTTGAAGATCCCCCAGTTTCTCCTTGATGAGACAGAGGAAGATCTTTAGCAGCTTGAGGATCCTAAGAACACCAATAGTTTCATTTTTCATTAATCCGGAAAAGTAATTGCATGAACCATGTAGTAAATATGCATAAAGCAATACTGATAGCTCTAAATATGTCTAGTCTCTTCTTGTGACTAACGGCTAGTAAAAATGGAAGTTAAAGATGTATGTGATGCTAAGTAAGGTTTGAAAGTTACCTAAATGTTTTGCGGTGATGACTCTGTCGGTTATCGTCTTGTCTCAGGATTCAAAAGATCTTCGGATTTGGTTTCTTTTGATGGAGATTTGGCTTCAGATGTTACATTACTAGTGCTGCCACCATTTGATTCTTCAGGTTCTTTTGCCTGTTAGTTAAAAACATTACATTAGTAGGTTAGTTGAGTTCATAACATTAGAGAACAGATAGATGAAGCATACTCTAAAAAGTGTTGGAAAAGGAAAAAAGAGGCAGAGCAAAAGACAATGCCAAATGTTTACAGACAAAGTGACAAAACAAGATTCTAAGCTGAATATTTCATCAGCTTTGAGTGTTTAAGTACTTCACCTTGTTCCTCTCGCGCCAGCCAAGACCAAATGAAAGGAAGCCTGTCTTCTTTTTAAGAGTCTCCTGTGGAGTTCCTTGAGTACGACCAAACCTATACAATGTAGAAGAAAATGATTTATAAACCACATTGACATTTTGAAAGATCTCTACAAATCAAAGCAGCCAAAGAAAAGAGAAAAAATAAAAGCTTAGTTGTGATGTACCTTGGAGATGATAGTGCTTTGTTTTGACCTGATTCATATTGTAAAGTAGCTTCTAGTGTTGTTTCTGCTGTAACTAATCTCTTCTCCATTTGAGCTAGTTCAGTCACAAGCTTCTCATTCTTTTCCTGTATAAGTGTTTCCATTAAGACATTTTGACTATGTTAGATTCTTTTAGGGGGTCTAATAGCCGAAAAATAGTCGCGTAATTGTAATCGGTTGATACAAAGTGAGATGAGCAAGGCACCTGAAGCACTTGTACTGCATATCTTTGCGCAGCTGCATCCTGCTCTGCACTTACACGAGCATCTTCTGTAAGCTTCTGGTCTTGCTCAACTTTCATCAGCACCTGAAGCATGCGTTAAGAAATGTATATTATACACTTGTATCAAACTATATGACCTAATATTCGAATAAAGAAGTAAATAAGAATAATGCATCACTTAAGGGAAACACAAAACATATACTCAACTGACCTGAAGCATTGCTAATTCTTGTTCTTTTTTGTCAGAAAGGACTTGCTTTAGTTCACTGACTTCCCTTTCCAGCTCTTCAATCTGCAACATTTAAGGTTTACTTTTTAGTTTACTCGAAATATACATTCTTGGAGCTTCCTCTACCTAATAACATTGTGTGGAATTTACCTTTGCACTTAATTCAAGTCTGTTATCTTCTTTGACCATCTCCATCAAAGCTATCTCCAGCTCCTCAGCTCTGTGTAAGAGAAATAAACACATATTGATATCATTTCCTAAGTATGTCATGAAATTCATTCTTCAATTTACAAAAGACAATTCTGTTCAAACTCCTTGAGAACAAGAAAAAGAAATGGAAACTGAAGCAGAGTAACAACAAAAACCTCAAAACAGCTGATCTCTTCTCTTCCAACAGTCTGCATAACTCAACCTTCAACCACACAGCCTGCACAAGAACTGTTATGGATGAAACTTAAAAGGAGTTGCGATTGCTGAAACCAACCATAAGTGGCTACAAAAGCAAGGGCAAGAGTATAGAACCAAAAAGATTCACCTGCTCTTGAAGATCAGGTAAAGAGTCTAATTCAGGAACAACATTTTCGCCATCTGGATTCGCACGAGTCTCATCGCCATCTGGATTCTCACCATGAGTAGGCTTTTGTTCATCTAAGATAGATCCTTCATGTTTAAAGCTATACAACTTAGAAGCCAATCCCTTTTTATCCTTCCACACTCGTCCCTTTTGTATTCTTTCCTCAACAATCTCTAGCACCGCTGGTCTATGTCTCTCTCTCAGCTCCTCCAGTCTCGCCTCGTTCGTCGCTAAATAACCCATGCATGCGGTCAGAACAAGTTGACTGCTATCAAACGTTGAACTAGCAAGTGTTTGCAGTGAAGTAATCGCATCTCCTGCGTCTTGTGTTGCAACAATTGCAGGACCTTCAAGAAAATAATAAATATTGACTAAGAATTTACACAGAGCAGAGAGCTGATTCAATCACCATCATCATATACAAAAAAGTCAGCAATGTATACCATATAGTTCCATTAAAGCAAATGCTGTTCTGAACAACACTACACGGTTTCCTTCAAAGAGAAGCACATCCCACATCCGCAGAACTATTGGCCAAAAAATATTAACATCAAGATATTGAAATACAACTTCAAAAAAATTTGTTTAGTCCTATTATGCAAGAAAAGTTTGTTTTCTTTAAGAGCTCACCGCATTCCCAAGGAAGAATATTGACAAAAATGGATAGAAACCATGGCCCAGATATCCATGCAACCTGCACTCCCAAGTAATCCAGATGATTAACTGCACCCAGGAGCAATATTGGTATAGTACAAACGATCACATTGCTCTGTATAAAGGAGGGAAAAGAAAAATCCAAATTAAATGAAGAGAAACTTGAAGTATTAGATGAAGAAAACTAACCGAGCTTTGGAAATCTTTCTCTCATCAACTCCTCAAAGACTAGTTGATCAACCTAAGAGACAAAAAAATGGTGATCAAAATACATCTTCCCAGAAAGGTGGTTTAAAAGAAAGAATGGTGATTAATACCTGAGATTCTATCATCTCTTCTGTATAGTAGCCATAAAAATAATCATCAATTACTCCAACCAATGTCCTGAGGTATTTCAGTAACAGAAAAGTCAGCTCATTGTCACAGCAAAAATCGCTCTGTTAATACCAATGCAATGCCATATAAGAAAATTTATAATGTATGTGCATGTAGAGATATGGAAGCTTCTTCACCGTACCAAAATGCATTTTCCTCTGGCATCAACAGAAGCAACAGGCCAGCAAAGAAGTTCATAGCCTGCAGTTCAAAAGAAAGGGGGGACAGTGACAAACTTTAGAATAGTAAAATAGCTACAGTAATAGAAGTAAACAATGTGCTTTTCAAGCCAAGTCACCTGGCAGTAGCCAACAGATGGGTTATGACAAGCATAAGCTAGAAGTATCCGTCTTAAGGAATCTCGACCATTCTCATTCAAAGCAGGGTGACCTGGGAATGTCCTAGGTATATCCTAAAGATTCATAAACAAAACAAAAACAAGATTAAAAGTGATCACTTATTTGAATGCTAAAGTCCAACATGCATGCATCTAATTAATCAACCTTTTCAATCTGTTTTTTCCACTTTCTTTGAACATCAGATGAGCTTGAATCTTCATTGCATTCATCAGAGTTAGTTATTTGAGCCAACAAATCCTGATAGTATCTCTCAACTCGTCTTGCTTTTACACCTACAAAGGCTTGCCACACCTGTAAGAGCAAAAGTTAATGCAAGATCAAAGTAAATATATTCTAAAACGAAAGAGAGAGTTAGTAGATAACAATAAACTTTACCTCTCCTCTGAGATCCTTTGGCACTCCCAAACGAACAAGTACTTCAAGTTCCTCAAACCAAGGGAAAAATGGCTCTTTAGAAACACTACTCTGAGCTTCATTTTCTCCCTTTGTTGAATCGCACCTAATCGTGGATGTCTCACTCTCATTCTCATCATTTTCTCCAGTTTTTTGTTCATCAGATTCTCCAATGGAAGACAGTGAGTGCTTTCTAGATGAAGCATGGTCCTCTACTGAATTTTTTTTCTTATACTTTACGTTCTTAACACGAGTGCACATCATATCCTCTATGGACGCAAGACAAGGTCTAATATGAGCCCATTCTATAACAGGACGTTGGGGCTTCGTTTCTTTTTTCTCTGTTTCATGTTCCAATCCATATTTCTCTGCTTCTGCTACAGACTGTTCTTCTACATTTTCTTCTTGAATGTGTACATGATCTACAAGTTCCTTTACTGATTGAGATTCTTGCTCTTCTTCGTCAGATTTTTCACTTTTGACTGATAAGTCCTTCTCTTTCTCAGATTCAGATTGCTCTTCGTCAGATTTTTCACTTCTGGCTGATAAGTCCTTGTCTTTCTCAGATTCAGATTGCTCCTCGTCAGATTTTTCACTTTTGACTGAAAAGTCTTTCTCTTTCTCTTCCTCAGATTCAGATTTCTCCTCCTCATCCTTCACAGGCTTGCTGTTTCTTTCAAGACTCTTCTCTCTCGAATATTGCTGATGGTGATTTTCAAGAACCTGTGCTTCCTTAGCTGGTTCTCTCTCTTTTGAAAGCTCATCATCAACTTTATCAGGCTTATCTTGTTCAAGATTCTGCACTTCTTTACCACCAAGCTCACACTCTGGTAAGTTATCAGAGTCATGTTTCCCTTTTCTTGAACCTTCCTCTGAAGCACTCTCCTCAGATTTAGAATCCTCTTCCTCATCCTTCACAGGCTTGCTTTTTCTTCCAAGGCTCTTCTCTCTCAAATATTGATGTTCTTCTGGAACCTGTGGTTCTCTCTCTTTTGAAAGCTCATCAACAACAACTTTATCAGGGCTATCTTGTTCAAGATGCTCCACTTCTTTACCACCAAGTTCTCTTTCTGGTAAGTCATTTTCCCTGTTTCTTGAACCTTCCTCTGCAGCACTCTCGTCTCCAGCTTCCGGACCATCAGCCTCCTGAAACTCCTCTTCTGATTCCGAGGAACTAGATTCAGCGGACTCATCAAGCCGGTCAAGAAAGTTTTTCCATTTCTCTCCCCTCTCTGTCTCTTCCTCCTATTCCAGTAATATTCATCACAAATAATATTGTCATCTACAATTTATCATATATGAGACAGCAAATGAAGAAGCATGAGGAGAGGTCACTGACCGTATAGATGCTAAGGTATTCTTGATATCTTTGAACGTGTTGAGGTCTCAGGGCAAATCCATAGGCGTCCCTGCAAATTCCATATTCCAAATCTTCTTTGTGATGATGATGAGAACACAAGACATGTATAATCTTAGGGAACCAAATTGATAGAGCAACCTACCTGGAATCTACCTCCAGTGAGCGTTTGCTCACCAAAGATAACAACATATTTCACAAACAACACTTTTTCTAATTCCCATAGTTATATTTTACATTACACAGCACACCACACTCACAAAATTCAAACAGATTTTTTTTTGATTAACCTCTATACAAAGCTTAATGGTTTCTAACATTTAATCACAGAAATATACAACATAACCATTTTCGAAACGACCATTGTGAGATCAAAAGAAGAAGAAAAAAAATTGAAATTTCAGGATCCGAAAATCCAAATGGATGATCGAGAAATCGTCAACGTAAGAATACCGATTAATCAGAGGAAATTCAAAAGAACTGATTGAAAGAAAGTCAAATCACCTGTCTTTGAGGAAGTTGTGGTCGACAATGACGTATTTCTCCGCCATGATCGGTCATGCACGATCACAATTGTTTTTTATTTTATTTTACATCAAAAATAAACTGAAAATTGATCTTCTTCTCGCATACGATTCATGAATTTCTTAACGTTTATAGAAAGAAATCTCCCTAATTTTGTTAACTGAAAAAAAAAAAAAAAAAATTCACATTTCATACATTTATGTCTGCTTCTTACAAAAATCAACACTTTCATTACCATCATTTCAAAAAGTCTGATATCTCCCCTGTTTGGGAAAGTCTGATTTAAAGTAGACAACTACTTTAAGATCTTTGAACTAATTTTCTTTGACCATAGCAAAATTATCTCATGACAGTAAAAGTAAATTATTCCACTATTGATCTGACTTTTGATCCGAATTATGAAACAAAACTAAAGGAAGGATACAAGCCCATCCCTGAAAATTGCAATGAATAGTAAGTATAAGTGTTTCCTTTATTCAGTCATAATCACTAATTTCCAAGAAACGTCACTTTCTTGTTCTTTGATAACAGAAAACACAAGAAGAAAGAGACAGACATTATGTGTGTCGTGTCGTGTCGTCCTCCCCATCTCTACTTAACACTTCGAATTTAATACTTCCAAACTCACATGTGTCCCTAAAGCCTATAATTCAATCCCCTTTATGATCACATGCCCCTTCTCCTCTTCCTCTCTCTCCATTGTTCTACCTTTCCCGTTGCATGCCCCTCTTTAACCCATCAAGATCTTAGTATACTATAGTATAAGTAAATTCATGATCCACCATGGGAAAGCGGTTCTTAATCAAAGGTTGTTTTATGAGATGAGAAAATATATATCCTCATTCTTAAATCTTGGTTCTTGATTCTTGAACTCTTAAGCTGTGTCTGAGTACCAAGAAAAATCATTACCATGATGTGGTTCTTCTTCATGACTTGAGGTTGAAGCAACAACACTTGATTCACCAGAAGAAACATTTTTGAGCTTTGAACTTGAAACCTCTTCCATGGAAGAGGAGGTCACATTTTCAGTTGCTTGATCAGTTTTTTTATCTTCCTCCAGAGATCCATCTTCTTCTTCTTGTTCTTCCTTGGAGGTTGAAGTGGAGATCGATGATACACAAGAAACTTCAGATGAGCTCAGTTGCTCTGATCCCTCCAAACTGCGTGACCCTTTAATGAATTCAAGCTTTTTCATCAGAAACTTTAGTCTCTTCTCTGTTTTTTCCCTTAATCTGATCTCTTCTTTCAAATGTTTCTCCAGCTCTTCCATCTGTTTCCAAGAGATTAAAAATCTTGTCTTTGAAAAACAAATCAGTTTTTTTATGGACCTAAGTGCTTTAAAAATCTCCTCTTTGGTTCAAAATCATACTCAGGAAGAAACGAGAACAGATTAAGTGATTCTCTCCTGGTACTAAGTAGTAACTAACAAAAAATGACTCTTTCTTGGCTCTTGATCAAACTCTCAGATCTTGAAAAAGAGAAAAATCAAATTTTCTTAAACAAGAATGATACTTAGGGTTTTATGAAGTCACCTTTTTGGTAATGAGCTCTGCTTCTTCTTTTGTAGACCTTGAGACTTGCCTCTCAGCAAGTAGTCTCCCTCTTAGACACTCCACTGTTCTCAGACCTTCCTTCTCTTCTTCATCCATCCTCTTACTTGCAGAATTTGTTCTTAACCGAACAAAAAAGATTAAAAAAAATCAATTCCTCAATCTCTTTAGTGGATTTCTTAAATCACACAATTGTATTATACATACACTCAAATAGATCTAGAGTGAGTGAGTGAGAGAGAGGGACCTACCTGAATATTGTGCTGTGATTGGAGGGTTCAATGGCCATATTGTTATTTTAATTCAACAACCAAAACCAAATTGGTAAAAGCTTAAAGCTCAACTTCACAACTAACTGCAAAAGAAAAACCAACAATAGTAAGACCAATGTGCTGTTAGATCATGTCATTATGATTAGCATTTATTGTTCATTGAGTAAGGAGCATATCAACATCAAATCTTAAAAATCAACTTACCACTACACTCTTCTAAAGAAAAATCAAGTTCAAATAAAAGAAAACAGATCCCAATCCAGATCCCTGACTTGAGAGAGGAGGGAAATGAACCTAAACACCAAAAATTTGAAGCTCTATTTGAAAGAAACTAAACAGAATCTGTGGTGTAGGGACAATAAATAAGTTAGTTTGTAAGCAAAACGACAGTGCAGGCTTGGACTTTTGTATACCTTTGTTAATTTGGCAGAGACAGAAATCTACAATTCCCGTGAGTTGGTAAATCTCTCACTTCAAGATCTTTTTCAAGAAAAATATAATGGCTGTAGATTAACTTTTTTTACTGCAATTTTTTTTATGTTATCTATCTTACATGACAAATATGCATGTGCACAAGAGAAATCATCCTGATTGTTAATGGTAAGATACAAAAATCTATAATGTTCTTTGACGTTAATTCCAAAGGAAAAATCAATACTAAAGTCTACCATCTTGTAATCCGATTCTAGCTTTACCAAGTGTCACAAAACTCTTTGTCAAAAAATATCACAACACTCCAAAAATATGTTTTCTTTTGTTTTTAGTGAAAGTTTATTGGTTGCATTTATATGTGTACTTATTTCCTTGTTATGCTTCTTGTGTTGTGCGGCATTGCACTATTCTTGATGTTAAAATACATATTAAAAAAAAAAACAAGTTTCAGACGAAATGAATAAATTAAGGAGGTGGGGAGAATCTTGTGAGTTTTGACCCTACTCCATAGATTGAATAACCATTAGCGGTCACGCAGAAAATTAATCTCCCAACCTCTCACTTTGATTTTACAACTTTAGAATTTGTAAATTTTTCAAACCAAGTGAAACACCTTATATGATTTCAAAGATTATTACCTAGTAGTATATATTTGAAAATGTTTATACAGTAGTGAAAAAGTCAAAGTTATTGTAAACTAATTCATTTATTGCCAAAAAAAGAAACCATGTACAGATTAGTTTTTCATAATATATGTGATACTGCCTTATTGTAAATTTGAGTATATTATGAGCTTCAAATCTCTGAAACTTCTCCAATACATTGAAAATAAGAATGATTCGTAATATACTCATATAACATAAATAAATGAAAAAAGAAGTGATGGATAGTCAAGAAATCTTCATTCACTTTTATTCATCAATTACTTGACTAATCTCTATTAGCTTCGGTGCTGTTTGATAGGTAGTGTGCGAGATAAGGGCAATTGTAAAAGCCTCTAACCTTAATTTTTTTTTTTTTTTTTGTATAACATCTGCTCAAACAAAATAAATGTGTCATCATGGAACATTTATCAGATTTCATAGTAATATTCTATGTTGTTACATGTTTTATTTGAGCATGTAGTTTCAAAGAAAATGATGCTTTTTGTTTTGCATTAGTTACTTGCATCAACCCACTCGAGAATCATAAGTTTTTCTTTACAATTTCTAGTGTGAGGTAAGCAATGAATTTTGCCAAAAGAATTTTCTTTTCAAAATTCTAATTATAATCCAATCATGATTTTTGTAAAACTTATTCCATAATTTTATTCATATATAATTAGATTATTTTTCTCTTAATTATATATAATTACATTTCAATCAAAATCACATGCCATTTCAAGTTACACAATAACAAAAAGTAAAACTTCAAAATCATCTAATATCAACTATTTGAAAAGCCCCACAAAAACAAATGAAACTCTTTGAGAATTAAAAAAATAAACAAATATATAAAAATCATTCAAATTCAGGGGAAAAACCGCATAAAGTATATGTTTTAAAAACATCAAATAGCTTCATCAAGCTTTTGTTTCATGATATACTCTTTATCGCTCATTGACTCAACCAAACCTTCTATTACATCATACATCTCTTTACTTCTCTCACAGGAAGTGTCTTTCGCAATGAAACTACGTAATCCTTTAGCAGTCTCGATCCAGCTAGTCCCAGGGATTTTCTTCAATCCGATTCTCGTCATCTTATCCCTCACACTCTCTGCCTCTTCCCATCTCCCTGCTTGAGTATACAAATTCGCCATGATCGTGTAATTCCCCGTGTTCTCCGGTTCCATCTCAAACAACCGATCACAAGCGAACCTCGCAATCTCCAAATCACCAAGAACAGAAGCCCCATTCAACAACCCACCCCAAACTTTAGCAACTGGTTCAATTGGCATCTTAGAAATGAACTCCATTGCATCCGAAAGCTTTCCAGCTCGGCTAAGCACACTTACCATACAAGCATAGTGCTCAACTCCAGGCTCAACGCCATACTTCATCACCATCGAATCAAATATCTTCTGCGCCTTATCCGATTCTCCAGAGTGAGCACAAGCTGAAAGAACAGCTGTTAATGTGACGTTGTCTGGCTTAATTCCAACACACTGCATCTGGTCAAAAAGACTACAAGCAGAACAAGAGTCCCCATGAACAGCATACGCTGTTATTATCGCGGTCCAAACAATCAAGCTCCTCTCTTTACAGCTATCAAAAACCCTTTGAGCTCCTGAGAGAAACCCTAACTTGGCATAGTTATCAATGATGGAGGTGGTGACGTATATATTATCGTCACAGCCATTACGGACGGCAAAAGCGTGAATCTCCTTACCTCCTTTCAGATTCGAACTATACGTCAACGAAGGAAGAAGGCTCGAAAGCGTCACAGTGTTTGGCCTAGAGCCACATCGTATCATCTCTTTAAACGAGTTTACAACTTCCTCGTGGTGGTTATTCTGCATGAGACCCGAAATCACAGCGTTCCATGTACTCAAACCAATGCTTCCCATCTCACTAAACAAAGCCATTGCTTCCTGAACAAGACCATGAGCCATATAACCTGAGATTATAGCACCGTAAGTGACAGAATCTCTCTCACTCATCTCATCAAACAACGCTCTTGCGTAATCCAAGCTACCACATTTCGCATAAAAACCAATCACAGCATTGCACAACGATAAATCCATCTGAATATGATGATGATTCTCGATCATCTTCTTGTGAACTTCCATCCCGAAAACAAGATCGCTTGATTGTCCACAAGCCTGCAATACGCTTATCACCGTGACTCCATTAGGCTTCAAATCAGAGCAACCTAACATCGATTTATACAGCTCTTTACATTCCTCAAAAGACCCACTTTGAGAATATCCAGAAATCATAGAGTTCCACGAGACGACGTCTCTCTCAGGCATTTCATCGAACACTTTCCTCGCAGACGCAATGTCGTCACATTTCGTATAGTACGTGATCATCCCATTGCCTACGAAGACATCGGAATCAAACCCACCTCGTATAACAAACCCATGAACTTCCCTAGCCAGTGAACCAACCCAGAAACCATCGTAACCCGATAAGGCCTTCAACACACAGGAGATGCTTATAGAATCGGGTCTGGCGATTCCGGAAGAGTAACAAGACGATCTAATCCAGGAAGAGAAGAGCGAGAAAGCATCGGAATACATCTCACGCGAAGTATACGCGATGAGAAGTGCGTTGTAAGAGAAGGCATTTCTGACGGTGATTCCGTCGAACACGTGGAGGGCTTGGCGGAAACGGTTCTCTCTGGTGTAGAAATTGATGAGCTTGGAAGCGAGGAAGTTGTCAGGCGTGACGGAGAAGACGACGATTCGCGCGTGAAGCTGAAGCGCGTGGAGAGGAAGACGGTGACGGGTGAAGTGCTGTATGAGGTGGCCGTAAGCGCCGCCGTCGACCGCCGCCGCCTTGTTGAGCAATCGGTGAATTTCGATTCCCGCCTTCATTCATATCTTTAACCAAATGCTAAACCGGAGAAAAATAAAAATAAGGATAAATCGAGGCAAGTTAATGGGCCTGTTTTGTTGTTTATTGGGCCTCAGGCCTATATGTGTTGTATTTATTTAGTACGAGGAATGTTCGAAGCGTTTGACTTTTTTAGTTTCATGTCTTGTCTGAGAAATTATTATTGTCGAGCTTTCAGTTTTATACAATCTCGATCATCACTGAATCGCAATTTCACTAACGAAGCAACTGAAATTGAGAGACGAGCTCGCGCTCTGAGAGTTCTTGATATCATTTCTACGAAATCTGGCGGAGCTTCGAATCGCAAGAATCATCTTGGAATCGTGAAGGACATTCTGAAAACAGAGTCGAGACAATTCAGAGGTGAAGCAATTTCCGAGGATTTTGATCTCTCAAGAACAAAAAATGGAATTTCAAGCGTTCTGCTGGAGGATTCTCCAAACTCAGTCAATGGCGGTACACAGCAGCGAGATGGGTGGAGTTTCGATGCTTATGGTTTATCCTCCGCCGTGAGCTCTTGTGGGTCGAACCGGGATTTTAAAACCGGTTCCGGGTTTCATTGCTTAGCGTTAAAATCTGGGTTGATCTCATACGTCTACGTAGGAAGCTCTCTGGTCGTTTTGTATCGAGATTCGTGTGATTTGGGAAATGCACGTAAAGTGTTCGAAGAAATGCCTGAGAAGAACGTGGTTTCGTGGACGGCGATGATTTCAGGGTTTGCGCAGGAATGGAGAGTCGATATCTGCTTGAAGCTTTATTCAAAGATGAGAAACTCAACCTCTGATCCGAATGATTACACGTTCACAGCTCTCTTGAGTGCTTGCACAGGAAGTGGAGCCCTAGGGCAAGGAAGAAGTATTCATTGCCAAACACTTCAAATGGGGTTTAAGTCTTATCTTCATATCTCAAACTCTCTCATCTCTATGTACTGCAAATGCGGAGATTTGGAACATGCGTTTCGTATCTTTGACGGTTTTGTAAACAAAGATGTTGTCTCTTGGAACTCTATGATCGCTGGTTACGCGCAGCACGGCCTTGCGACGCAAGCAATCGAGCTCTTTGAAGTAATGATGCCTAAAAGCGGAACAAAGCCTGACGCAATCACGTATCTTGGAGTTTTGTCATCGTGTAGACATGCCGGTCTGGTTAAAGAAGGAAGAAAGTTGTTTGGTTCGATGGCGGAACACGGTTTGAAACCAGAACTCAGCCACTACTCTTGTCTAGTCGATCTTCTTGGCAGATTTGGTCTGTTGCAAGAAGCTTTAAAGCTGATCGAGAACATGCCAATGAAACCAAACCCGGTGATATGGGGATCTCTGCTTTTCTCTTGCCGTGTTCACGGCGATGTCTGGACCGGAATCAGAGCTGCAGAGGAACGGCTGTTGCTTGAACCGGATTGTGCAGCCACGCATGTCCAGCTGGCGAATCTTTACGCCAGTGTTCGGTACTGGAAAGAAGCGGCGAGTGTGAGGAAACGAATGAAAGAGAAAGGACTTAAGACGAATCCAGGTTGCAGTTGGATCGAGATCAATAACAGTGTGTTCATGTTTAAAGCTGAAGAAAGTAGCAACTGTAAGATGCCAGAGATTGTTCTTGTTCTTCACTCTCTCGTTGATCACATGGAATTCCTCTAATACGTCGCCGTATTCACTCCATTTATTTACCTTTCTCTCATGTTTGTTTGGCCTTCTTTTGAAATAAACCTAGAAAACCTGAAGCTTCGTCTACAAGATCAGTGCATTGATCCAAAAATGTAATAAAAAAAATAATGTTTAGTGTCGACCACGTCAAGATCAAATTCTTTTTATATGTGTATTCCATTTGAACGTTTTCAACAAGACAACAATACCTCCATCAATCAAGACAACTAGTAGTAATGAAAGGACTTTATCAATCGTGGACAAATGAAAACACACACCCGTAATTTATTAATCAAAATGAATGTAGCTGTACAATGCGGTAAAATGCAACAAGATATTCTCCATTTAATGCAACTCTTTTGACTTTGTTCTTGTGACGTCCTTTTCTCCAATCTAAAATATACTAGTTTCTTGAAGATATTCACAAATTAACTACTCAGCTACTGGTTTGCACGATAAGTATTCTTCTTCATTTATGGATCACGATTGTTTAAAGAATTACTTTTAAGGGAATCGAATCCAAAAAAAACAAAAAACATAAACATCAGCTCAAGAAAGAGTCTTACTACTTTCAACGTGTCCTCTTTATACCCTTCCTCGACCACTAATACCGCACTACAAAGACGACGACAAAAGAAAAAAGTAGAGAGAAAGAGTGAGAGAGATGGATCTTGATTGGCCAGCTTTTCTCATGGATTACGAGTGGCTGATCGAGTTCCTGAAAGGTATGGTGAAGCCTGCGGCGGCGCTCGCCGTTGTGCTTCTTGCGGTGGCTCTCTCCTACTCTCAGAACCTTTCTCTGGAAGGAGAGATGATCTACTCTGTTTTCCGATCGTTTCTTCAGCTCTCCATTATCGGATTCGTTCTTCAGTTCATCTTCAACCAAGAGAACGCCGCCTGGATCATCCTCGCTTATCTCTTCATGGTCAGTGATCCATTCGATTTTCAAACTGATGAGAGGACATGATCGGAGAATCTAACTCATGCTTTCGATGTTTTTTTATAATTTGATGGTGATCAGGTATCTATCGCCGGTTACACCGCCGGACAACGTGCGAAGAACGTGCCACGTGGAAAGTACGTGGCCGGAGCATCTATCCTGACCGGAACTTCAATCACAATGTTCCTGCTCGTCGTCCTCAACGTATTTCCCTTCACTCCGAGGTATATGATTCCGATAGCCGGAATGGTGGTCGGAAACGCCATGACGGTCGTCGGCGTTACCATGAAACAGCTTCGAGATGACATCAAGATGCAACTAAACCTGGTAAATTGATTTTATGACAACTTAATTAACCGAACCAAATTTCCCGGTTTAATTGATTTGGTTAAAAACTGTATATATTGTAGGTGGAGACGGCATTGGCACTAGGAGCAACACCAAGACAAGCGACGTTGCAGCAGGTGAAGAGAGCTCTGGTGATATCTCTGTCTCCGGTTTTGGATAGCTGCAAAACCGTCGGTTTGATCTCTTTACCGGGAGCGATGACCGGTATGATTATGGGCGGTGCGTCTCCTATTGAAGCTATTCAGCTTCAGATCGTAGTCATGAACATGATGGTTGGTGCAGCCACTGTTAGTAGCATCCTCTGTACGTATCTTTGTTGGCCTTCTTTCTTCACTAAAGCTTACCAGTTACAAACTCATGTCTTCTCCGCAAACTGAGAATACTTTTTGATGTAACAAACAAACATTATTGTATTACAAACCATTGTTTAATCATTCTGGGAAAAAAAAAATAGAAAACAACTTAAAAAGAGTCCAAAGCAAACACACATAAAAGGACAAAGGAAATGATTCAATGGTACATAAGCCATAAGCCATGAAAATTCAAGGAGACTCGCTTCCTCTAGGGGAGGCCCGGTTAGGCTCGTAATCGTCATCAATGGGGCTCCGGTCATCTCTCGGGCTGTCGCCACCGGTTCCCACGACGGGACTGACGACAGAGTTTTTGTCTTCCTTTTGAAGCTTTGGAGATGGTGGTGGAGGGCTACCGTCAATGATCTTTGGGCTGCCTTCATCATCAAGAACCGGACTACGGTCTCTGCCTCTTGGAGAGAGAGAGTCTTCCATTCGCTTCGGACTGCGTGATCTCTCCTCCACACTTCTCTCTCTTCTTCTCACCGGTGATCTTGATCGGCTAATCATACAGAAAACAAGAAGTCAAAAGACAGAATGCTATAAGTTTACACGCATTTACATGGAAGAACACTAACCTATAGCTTCGGCTTCGGGTAAGACTCCTGCTACGGCTTGGACTTCTCCTACGACGAGGAGGAGAACGAGATCTCACAGGTGACCTAGAGTAGCTTCCACTCCGCCTTGCAATACAAACCAAGAAAAAGGTAGTAAGAAACTGGAAGGATCTACACATGAAAGGTCACAAACTCACAACGAACACTTTGAGTACCTGAGCTTCTTGGGACTGTTTTTGCAGTTTCTCTCAATGTGTCCTCTCTCTCCACAACGGTAACACTTGTTCTTCCAGTCCCCTGCTGTGCAGTCTCGAGCCCAATGACCATCAACACCGCAGTTGAAACAACGGCCCGATCCAGGAGGTGGTCCTCTACTATCATAGTCCCGAGAACCACGAGGTGCCTATCATTAAAACAAGATAGCAATGACTTTGGCAAACACATTTCAACCATTAATATGAACAGTACACACAAAACTAAACAACTCACCCCTCTTGAAAACTCCACAGTGATGCGACTTCCATCAAAGTCTCGTCCGTCCAAGTAATGTCTTGCGTCATCAGCGTCACGAGGATCACTAAATTCCTGTTTGAACAAAGACAACAACATGCATAGTTCACAATACAAAACCAAAGGCATAAGAAACTTAAGAGGGTCAAAAGAAGTTTTTTTTTTTTACTTACAACAAAGGCATAGTCACGCTTCATATCCACATCACGCACTCTGCGGAAGAGAAAGTGTTGGCAGAAAAGTAAGGCCATCATTACTCTAAACACCATTTTTCGACTAAACACACGTTAAAAACACAATTCTACAAACAGAATCGCCGAGGCGCCCCTAAACACCTGGCGAGTATTTTCCACCAAAGTCCACCCATTCATCAAACACCTTCAGGTTAGGCATTATCCCAGAGACCTTCAATAACACCATTTCATGTTAAACAACATACACCACTAAACCTAGCTCCACAACATTTCCCTCATGGAAACATATATCAAAACACCTAGTGTATACTATTACTAGCGAGAGATATAGATGCAAAACTATGCTCATTCTGCATATCACTCTTGCACAGTAACAAAACGAAACCTCATAGGTTCACAACGATAAGTAAAACAAGAACCATATTCAGAATCTCATATATCCCCAACACACTGAATTCAAAACGAAACTTCATAGATCACAACGATAATTAAAATAAGAACCATATTCAGATTCTCTTATATCCCCGTCACATTGAATTCAAAATATCAATTCATCATCAATTCATTGATAGAGATAGTCAGATAGAGAAGATTCAATATTTCAGTTACCTTCCGTATCTGTTAAAAAGGCGTTCAAGGTCTCTGGTGCGAGTTCTAGATGATAAACGTCCAACGTAGAGACGAGTGTTCCCATAGCGATCATCATAGCGAGGCATTTTTTTTCTTTCCAAACTACAAAAATGTAAAGGACGAAGAAACCAGAAATTTAGAGTATTAAACAACCTGTTACGCACTATACAAGAAGAAGAAACCACAATAGTCTCGTGAATACATAGGTAGACTCAAAAACGTTTTAATAACGTAACAGTCCACTAACTACCTATAAGAGAAAGTACACGAGAATTCTCTCTGCTTTCAAAACACATCCAATTATCTAAAATTTCAATCAACCGCCAATTAGCTAACATAGTTCGAGATAAGAAAGTTTCGATTTTTGGTTTTTTTTGGGAAGACAATGAAGAAAATTTACCAGAAGAAAGACAAACACTGTAGAGGCGTCAAAGCAACGTAAAACCTAGATCCGAGCTTCAAAAACACTAAATTTCAATCCAATTAATCGAATTCAAGAGATTATTAATACCTCCGGAGTGCGAATTGAAGGAGAGCACTGCGAACCCTAGATTCGAAATCGAAAGGGGGAAGAACAGTTTGATTACTAAATGTGCTTTCACACCAGACCGACTAAATTCAACGGTAGCGATTTGGTGTGGTCTCCTACAACCAACGGTAAGGTGTTTAGCAAAGAGATAAGAATCGATGTTACCGATGTTGTAATGGCTCCTCCACTTTGGTAAGTACGATTTTGCACTCTATTGGGCCAACATGTCTTCTAAAGCCCATGAATGGATTGAACTTATAGAAGACTCGCGCCTATGATCATCTCATCCGCATATTTTACGTTTTTGTTGTTTAGATTTTGATTAAAATATTTTGTTTGTCAGAGATGAAAACAATGGTTATATACGGTGGTTAATACAATCCCATATGTCAAAAGTTGTGTGATGAGAATGCTAAATTGAGAATCAAAAGAAACAATCGTAAATCAAAGCAGATATAGCTCTCTAGTAATGTCAAAGTTCGTTTCAAGAAAAATATACAACCATAGGAAATGCGCTCACTGTTATCAAAGCAGATACTACATTGGTTACGGATGAAATGTGGCGCGAACTGCAGTTTTGGCAGTTATTACTTACAAGGATATTCCTCAATTGGGCCAAAACATTGGTTACATATTTATTTTTGGCACATGACTTCTATTTGCATATGAAGTTACCCTTATGTGCCGGACAAATAATTGCTCTTGTGGTAAGTTCAGTTTCTATCATTTTCTTCAAAATACTATTAGAATTTGTCAGTTGATTTTTATCAATAATCAATAGAATTTGTCAGTTGATTTTTATCAATAATCAACAATAGAGCAATTATGCGCATAAGACAAGAATTGATTTCTTTTTTTCTTGTGCATCAAGAAACAAAAAACAAGAAACGGCTGATATGAAAATCTGCGCAAACTGAGAGTCAAGTATTCAAGCACACTTAAAAACCACACAAAATTACACTTAAAAACTAATCTGCTTCACAATCCAAACGCACCAAATAACTTTGGTCGACCAATGTAAAAAGTATTCAAGCAGAACAAGACACTTCAAAACCCACACAAACATGGTCACGAACTAAAGACTAGAGGACATGATATGATTCTGATGTACCACATATCCAAATGGATTCAGTCTTGTGCAGACGACGAGCCAGCTTCGAGGACAGCACTTGCTATGAAGCTCTGATTACAACCAACAAGACTTAAGGATCCGGTATCCTTATCCAAGATTCTTCTGACAAGAGCAATGCGATCGACATCCTTACCAACTCGAGCCTCGCAGGAGTCCTCGTACCTTATGTAGAGAATTGCACCATCCGGGTCTCGTGTGATTTCCATAGCCGCTTTCAGAATCTTCAAATTGGTCAGACTGTGTATCTTAGCGCGTTGCCTATTGCTTGTGGCGACCGCAAGCTCCAAATACAGACGAATCCAGTCTTTCTCTTGAAGCTCCGATTCCTTGAACACGTAAAACCGGCTAGTAATAGTATCATCCTCTTTGAAAGGATCCTCCGCCGGCAACTTAGGCATGAGACCGATGAGCCCGTAACGCCTGACGGTTTTCTTGTCACTGTCGCCATTCCTTTTCCCTACAAAGACAATCGATGAGGTTATTGATGATGACTTGTTCATGTGTACCAAATACAAAAATAGTTAAAATGATTTACCTACAAAAAGCCTAGCGACAGTGCAAGTCAAAGCGAATCTGTTATACGTTTTTTCATGAACTACAGCCTGAAAAGTTCTAACCGAACCACGGGTCGCTGCTGGATCTTTGAATTTGCAAGTCATGTAGTAAGATGAAATAACACAACCACCACCCACGGACTTGTTGTATATCTTTACCCTAATCAGCTGCAAAAAGAAAAATCGTAAACTGTTTGAAAAAAGAAAAATTAAAACAACAAATCTCTCAAAACCACCCATGATCTCACCCATGATTTCTAAAACGGTTCCTAATATAACTTCGATGTCAATATTGTAAACCTTTTTCATCTTCTATATAATGCTCAATGCCTCAATCAATTGTTTTTTGTTTATTTCACTGTTTTCTCTCCCTCTCTATTGTCTTATTGATCGATTCATTTTCTATTTTCATATACCTCATCTCTACGATTACTACATCCCTCTCTCTCGAAATTCATATTTATGAGTTCATGGTAATAATTTTTTCCAACTTCATATATATGAGTTCTCTAATTCTGTTTTAGTTTGCTCTTTTCTTATTTCTTATTGTAGATCCATTTGAATAGAAGTTTTTTCACCATCATTGATATTTCCTTTGAAGTTAATTGACTTTTTGTTTCTTTCAGTTCTAAATTGACGGAAGCACAAGCGGAGAAAACAATTTTGGAAAAGCAAAGTTCATATTGTCTCTTCGATCATACGAACAAGAGCAAGAGGCCTAAGCGAAGCATTTTTTGGTTACCGAAGTTTGTCATCGAGTTTGAGCCTCTTGCTATACTCCTCACATGAGAATCATTTTTCTTTATGTTGTAAATCATCCGTTTCATTTCTGTTATGGTGATACATCTCCATTTTCCACCAAATAACAATTCCCTATATCTTTCAAACTTTTCTCTTCCGTTAAATCCTTTAAAATAATGCAGGATGTGAAGATAACAACATTCAAAACTAATATAAATACATACATTGATGAGATCGTGTGTTTTCCTATTTTAGTGGGATTGTTTCTCACTCATTCACGTTTCAATAGCGGTTATTTTGTTCATCTTTTGTGTATTTAAAGAGACGATTGTCTCATAGAATGATATGAAGAAAATATTGAAGTTACTTGTGTCTTAAGAACCAAAGTGTTCTTGTTCTTTGTTGTTCTTGATCATCATTAGTTTTGTCCTAATTTGGGACCTAACATACATCCATGCATGATACACCAGGAGATATGACTCAGAAAAATGCATGCGAAATTGGGTTGTAATGACACCACCAAACAATATTTGTCAAATATTGTATTGTTACGATCACATGATTTGAGCTTTACGATTAAACATGGCTGTAATTTGGTGAAATTATGAAGTTCAATTTATAGTTAACATATGCAGAAGTAACATACTTGAGCGAAAAATAAAATAAAAATAAAAGAAGAAGAAACAGTCATCTTTTTGCATTTGTTATTTTTATAAGCTCCTTAAAAAAACAGTCATATAAACCGATAAACGTCAAAAACTTTATACATCGCATGAGTGAAGTGACCACTGGAACTTGATCACCAATTACTAAAACTACACAAAATATGTTTTCTTTATCAACGAGTAATGTTTTTCTCTAAGATTCTATATTTGGTTAACTACTAACTACTATTTTTTCCAACTTTGTTAATTATCCCATATTTTATAGTTTGTTGTGAATAACAAAGATACGCGGTCTACTATATATTCTGGAGTAATATCACTTGCTTTATACTTTAATACTAGTATTTTATATTTGTGAAACATTTGATATATTGTATTTATTTGGAACCTATCAAACAAATTACAAACATCAAATGACTATGTTTTTCCTTGTGAATCTTCCTTCATAACACTCTTGTCTTCTTTTTTTTTATGGATGTTTTTCTTCGCTAATCTCCATCGTTAACAAAAACTTAGAAGAGGTGGATGCATCATACATCCATAAAAGAAAATAAAAAAAAGCCTGTTGTTTGTCAGAGATGAAACAATGATTATATATTGTGAAACAATACTAAATCAAAATCCTTTAGAGAGACCAACAATGCTTGAAGTCTCTAGGGTTCTGCTCTCTCTTCTTCCATCTCTACAAGTGGAGAAGAAGCCGCCTTCTCTTCCATTTCCACCAACAAAAAAAGTCTTTAGACAATGGAGTTAAGGACCAGCAGAAGCAGCAGCAAGATAGGAGTGTAGTTAAGGATCGTGAGGAAGACGCAACGCAATGGTTTGATCAGTTCCATGAAGTTATCTCCAAAATTAAAGTAGCGTATGAGATTACAGTTTAAAAGAGCTTCTTCCAGGGTTCTGTTTGGTCTCTTCTTTTCTAGTTACCCAAAACCTGTTGTTTGTCAGAGATGAAATAATGATTATATACGGTGGATAATTAGATATTGAATTAAAACCTGTTGTTTGTCAGAGAGGAAACAATGATTATATACGGTGGATAATACAATCATATATGTCAAAAGTTGTGTGGTGGGAATGCTAAATTGAGAATCAGAAGAAACAAAATCCTACGAATCGTAAATCAAAGCAGATATGCAGCTCTCTACTAATGTCAAAGTTAGTCTCAAGAAAAAGATACAACCATAGGAAATTCGCTCACTGTAATCAAAGCAGATACTACAATCATATATACAACATTGGTTTCGGAGGAAATGTGGCGCCAACTGGAGATTTGGCAGTTATTACTTGCAAAGATATAACTCAATTGGGCAAAAACATATCAATTTTTGGCACAGGACTTGTATTTGCAGATGAAGTTACCCTTAAGTGCCGGATTGATAATTGCTCTTGTGGTAAGTTCAATTTCTAGTGTCCAAATTATTCTTGCATCTCTATCATTTTCTTCAAGAATACTAATCATTCAAGCACACTTAAAAACCACACAAAAAAAAACTAAATACGCTTCACAATCCAAACGCACCAAGTAACTTTGGTCGACCAATGTAAAAAGTATTCAAGCAGAACAAACACATCAAAACCCACACAAAGGATAAACATGGTCATAAATTAAAGACTTAGAGGACATGATATTATTCTGATGTACCACATATCCAAATGGATTCAGTCTTGTGAAGAGGACGAGCCAGCTTCGAGGGGAGCACTTGCTATGAAGCTCTGATTACAACCCACAAGAATCAAGGATTCGTTATCCTTATCAAAGATTCTTCTGACAAGAGCAATGCGATCGACATCCTTACCAACTCGAGCCTCGCAGGAGTCCTCGTACCTTATGTAGATAATTGCACCATTCGGGTCTCCTGTGATTTCCATAGCCGCCTTCAGAATCTTCAAATTGGTCAGACTGTGTATCTTAGCGCTTTGCCTATTGCTTGTGGCAACCGCAAGCTCCAAATACAGACGGATCCAGTCTTTCTCTTGAAGCTCCGATTCCTTGAACACGTAAAACCGGCTAGTAATAGTATCATCCTCTTTGAAAGGATCCTCCGCCGGCAACTTAGGCATGAGACTGGTGAGGGCACCGTAACCCCTGACAGTTTTCTTGTGCTTTTCACCATTCCCATTCCCTACACAGACAATCGATGAGTGATTGATCATTGATGATGACTTGTTCTTGTGTACCAGATACTAAAATATTTAAAATAATTTACCTACAAGCCTAGCGACACTGCAAGTCAAATAGAATCTGTTATACGAGTCTTCACAAACTACAGCCTGAAAAGTTCTAACCGAACCACGGGTCGCTGCTGGATCTTTGGATTCGCAAGTCATGTAGTAAGATGAAATAACACAACCACCACCCACGGACTTGTTGTATTTCTTTACCCTAATCAGCTGCAATTCTTTCCCATGGAGAAGGTTGTAACAATGTATGCCCATCTTGGCATAAAGGAGGACTAAGTCACAACAAGGATTCTCATCATTACAGTAGTGTGGAACCAGTCCAGTATAACCCATTCCTATGTTATAACCACATGCACGGAACCCCTAGAGAGGAAGGAAATATTATCAATTGCCTTTTTGACTTAGGATTCTGATCCATCTTCACTATAACAAATCAAAGAATATATTACCTCGTATTTCATCCGTGTCTCCTTATATTCTAACTGTAAACTTCTATGTTCACCCTCATACCTCTCGGCCCTACCGTCTGGTCGAACCCACACTAACACCTTCCGCTTCGCCGCCATCGGAAGTGATTTTGATCGATTCAGGCTTTTTTAGGTTTTCTCCACTCCACGCCGTTTATATACCTCACTCACTTATGGGCTTCCATTGGGCCTTCATGGGTCGATATGTTTTTTATTTGTGAAACATTTGATAGTATCATAATAATATTTATGTGGATCACTTCACTAAGTATTATGTGCAGGAGTTGGCCTTCGATTTTAAACATGCTGAATGCTGTACAGCATAATTATATAAAGAAGAGGTTTCTCCATAAAGGGCATAAGTTTTTTATAAGTTGATATGACAAAAAGAAAGTCAACTGGAACAAAATATGGAGACGACGACGACTTCAATAGTGTAAGCAGACGAGTAGAAAACCCCCAAATTCTCACTATAAAATACATAATAGTGATAAACTTCACGTGAACAAGTATAGGCATATATGTAATACCAAAAAAGGCAAAATATAAGCATATGAACCGTTTGGTATGGCTGATTTCCATGAATTTATACCACCAGTGCCCTAAAGTACAGAAAAATTGAGGTCAATTTAAATATACAACCAAATATGCAAGAAAAGGATTCGAACTGATGACCTTTACTTACAATTAGTAGTAAAGTTAATGGTAATTTTCTAATATTCGGGGCCGCGCTAAAGTTTTATTTAAGTGTGACGGCACTGCTTTATGCATTTGGTAATTTTCTAACATTCAGGTTACATGGAAGTGTTGGGGGTTCCATAAAGCATATATAGTATAGGAGGGGTGTATAAGTTTCTAACCTTTTTTTTAGAGTTAAAAATTTAAAATCGACGAGCTTGGTGGTTAAGACCGGCGGTGCACAAAGCAGTCGAGGTCGGCGGGAAGAATAACATCACCCGCACTGTTCGCAATAACGCCGGTTCCGTCGTCCTTACCGCCGGCAATGCCGTTACCGAAGGGGTCAAACTGATCCAGGATCGCATCGTAATTCTTCGAATTTCTGTCAGGTTGATTAATTAATTTCCGATTTCTAAAATCGCCGATGTTCCGGTGAAGAGCTTCAGTCTCGCGGTGAAGAGGTTTCGGCTTCTTCTAGGGGCGGCGAGAGAGTGCAATTGCTGAGAAGATGGCTCGTCTCGCTCAGAGAGATGGAGAGAATGTCTGATTCGAGTTTCGAGAACAATCACAGAACAGACGTTCACAACCAACCCAATCCCGATGAAGCCAAGGACTCTCCCAAGAATTTCAGTGATCAATCCAATACACGCGCAGTTGCATTTGGTCATGCCTCAGCAGCTGTAGCTTTAGTCTGTGAAATTGGTATCTCAGCAGAATGACTTTCCATTTGGCCATGCCTAGTCTTCCCTTCCCGGTGAGCCAATGACTTTCCATGATGTGTTTGATTCTGTGGCATTGCAATAGCGATTCAAAGCTTCTCCTGGTGTTTTAAGAATCTCCAAGTCTTAAGAATTTACTTCTCTTCTCATTTGTGACTGGCTCAGAATAAGATACTCTGATGGAGAAACTCGATAAGACGAATGTCAAGGTTCTCGAGCAGGCCTCATATGAAGATGGTTCCAAAACCGCTGGAACCAATGCTGCATCAACAGAGGTGACTCTGTCTCTCCTACTTTCCACTACCACATTGTTCACTCTATGCCTTTTTCACATTGGATTTGGGGGCTTACTCTTAACCGTACATAATATTTTCACATATAAGCCAAGTGAAAGGAATTACTATAAGGCTTCCAGGAAACATTTTATTCTACTGTTTTATTTCCCAAGTATCCTCTTTTATACATTTTCTTTATTTCCCAGGTAGATGTTCTGGAAAACTTGGGTTGCTGCAGGCTCTCTGAGAAATTCTTGAGCAAGTTCGCACTTTTTCCAAGCTAGAAGCACTCTTGCTCAAGAAAAAAAACATTACGAAATGGTGATTCCCTTAAAAGCCACCGTGAGAAGGTGAAAACTGCAGACAATTAAGAACATTGGCTGTTTCTTGTTGGTTTGTTTGTAACTGTCTCATACAAAGATTATTAGCTTGTTTTTTCCCCAAAATCTTGGAAATACAAAGATTGACTCTCTTCTTTGGACCCTATATACCTAATTCTGCATTATAATGTTGGTTCTTTCTGATATTATAATGGGCCACAATTTAACTTCACTCTGTATTTTTTCAGGTTGATAAACTGAAAGTTCTGCAGAACCTTTACTCAGTTCTACCGAAAATCGAATCGTGTGGATCATAGGTGAGAGCAAATGTAACCTGGTAATTTCAGAAGTTGTCTACTATCTGTATTACCATAGTTCATATTTGTCTTTCTTTCTATATCTAAAAAGAAGAAGGTCTTAGCTACCGAGTTTCAAAAACTAATGAAGTTGGCCAGCTGGAGAAGGTTTGCAGCCTCTAATCTCTTTAACCTAGTTAATGGAAATATTGGCTCAATGCTTTGGATTTCTGCTTTCATGTTTCTTATTATGCACAAATGTGATTTCCAGGATGTAGCTGCCGAACTCAAAAAACTTGAGAATTTGAAGGCTGATCTTGAAGCTCAGCTGAAAACGGTAACTTCCATGAGAACTTATACCAGACTAATCTACTGAAAACTGATTGAGATTTAGATTTCTTCCAGTCACATGTTTCTTGAAGGTCAACACCTCAATAACGTCTGCACGGGCTCGCCTGGCAGTGCCAGAGAAGAAAGAGAGCAGTTTGATAATGCAAGTAATGAAATTCCTATGCACCTCAAGTCAAAGGTAACTAATTAACTACTTGTTCTTGTCAGCTAGATGGAAGTGGAAGGTTAACAGGGTCATAGTGTATCAAAAATAGTTTTGTGATGTTTTGGCTGGCTTACGGTGTAGGAAGAAAAGCTGACTCGTTCGATATCTTCATGCCGGGTAGAGGCAGATGTTGAAAAAAAAGTGGATCAAATTCTTGCAAGATACCTGGATTCTCCAGTCTAAACCATTTCATCGACCTGCTTGTTCAACTCCTCTCTTTCTACAAGGTAATTCAATATGTTTACCCCAAATTTAGTGCCACTTTTAACAATATTATGATACAGTAGATAGTTGTATACATTTATTTATTTTTCCAATTCATATCATGTGGGACGTTATGCAGAATGAATCTCACTTGGTTACAGACTGTAAACCAAAGATTTAAAACATATCACATTCTTGATTCTAACTTTGTAGACAAGAAAGTGTCGTACAAGCCATTCGTAACCTATCTTTTGATGAAAAAGCCATTCTATTCACAGACGGAAGGTATCTCCAGGTAAAGCTGCAACATTTCCGTTGTTTTTTAGGCTTTATTAGTCATAATCAGCTCATGATCAAGATTTGACTGAAACTTTGTTTCTTGACATTTCCACCGTTGGAGAATACAAACATATGAGTGAAACAAAGATAATTCTCTCCTGACTTGGTGTTCTTTTTATTCAGGAAAGACGAGAAAAGAGTGGAAGAAGTATTTGAGGCATTGGACAAGACAAAACAAGAGTTTGAGTCCCCCGCTTCTGGATATTGAGCCATCAACATGGGGATTCTCGAAAAGTTTTCTACATGGCGGTGATTGGATACCGGCGACGCGAGTCACGCATCAGCTTTCTTAATTTACTGACATTTATGTAACTCGAATTTGATACGTTTTCCTACATCCGATACGTTTGTTACTAGTGTTTTCTGTAATTTTAATATTGTATGTATGAAATATTTCTTGAGGTTCATACGCACAAACCTGAATTATATAACATAGCAACACGGTAATTGACATTTATTTTTTCTGAGTCATATTTTGGCCGATTATATACATTTTAGTGATGATGACTAAACAACTTCCAAAATAAGTGTCACATTCAGATAAGTCTCCCAAAAACAACTTCCAAAATAAGTGTCACATTCACATAAGTCTCACATCACATGATTCGTCATCAATCTAACATAAAGTGAACGAAAGTATCTTGGTTTCAAAATCCGAAGTAGACACAAATCGGACAACCAGAACTGATAGTTTTTCCTCAAAGACTAGCGATGACTGCTTCGACCTCTTGTGGAGTGTAGAGATGATCAGCTGGTGCTACCTTGGCAATATCCACATTATTTGGAGTCGCCTACACAAACCAAAACCATAACAATTAGTTAGATCGATCACAATTTGTGTGAATTGTGAACTTTGGATTGAAAAGTTTATACCTTATCCTCCACTAGTTGCTTGAGGATAGTAACATCAATTGTCTCAGCTTCTTGAAGGGACAGATCCACATTATTTGGAGTCACCTACACAAACCAAAACCATAACAGTTAGTTAGATTTATCATAACTTGTGTGAATTGTAAGCTTTGGATTGAATATTTTATACCTTATCATCATCCATTAGTTGCTTGAGGATAGGTACAGCAATTGTCTCAGCTTCTGGAAGGGACAGATCCTGCAACAATGCAACAAGTTAACGAAACTAAATGTTTTAAATGGGAGGCGTAAGTGATGCAATCAGATTAAGAAATTAATGGAGAAAGCTCAAGTTACTTGGTTGAATTGCTCCTGAAGAGAACTATCAGCTCCTTCTGAGCCTGGACCAATTGCCTCTGCATTGCACGGCCTGAAAGTTCCACATGGATCCGTGTAGTACCTGTAATATGACAATACACTGAGATCAACTTAACTTCCTCAGAAGAGAGGATCATATCAGAGGAAGAAAGCTAAGTGAATAAGAACTTACAAGCTCAGTCCGTTTTCATCATGACCAGCAATGAGATGAGATACTTCAAATGGCGGAGGCTGTGAGGAAAACCATGTCAAAATGGAGTATATATCAACAGACAGACTAAATATGGATTTTCTACTATCCCGTTCACTTATTGCTTTCAATCATAAAGCCTAAACCTAAGCCAAAAGTTGTGAATGGGAGGCGTAAGTGATGCAATCAGATTAAGAAATTAATGGAGAAATCTCAAGTTACTTGGTTGAATTGCTCCTGAAGAGAATTATCAGCTCCTTCTGAGCCTGGACCAATTGACTTTTCATTGCACGGCCTGAAAGTTCCACATGGATCCGTGTAGTACCTGTAATATGACAAGACACCGAGATCAACTTAACTTCCTCAGAAGAGAGGATCATATCAGAGGAAGAAAGCTACGTGAATAAGAACTTACAAGCTCGGTCCGTTTTCATCATGACCACCAACGAGATGAGATACTTCAAATGCCGGAGGCTGTGTAGAAACTTTCAAGCTGCTATTTCCAGGCATCCCGCTTCTTGTCCTTCTCGGACCTCTTCCTCGCCCTCTCCGACCTCCTCTTCCTCGCCCTCTCCGACCTCCTCTTCCTCGCCCTGTCTGATCTGTCTGAGGGAAATCCAGTCTAAACTGTTTGTTGTTCTCTCTCTCTATATCACTCTCCTGTAATTTCACACCGTATTCTCCGGGTTCCATTTCCACAGAGTAGAAGTCGTACAGCAAATGAGTCGGTTTCTCCCAACAAGTAAAAGAATTAGACTTTTTCCTAGCACTGCCGGCGTCGATGAGCATTACCGCAGGAGATACATGTATATATCCACCATTAGCAGTATGATCCCCATTGCTCATCTTGCATCTGATTGCTTTCTTACCATCTATATCGCAGTAAGAAAGCATAGTTACCTGATGTGGCGCGTTTTCTTTCGGACCCATATAGATCCCTTCCTCTTCCCAGCCTTTGAAACAAATCAAAGTAGCCCCCACAGCGTGTGTTTTCAGGCGGACTAAAGCATCTTTCAACTCGAAATACCTATAGACTTCTTTTATCTTGAAGAATTTCTCTTCTGATGAGACTACCGTTTCATAGTTGCAGTTCCACTCTTCTTCTAAAAGCTCTTCCTGGCTTGCTAACGGTATCCCAGTCTCTTTTGCAAACTGCAGTCCTTCATACAGAGAAGCCATATAACAACTATGAGTTTTCTTATCAGTCAAATCTGATTGTGGAGTCAGCTTGGATCCATACAGCTTCTTATCCATGTTTTGGCAGACATAACCTTGACTCAAGGGCTTGTAAGTAGTCATCTGGCCATACAAGACAGCTGAAGAACTCACCAAATCTCCAAGGCAGAAATCCCAGCATAAGGGATGGTTCCATTGATCTCTAACTGGACCTACACTCTCCTCTATCAGATTTCTTGCCATCTCCTCTCCTACATACTCTTCACCTGGCTCAACTGTAGGAAAATAGATGAACATTTGTCCATTGCTGTCTGACAGATACAACGAATCATCTGCTCTCTCTGTTTCACCTAAATACTTCATTCTTTTTGCACCGAGGAGAGTTTTAGCCAACACCTTTGTTATTGGGACTGATTTGCTGACCCTCAGCCTGTTCCTCATCTCCTTTGGTACCTTAGCCAAAACCTTAGATCTGGCCGGTTTTACCATAAACTGCTTGTTATGTGGGGTAACATTCATCTCGTAAGGCGTCAGGTCATCAGAGAACTCCGGATCAAGCTTTTGCTCATCAGAGCACTCCACATCAAACAGTTGCATCTCTGTAGGTTGCTGAGGTTGCTGACGCTGTCTCCAAGCCCGTATTTGCCTCCTTCCACGCCTCGTCATACCAACGGGAACAGGAACAGAAGCAAACCCTGCACAAGATCACATCACATCATTATAAAACAGAATAGCTAATCAATCATTACAACACAGAATAGCTAATCAATCATCTCGCCAAAAACTTACATGCGTCCTCAATCATCACAGCCGGCTGGTTATTAGCAGCTGCACCGATGAGCCTCTCTGAGTCTGTAATAGCATCATCAAGAACTGTATTGCGTCTTCCAGTCTGTAATAATACAAAGAACACTTAGTTTACATCATCATAAACATGGACAGTTCGAAGGACAAAACAACAAGAAACATAGGTGACAAGACCTTGACATTAATCTTCAGTGCAACGTTTTCCATGTACTGCTTGCTGAGTTTACGAACATCATTTGGTTGACAGCACTGAGATACAATCCCTAGCTTCTTTTCACATACCCTTTTGATCTTACGGTGAGATCCAGTGACATCAGGCAATATCACCATCAAGAGTTGGAGACCAGGTGCCCTTTTGTGAATATCTATAACTGCTTCCTCGATTCTTTGAGACTGACAAGAGATGAACGGAATAGCAGGTCTCGGATTGAATTCCTGGTATACATAAAAAAGTTACTGACTTTTCTGGTATGAACAAAAGAAATACCCAAAAAGCATGGAAAAGAATCTGACCATTCCTTTGGTGACACAGATCCCAATCAACTGTTTGCAGAACTCCTGGGCTAAATCTCGATCAATACTCGTCGAGAAGCTAAGGCAGGTCCAAGAAGCAACTCTTGCTCCATTGATCATTTCCTAGAACACAAAAGACCAGAGCCAAAACGACTTAAGAGACTGAAAAGTATCACTCGTATAGAAGCATTAAGCATAAATCTCTCGAAGCAAAGCAGTCGAAGTATAAGATATATGACAACAAGAAATATACAAGCATGCTTTAGATTAGATTTATGGGAAGTTACCATGACGCGATCAGAGTCTATCATTGGTCTGTTGAAGTCTCTCAGGAGTGGTTCGTAAGAAGATCTAGCGGAAACATCTGCATCAAAGGAAAACAACATCACAATAGTCTTTAAGAACAGTCTCAGCAAAACAATACTTGTGTAGAGATGAAATAACGTCACCAACTGAGAAAAAACATTTAACAAGTCCTTACCAGTGTTGAGCGAGAATCCTATCTGAGTAAGCCTGAGACTCTGGAGATAGCTGCTGAAATACTCAATACCAATACCATCCATCAAAGACCTTCCAATAGCAATATACCTGAACATGAAAGCAACACAGTGGATGTTTAGTCTATACATAAGAATTTGTTACACTTGGAAAGTTGAAAACTAAAATCCAAGATTCTTACTCTTGCGATGGCAGCAGATCCCTGAGAAAACAATCAAGCACCTGGAAGGTTTCATATGGAGCCTCTCTTGTTTTCCGTTCGAGCAACTGTTGTAACTGGAACAAAACATGCCTTGACGCCAGCTTTATGGCAACTTTAAACTGCCTCTCCTTGCTGCCAAAACAATACAGTCACTATCACAATGCAAAAACCTGCAAGACAAAAATTGCTACGACGAGTTCTTAGTCCTACCTCGAGGAAGAAGAACCTGCAACTTTCTTGTCCTTCAAATCCAGTACAAACTCTATACTCTCGAAAGGGAGAGGACCAGCTGTGAAGAGACTCTTCCTGCCATCGTACGCAGGAGTCCTCTTTCCCAAGTGCGATTCTCCGTAGGTGCTCACCAGAGTTTTCATCACCGCTCTGTTTACTTTCTCCGATATCACCTCTGGGCTGATTAAAACCTGTGAAGCAACAGAATCAAACAAATTTCAGATTACGGAAACATGGACGAACAATCGTCGAGTGAAAAAACGAAAATCAGGAAGACGAAAGCTTACATCGTAGTGATAGAGATCTCTTTCAGCAACTTGAACGAGAAACTGATTCGCACGAGATTGACGAAACCCAAACTCGGGAAACTGTACGGACGTCGATGAAGACGAAATCTGGACCGGTTGCGTTACCGTCGATGTAGCCGGTGGAAGCGTCGTCTTCACCGGAGTACTCTGGACTTGCTCGGCTAACTCACCAGAGTCAGACTCCGGAAACTGTACGGACGCCGCTGAAAACGAAGCAACGTCCACGGCTTGAGGTTTCCGTCCTATCTCCTTAGAAACACCGGGAAAAAAGTCTGGCGGACGATTTCCGTGACCTCTTCCACCAGAAGCAGGAGCTCCACGGCCTTCGGAGGTTTGAAGTGCCGGCCACGAAACGGGACCTGAGCTCTGCTCCGGTCTCTGGTCAGAAGGACGAGCTCCACCGCAACGATCATCACCACCGTAAGAACCACGACTCGACATTGACGGAAAATTTCTCAAAGAAAGAGCTACAGATTTGAAAACGGAGAGAGAAGATTTGAAATCGGAGAGAGAAGAGAAAGGAGCAGAGAAAAGAAAGAGCTACAGCCTACAAATGACGTCGTCACACTGTAATTTTTAGTTTGTCTTTTTCCTACTTAGTAATTGACATATTAGCCCTTTCACTTTACCTCTCCAACATTTATTCGTAGTCGTCATTTATTTACTCTACTTTCTTTTTTTCAAATATTACTTCCATTTATAAATTATATACTTTATAATTTTTAAATTAAATTATATTATATACTGTATAAGAGCTACATGCCTATACTTATAATTTTTTTTATAAATTATTGGAATTATACTTTATTTATAAAGTATATAAATAATTTATAAATTATCCATGCTTATACTTATAAATAATTTGTAAATTATCCATGCCTATATTTATAATTTATAATTTATATACCTTATAATTCATAAAGTATAATTTATACCTATACTTATAAATAATTTATATATTTAAAAATTATCCATTTATATATACTTTATCCATTTATAATGGATACTTCCATTTATACAATTCATTTATATACTTCCATTTATACTATCCATTTATATGGTCCTACTTATATACTTCCATTTATACTATCTATTTCTCTACTTTCATATGGCCCTACCATAATTGCTATTCGCATCCCCCTATACTTGTTTTACTAAAAAGGCTTTTACTGTCACCAAAAATTGATACATGATGTTTTATTTAATCATACATATACTACATACCTATCCAAAAGAAGAAGATTTATACTCTTTTCGTCTCTTTACTACTAACCCTAACGGTATATCTCTAATCTCTCCAGCTAGTTTCAACTCTAGAGCATTTCCAGAAAGGAAGTTGGGAAAACTTCAAATTTAAGGTTTGGGAATGTTTGTCTCAAATTTAAACTTCAACTTTAGTTCATTTCGTATTTTGCATTCTATATTTTTCTATTGATCAAAATTAAATAAGATGAGAAAACTAGTTTTCGTAACAAAGAAAACATGAAACATGAAAACATTTTGACTTTGTTATTGATTCCAAAACCATTCTTTAGTATAATAATTATTTTTTCTTCATTTATTTTCAACGTAATATATCTCTTTACGTTGCTATAAGTTTATTTAATTTAATTGTTTTATATATACAGTCGATTATTATGATTCTATTCTTAATATTTGCTACTTTCCGAAGACTATTGAACCTCTCCGTATTTTGCTCGGCAATTTTCAATAATACTTAAAATGCCAACACATCTCACAATTTGTCATTATATTATAAGTTTTGTAAAGCCTAAAGTTCCCCACATAATTTCTATACAAACTAAACTAAACTCTCAGAATTGTAATTATATAAACTCAGTAGTCGAAGAAGTCCCCAAAAAAGTTGATGAAAATACATAGATCTTTGGTAAGAGGATAATATGAAATCCTACATTTCTATCTTCTTGAGTAAAAACTAAGATAAATTTAAAACCAAATTAAAAACCAAAAACAGAAAAATATACAACACGCGCCGATTCTCTGAAAGTGGGTTTGGATTTTGACATGCGATTCGAATCGATGTAGAAATCTCTATCTCGGTATATGCGCAAAACAGACTATTGAACCTCTCCGTATTATGCTCGGCAATTTTCACAGCCATTTGTTTTGCGCATTACTAATCTGTCAGAGAGAGAAAGCGTGTTTTCCTTTCTTTCGTTCTTTTTGGTTTGTGATCTGATTTTCCTTGTTCTCGAGAAAATGGCGAATGGTGCTGATAGAATGGATCTTGACCGGCACAGATCAGATCGGCGCCGGAGGTTTCATCGGCTCGCGCCTGTGTAAAAAGCTGATGACGGAGACGCCGGTCAAGGTCGTATCAACATAACAAATGGCGGTTCAAGCACTTGCTCGAGCCTGATTCAGTTGAATGGGCAGGGCCAGGGTGGATCAAGTTTCATCGCATCAACATCAAGCACGTTTCGAGGCTTGAAGGACTTATCAAGGTAGCGGGTCTGGTAATTGGTAATTGTTAATTGTTCTTATATCGGTTTCGCGTTTTATCTGTTCTTCATTGTACACGCCTAAGCAAGTTAGAACAAACAAAATAAGTTTGAGAAATTGAAAACGACAGTTTGTTGCATTCGTGATTAATATGATTCTGATCCGTTGAATTTCGGAATTCCGATATTGATTTTCCGATTCCGAGTTTTACACCTGGGCCTTTCTCTTTGATAATCTTTTTTCTACTGCTTTCTCGATCGGTACTCGTTTACGGTAAGCGTTTTTTGTTTAAACATGACATGTCACAGGCGAATACACTTCATTTCTCTTGTTTTCTGGTGACAGGGTGCTGAAAATGGACTTGCGTTCACCATTGTTTGTTTGCAGATGGAGCCTCTACCAAGTGGAAACCTTCCTCCTGGTTTTGATCCAAGCACTTGCCGTAGTGTGTGAGTGTTTTGATTCAAAGTTTCTTTTTTTCAGATGTATTCATACTTTTGGCATATTATAAATTGAACATTTCGTTTGAATAACGCCGTTCGCTCTGGTATTGCAGGTATGCTGGGAACATCCATACGCAAGTGACGGAGGTTCTTCTTCAAGAGATTTTTGCAATTACTGGTCCTATTGAAAGCTGTAAACTCATCAGAAAGGATAAGGTTGGAGCAGTTAGAAAAATAATCACCGTTTCTTTTTATCTTGGTTTATCTCTAAATATAACGATTCTGTTTTGTTATTTCTCCAAGATTACTTCTCTGAATAAACTTTCTATGTGTTAAACAGTCATCATATGGATTTGTTCACTACTTTGATCGAAGATCAACGGAAGGCATCTGTAAGCACCTTATTACATTCTCTTCTTCAATCTAAAACATACATTCTCTTGTATTATTTCTGATAATTGGGATTCATTTCACAGGTTTGGACAGCCTATCAAAGTTAATTGGGCCTACGCCACTGGTCAAAGGGAAGATACATCTGGTAAGACGGAATTAATTATCAATGAGTTGCATTTTGTTTGCTTCTTCTCTGGGAAAGGCCTCTGATGCTGAATGACTTTGTTTTGTCAGGTCATTTCAACATTTTTGTTGGAGATCTCAGTCCAGAGGTCACTGATGCAGCATTGTTTGAAAGCTTCTCTGCCTACAACACTTGCTCGTAAGTTACAGTGCTTTAAGCTCTGATTGGTTTAGCTCCATTCATGATTTTATATTGACTTTAAATGTTAAAACTAATTTGCAGGATGCTCAAACTGCCATAAATGAAATGAACGGTGAGAAATGATCATATCACAGCTTGTCGTCTTAGAGCTTTTTAGGTCGTCTTTTGTAACATAGTCTTGTCAGTTGTATAAGTTATGTTTCTTTTACCTTATCTCAGGTTAGTGGTTAAGTAGCAGACAAATCAGATGCAACTGGGCGACAAAAGGTGCTGCTTTTGGCGAGGACAAGATTAGCTCTGATGGAAAAAGTGTTGTGGAACTTACAAACGGCTCTTCAGGTTTTCTTCTGATTCCTGTGCACATTCTCTTATTTTAGTACTCACTCTCCCTTAAGAGCAGAATTGATGAAGATTACATCGATTTGATACTTGTGCAGAGGATGGTAGAGAGATCTCAAACGAAGATGCTCCTGAAAACAATCCTCAATTTACCACTGTCTATGTAGGAAACCTCGCTCCAGAAGTAGGTTGCCTACGTCTCACAGCTCACTATCCATAAACACAGAGACAGCTCTTGTAACAGTTCTCAATCTTGCAGGTAACTCAGCTTGATCTTCACCGCCTGTTCCATTCTCTTGGCGCTGGAGTGATTGAAGAAGTCCGGTGTCCAGAGAGACAAAGGCTTTGGCTTTGTGAGATATAATACTCATGATGAAGCTGCTCTTGCTATTCAAATGGGCAACTCTCAGCCTTTCCTCTTCAGCAGACAGATAAAGGTACTACTAACTTCAGTTATGATCACTAAAATCTAACTGTGTCTTGCATCATTCTGACTTCTCTGAATTGCAGTGTTCATGGGGAAACAAACCAACTCCAACAGGCACAGCCTCAAATCCACTTCCGCCACCAGCACCAGTCGCAGTCCCTGGTCTGTCCCCATTGGACCTCTTAGCCTATGAGAGGCAACTGGCTATAGCCAAGATGCATCCTCAGGCTCAACATTCGCTAAGGCATGTCAATGCAGCTGGAGCAAGTGCAGCTATGTACGATGGTGGCTTTCAGAATGTAGCTGCGGCGCATCAGCAGCTCATGTATTATCAGTAATAAACTCTCTCGTCTCCTTTGCCTCTGAGATGGGCTTTTCTTTTTCTTTTTCTATCTAAATTTTATCACCTTCTTGCTTTTTTTGTTTGTAGACCGTTTGTTCAGAGTCTTATCTATGTATCTCTTATTTTAAAGCTGTTGTTGGTTTTTTATATAAGATATGCTCACTTTGTAACGTTTGGGTCTTACTTGAATTGTAAGCCACGCAATAAGATAACATCAAATAAATAGGACTTTGTATTGGTTCAAATTTGCTGTGGTTTATGACTTTATGTTGTTATGTAGTAATGTGGTTAGTTATCAAACTTTTTATCATCAAGATTTTTGACCATCGAAGTTTTAACGTTTTGTCCTGTCGATGATCTTCGTTTCCATTCACCTACATTGTACGCTTTTTCACAAAAGCCAAAGTATATATGATAATGTTATTAAAATTGGATCTTGATCTTGAGAGAGATTAAAGCAAGTTGGCAATGTTCCAACATGGCAATAATCTATGGAGACTTTGCGTCTATAGCGCGCTTCTTTCATTCTTTGTTTCTAGAGACATAGTTTAACAGTGACCATATCAGTAAATATTTATATAATTTACATTCATACGCTATTTATATTTACACAAAAACCATTTAGTGTTTTTTCTCTTTTCTCGTCATTTTCAACGGTCCAATGCGTTTAGCACAACCCTGCATTAGTGTGTACGTAGAAAGGAAAGGATTTATAATGCAATGATATAAGATAATGTAGTATTATTATTAGGAGATAGAGCGATGGAGAGAGTAACCATTCATAAGTCGTGAGACTTGTGGCATCAGCTTCACCGGAGGAAGGGCAGTTGCCGGCGGTGAATGGTCCAAAGTTATCACATGGGGTCCCGGCTGCAGCAAAAATGTGTTTTACCCAAATGTAAGGATTTAGTTGTGATAATAAAATGTATGTTGTGATAATATGGGTTGCTACATGACCCGGTCGGAGAACCCGGAGCACGAGCCGGATTCATCTTCAGTGTCCGGAGACCACGGACATTGTTATTCCCCTTGGTAATGGTTATGCTTCTAGTGACTTGGTTCACTAGGATGGATTTGATTGTCCTAGTGAAGGGTGCTATCGAAGCTGTCCTTTTGATGATTGTGAGTACTAATGCTTATTATCATCCTTTGCGACTTTCATTTACAAACCGAGAAACAAACAAGTTCCAACCTAAAACCTTCATTGTTTTTGTGTTTGTTGTTCAGGAAAACCCACAGAGAGCGCAAATGGCCATATCTTTGTTTACACGGTGAATCAGTATATTCGCTACGATCAGTATAATAAGTAATCGGAAAATATGCAAAACAGCCTTCTACTAAATTTTGTTAGTTTTTATGGTCTAACATTTTTACTTTACTCATCTTTGCATGGTGAAATTGTCAGAAAGCGATCTTAAGTTTCTTGAATTTCTCTGACTTAGTAATTGCCAGAACAAGAAGCTTCAAAACCCACACAAATGCTAAACATTGTCATAAATTATAGCGAGAGGACATGATATTTAACTTATTAGAGAGAAAACAATTTAGCTTATTCTCTCAAACTATTATCTATCCACTATTCTAGGAAAGAGAAATACACCTTAAAATTTTAATAAATTGATTAACTATATAAAAAATACAAATATTGTATACAGCTCAAATTAAAAATAAAAAAATGAAACACAACACAAACCTTTTATTATCTTTTCTTTTATTAATTTTTTGAAAAAAAGCCAAAAATAATAATTCAAAAGAAAACTGATTCATCATCTCTGTTTGTTCTTGCTCTCAATCAATAGGGTGAAGTAGGGGTAAAGTAAAACAAAATTCTAAAGAAGAATCTCCAAACAACACTGATCCACAAACAATTTTATTTGCTAATATCTGTAATCCCTTACTGCTTCAGAATGTCGGATCAATAAAAATACCACCGTGTGACTAGAATTTGTCTGTAAGACCAAATTCTTTTCTTTCTCATCGTTTTCTTTAACTTTTCATATGAAGATATATGCACAAACTGAGTGTCAAGAATTAAAGCAGAACAATCACACTTGAAAACCACACAAAAACTAATCAGCTTCACAATCCAAATGGTGCAAATCCGCTGCGCATTCAAATTTTCATAGTCGACCAATGTTAAATTGAGCGTCAAGTATTCAAGCAGAACAAGTCACTTCAAAACCCACATAAATACACCTTAAATTTTTAATTAATTGATTAGCTATATAACAAAGAAATACAAATATGTAGCTCGGAAAATAAGAAAATGAAACAAGACACAAACCATTTATTATCTCTTCTTTTTTGATTTTCTGAAAATAAGCCAAAAATAATAATTATGGGAGAAAAAATAATTCATCACCTCCGTTTGTTCTTACTTCCGATCAACAGTGTGAAGTAAAACAAAACCCTAAAGAAGAATCTCCAAGCTACAATGATCCACAAACAATTTCATTTGCTAATATCTGTAATCCCTTGCTGCTTCAGAATGTCGATCCCCGTAGTCACGCATGTCTCCGCCGCCATATTGATCCCCAAAATGCCGCTCATGCTTTTCAGGAGATTCAATTTCACGGCACCTGCCCGAGCGGCGAATTGTCGAAAAACTGAATCCCAAGGACGAAATATTTCGTCGGATGGGTATTTCACGAGGGAGAGGTAATGGAACCAGATCCAGTAGAGAGGGATTTGGTCCCGGGAGATGAAGAATCCAGAGAAGAGGAGGAAATAGGCAAGGATCGCTACGACGATGGTGAATCCGAGCATCACATTCGATATGACGCCGGACAAGAACGTTACGAAGGAGCTTTCGGCCCAAAACGAGGCCAATATGGTGAAGAAAAGGAAACCGATGGCGCCGCCGGCGAGACCAACAGCCCGGAACGTGGTGGCTACAAAGCTTCCGGCGAGGAAGACGAGAGCAGGGATCAAGATTATGGACTGAGAGAGGACCTACGATGAACTCCGGTAAGCGTTGTAAGCGGTTTCTCTCATGAATATGTAACGCTCTTGTAGAAACACCGGAATCGCTTCCGCATAGGTGTAAAAAGTTGTGGACATTGCGAATGCGAAGAATCCTAAACGCTCTTGGACGCCTTTTCGGGAATTGTCTGGTTTCATGAACATTGTATCTAGGATGATTCCAGTGACCATAACAGCTCCTAGCCGCATTCCGAATAGTTCCGGTTGTCTTCTAGAATTTAGGATAGAGCGTTTGCCTATGACGATCATTTCGATCCAGAAAGGATTAGCGAAAGTTTGGAACGAAGGTTTTAGATTCGATGAGCTGTTGTTTGTTTGTGTAAACACACACATGAGGATCAATAAAAATACCACCGTATGACTAGAATTTGTCAGCAAGACCAAATTCTTTTCTTTCTCTTTGTTTTCTTTAGCTTTTCATATGAAGATATATGCGCAAACTGAGTGTCAAGAATTAAATCAGAACAATCACACTTGAAAATAACACAAATACTAATCCGCTTCACAATCCAAATGGTGCACATCCGCTGCACATTCAGATTTTCATAGTCGATCAATGTTAAATTGAGCGTCAAGTATTCAAGCAGAATAAATCAATTCAAAACCCACACAAATGCACCACTATCCACTATTCTAGGGAAGAGAAATACACCTTAAATTTTTAGTTAATTGATTAGCTATATAACGAAGAAATACAAATATGTAGCTCGGAAAATAAGAAAATGAAACACGACACAAACCTTTTATCATCTTTTCTTTTTTTGATTTTCTGAAAATAAGCCAAAAATAATAATTATGGGAGAAAAAATAATTCATCACCTCCTTTTGTTCTTACTTCCGATCAACAGTGTGAAGTAAAACAAAACCCTAAAGAAGAATTCCCAAGCTACAATGATCCACAAACAATTTCATTTGCTGATATATGTAATCCCTTGCTGCTTCAGAATGTCGATCCCCGTAGTCACGCATGTCTCCGCTGTCATATTGACCCCCAAAACGCCGCTCATGCTCTTTAGGAGATTCAATTTCACGGCATCTGCCCGAGCGGCGAATTGTCGAAAATCTGAATCTCACGGACGAAGTATTTCGACGGATGGGTATTTCACGAGGGAGAAGTAGTGGAACCAGATCCAGTAGAGAGGGATTTGGTCCCGGGAGATGAAGAATCTGGAGAAGAGGAGGAAATAGGCAAGGATCGCTACGACGACGGTGAATCCGAGCATCACATTCGATACGACGCCGGACAGGAACGTCACGAAGGAGCTTCCGGCCCAAAACGAGGCCAGGATGGTGAAGAAGAAGAAGAAGAGGAAACCAATGGCACCGCAGCCGAGACCAACGGCCCAGAACGTGGTGGCTACAAAGCTTCCGGCGAGAAAGACGAGAGAAGGGATCGAGATTATGGACTGAGAGAGGACGTACGATGATCTCCAGTAAGCGGTTTCTCTCATGAATATGTAACGCTCTTGTAGAAACACCAGCTTCCGCACAGTTGTAGAAAGTTGTGGACATTGCGAATGCGAAGAATCCTAAACGCTCTTGGACGCCTTTTCGGGAATTGTCTAGTTTCATGAACATTGTATCTACGATGATTCCAGTGACCATAACAGATCGTAGCCGCATTCCGAATAGCTCCGGTTGTCTTCTAGAATTTAGGATAGAACGTTTGCCTATGACGATCATTTCGATCCAGAAAGGATTAGCGAAAGTTTGGAACGAAGGTTATAGCTTCGATGAGCTGTTGTTTGTTTGCGTAAACACACACATGAGGATCAATAAAATACCATCATATGACTAGCATTTGTCAGCAAGACCAAAATTTTTTCTTTCTCATTGTTTTCTTTAGCTTTTCATATGAAGATATATGCCCAAACTGAGTGTCAATAATTAAAGCAGAACAATCACACTTGAAAACAACACAAATACTACTCCGCTTTACAATCCAAATGGTGCACATCCGCTGCACATTCAGGTTTTCATAGTCGATCAATGTTAAATTGAGCGTCAAGTATTCAAGCAGAATAAGTCACTTCAAAACCCACACAAATGCACCACTATACACTATTCTAGGGAAGAGAAATACACCTTAAATTTTTAATTAATTGATTAGCTATATAACCAAGAAATACAAATATGTAGCTCGGAAAATAAGAAAATGAAACACGACACAAACCTTTTATTATATTTTCTTTTTTGATTTTCTGAAAATAAGCCAAAAAAATTAATTATGGGAGAAAAAATAATTCATCACCTCCGTTTGTTCTTGCTTCCGATCAACAGTGTGATGTAAAACAAAACCCTAAAGAAGAATCCCCAGGCTACAATGATCAACAAACAATTCCATTTGCTGATATATGTAATCCTTTGCTGCTTCAGAATGCCAATCCCCGTAGTCACGCATGTCTCCGCCGTCATATTGATCCCCAAAACGCCGCTCATACTCTTCAGGAGATTCAGTTTCACGGCACCTGCCCGAGCGGCGAATAGTCTAAAATCTGAATCCCTCGGACGAAACATTTCGTCGGATGGGTATTTCATGAGGGAGAGGTAGTGGAGCCAGATCCAGTAGAGAGGGATTCGGTCCTTGGAGATGAAGAATCCGGAGAAGAGGAGGAAATAGGCGAGGATCGCTATGACGACGGTGAATCGGAGCATTACGTTCAATACGACGCCGGATAGGAATGTCACGAAGGAGCTTCCGACCCAAAATGAGGCCAGGATGGTGAAGAAGAAGAAGAGGAAGCCGCTGGCACCGCCGCCGAGACTAACGGCCCAGAACGTGGTGGCTACGAAGCTTCCGGCAAGGAAGATGAGAGAAGGGATCAAGATTCTGGACTGAGAGAGGACGTACGATGATCTCTGGTAAGCGTTGTAAGCAGTTTCTCTCATGAATATGTAGCACGCCTGTAGAAAGACCGGACTTCCTTCTGCACAGGTGTAGAAAGTAGTAGACATAGCGAATGCGAAGAATCCTAAACGCCTATGAACGCCTTTTGGGGAATTGTCTAGTTTAATGAACATTGTAGCTAGGATGATTCCGGTGACCATAACAGCTCATAGCCGCATTCCGAATAGCTTTGGTTGTCTTCTAGAATTTAGGATAGAGCATTTGCCTGTGACGATCATTTTGATCCAGAAAGGATTAGCGAAAGTTTGGAACAAAGTTTTTAGGTTCGATGAGCTGTTGATTTTTTGCGTTAACACACACATGAGGATCAATAAAAATACCACCGTATGAGTAGAATTTGTCAGCAAGACCAAATTCTTTTCTTACTCATTGTTTTTTTTAACTTTTTATATGAAGATATATGCGCAAACTGAGTGTTAAGAATTCAAGCAGAACAATCACACTTGAATACCACACAAAAACTAATCTGCTTCACAATCCAAATGGTGCACATCCGATGCACATTCAGGTAGTGTGGTTTTTTTTTATCAAATTTGTTGGTCTTTCGTGACATTTTGGAGTAAATTCGACTCTAAATTGTTTGTTTCTCTCTACGTTTTCTATTATCCTTACATTTCATACCATATTCTCTGATTTTCATTAGATAAGTTGGTTTCTTCCAACAATAAAAATCAAGGTGATTTTCTTAGCACTACCCACGTCAGCATCACTTGGGGAGATATGTGAACATATCCATGATTAATAGTATCCTCCTCGTTACTCATTTTGCATATAATGGTCTTTTTACCATCAATTTCGCAATAAGCAAGCATGAGTACTTGGTGTAATTCCTCAAATGGTGCTCCTTCTTCCGGACATGTATAGAGTCCTTACTCTCTCCAGCAATCAAAGCTGATTAACGTTGCTGTCACTCCATGTGTCTTCAGCCGGATCAACGCTTCCTTCATATTGGTATACCAATAAACTATGTTTTATTTTGAACATTTGCTTATTCCAACCTAGTGACATCTTTTCCTTGCTAGCTAATGTAATGTCTTTTTCTTTTCCTAATTATAGTATGTCGTGAAAAGAACATTAGTAACAACCCTGAATTTTCTGTGCGTTTACATTTGATTTAGTACATTAGCCAATACTTCAGACCTCGCGGGTTTTTGTAAGACATTTCTCAACTCATAATGCGTATGTTCATCGTTGGAGTACTTCAGATCACCTAGTTGGCTCTCACTAGGTTGTTGTCTCCGTCTGGTTTCCATCAGCCTTCGAAACAGATCATAGTTGCTCTCACGGCGTGTGTTTTCAGGCAGATCAATGCGTCTTTCAAGCTGAAATACCGATACACTTCTTTTATCCTGAATAATTTTTTTCATGATGAGATTTTCCTAGAATAATAGCAGCTCCACTCTTCTGAAATCTCTGTCTTGCTAGCTAATGGGATCCCTTTCTCTTTTCCAAATTGCAGTCCCTCGTACAAAGAAGCCTCGTAACAGCTGTGAGTTTCCTTAGCATTCAAATCTGATTCTGCAGTGAGTTTAGATCCATACAACTCCTTTTTCATGTTTTCGCACACATACCCTTGACTCAAGGGCATGTAATCAGCCATCTGCCCATGCATGACGGCTGAAGAACTCATTAAATCGCAGAGGCTGAAATCCCAGTATAGGGGATGCTCCCATTGATCTCTAAATGGTCATGCACTCTCCTTTATCAGATTTCGTATTTTCTCATATGGCTTAATTGTAGAGAAATATATGAACAAATTGAAAGATTACTTATGACAGTTATTATTTATTTGTTTGTGCATGAGTGTTAAGAATTCAAGTAGAACAATCACACTTGAAAACTACACAAAAACTAATCCGCTTCACAATCCAAATGGTGCACACCAGCTGCATATTTAAGTTTTATATTGAGAGTCAAATATTCAATCAGAACAAGTCATTTCAAAACCCACACAAATATCATAAACGAAAGATAGAGACATGATATATAACTTTCACAAAATTATTAGAGAAAGAAAAAAAATTAGCTAATTCTCCCAAACTATTATCAGCAGCACCACTATCCACTATTCTAGTTAAGAGAAATACACCTTAAAATTTTAATTAATTGATTAGCAATATAACGAAGAAATACAAATATATAGCTCAAAAATAAGAAAATGAAACACGACACAAACCTTTTATTATCTTTTCTATTTTGATTTTCTGAAAATAAGCCAAAAACATAAATCAGCGAGAAAACAAAATGATTCATCATCTCCGTTTGTTCTTACTCCCAATCAACAGTGTGAAGTAAAACAAAATCCTAAAGAAGAATCCCCAAGCAGCAGTGATCCACAAACAATTCCATTTGCCAATATCTGTAATCCCTTGCTGCTTCAGAATGTCGATTCCTGTAGTCACGCATGTCTCTGCCGTCATATTGATCCCCAAAACGCCGCTCATGCTCTTCAGGAGATTTAATTTCACGGCGTCCGAAACCTGCCCAAGCGGCGAATTGTCGAAAATCTGAATCCCTCGGACAAAGCATTTCGTCGGATCCTCGAATTCGTTCTGCAGAACCCCCTCGTAAGGATATTTCACTAAGGAGAGGTAGTGGAACCAGATCCAGTAGAGAGGGATCCGGTCTCGAGAGATGAAGAATCCGGAGAAGAGGAGGAAATAGGCGAGGATCGCTACAACTACGGTGAATCCGAGCATTACATTCGATACGACGCCGGATAGGAACGTCACGAAGGAGCTTCCGGCCCAAAACGAGGCCAAAATGGTGAAGAAGAAGAAGAGGAAACCGCTGGCGCCGCCGCCGAGACCAACGGCCCAGAACGTGGTGGCTGCGAAGCTTCCGGCGAGGAATACGAGAGAAGGGATCGAGATTATGGACTGAGAGAGGACGTACGATGATCTCCGGTAAGCGTTGTAAGCGGTTTCTCTCATGAATATGTAACGCTCCTGTAGAAATACCGGAATTGCTTCCGCGCATGTGTAGAAAGTTGTAGACATTGCGAATGCAAAGAACCCTAAACGCTCTTGGACGCCTTTAGGGGAATTGTCTAGTTTCATGAACATTGTAGCTAGGATGATTCCGGTGACCATAACAGCTCCTAGTCGCATTCCAAATAGCTCCGGTTGTCTCCTCGAGTTTAGGATAGAGCGTTTGCCTATGACGATCATTTCAATCCAGAAAGGATTAGCGAAAGTTTGGAACGAAGGTTTTAGGTTTGATGAGTTGTTGTTTGTTGCTCCGGAGACGAGTTTCCCCCTGGAGATACTCGCGGTAATCGCTTCTTTGAGAGAGACGTTGACGTTTCTGTTGCCATTGTTCTCGTAGCTGCTTGGTGGTGCCTGCTTTGCTCGCCATTGCTTGTGGAACTCAACAAGCGCCTTGGTACCTTCTGCTGAGTTCTCCAGCTCCCGGATAAGGTCGAGCGCGAACTCTGTTTTGTTCTCGTTCTCAGGAATCGGGTGTTGGAATTCTTGAAAGAACTGAGGGAGATGTGTTGGTGAGCCGCTGTAGACTGTGTTTCCCCTGGAGAGGAAGATAAGCCGATCGAGCAAGCCCATGATTCTGTAACTTGGTTGATGTATGGACATGATGACTATGCTTCCACTCTGTGCGATTCTCTGAAGCACTTTGATGACCATGTAAGCGCTCGTTGAGTCAAGCCCTGAGGTTGGCTCGTCGAGGAAGAGGATGATCGGGTCATGGATGATGTCGATTCCGATTGAAACACGTCTCCTTTCTCCTCCAGAGACGCCTCTGTGTCCTTCATCACCAATCACTGTTCTCGCAGCGCTTCTTAGTCCCAGCTGGTCGATCAAAGCTTGTACTCTTGCTTTCTTCTTCTTCTTGGAGAGTGAGCGAGGGAGTCTAAACTCTGCGGAGAACATTAGAGTTTCCTCCACGGTGAGCATCGGGAAGAGAAGGTCGTCTTGCATGACGTAAGCGGATATGACTTTCTGCATACTGGATTCAAGAACTTCCCCGTTTAAAGTGATGGAGCCTCTGAGGCTGTCTTTAGCGATCCGGTTGGCTAATGCATCGATCAGCGTTGATTTACCGGAACCACTTGCTCCGAGAACGGCCATCATCTCTCCTTCGTGTGCTTCCCCTGAAACACCATTGAGTAGTATCTTAGTGTTCACTGCAGAATCATTTGATGACCTCCCGCAGAAAGCGAGCGGCGCAAACTTCTTCTGGATCTTCACGCTGTATGTCAAGTCGTTGAAAGAGAGAACAAACGGGGATGATGTTACAGACGAAGCTGGAGCAGAGGTCCATGAATTGAAAGAGGACGCAGAAGAAGTGAGAGGTGAGGCCATTTCTAATGCCCGGCGAGTTGTTGTTTGATCGTTCCTTGCATCCTCCACGTTCATTAGAAGCTCGGCGAGTGTGGCAGAGGCTCTAGGCGCGTTTGTTGGACATCTCTGAGGCTCCATGGACGTTTGGTTTACATAAAACAGAGGAAGATCATTGTTCCCGGCTACTCGTTTGGTCGGAGATAATTTTCCGAGAAAGCCAGACATTTTTAATGGATTTATTAGTTTTCTTAGGTTACGAGTTTAAGCTCATACCCACAAAGAAGAAGATATGAATAGGAAGGAGAAGAGATTTTATATAAGGAGGAATTTTGATAGAAAGAATGAAAGAGATACGAAAGGGTCAAATAAAGTTGGTAATCTAAGTATCTAACGATGGCTTTTTGGGTTTTGTATCTGTCGATGTAATGTATGAACCTAAAAGTAAATGGGTAGGTGAGAGGAGTTGTGCAAAAACCCTTCTCAATATATCTTTCTGTTGATGTTTATGTCTATTTCTTGGGGGATAAGGTACATTGAAAATTTTATATTATTTCAATTTTTTTGTTTGATGATTTGGGTTTAGCTACACGGATTTTATGGATTTGAGATATAATAAAAGAGCACATACAGTATTGTGTTGATGGCAATCTGTTGAGAATATTGTCCATCGAAAAGTATATTCAACTGCTATCGAGTAGATGTCTAAATCGTGCTAAACGGGCAAACTCGTACCTATCTTACGATAATAATGATATAAAATTATTCTTACTTGATGCTATTAGAGGAGCTTAATGAAACATAAATTTAGGAAGACATTCATCTTTTTCTAAAAACCTTTATTTGCATTTGAAATTCTTTATAGTGGTTTCTTGTAGTATTCAAGTAAGCTTATATTTGCTCGTTTAAGTTTTGTTCTTTCAAGTTGAAGAAATATTTAATTTGTTGGTTTGTCAGATAAGCTCTGTCTAACCACAAACAATTTATTTCATATTGATGAACATTACAAGGGGTATTCATCGTGTGTGCTACTCAAGATTCTTCTTCTTTTTTTTTTTTTTTTATATATCAAAAATATTATTTTGATGATAAAATACAATTGAAATTTTCTTAAAAGTCTTCACAAATCTAAGCCTAAGATTTTCTGATAGATCTTAAAAATATTAAAAGTTATACAAAATCTTTAAATTTTGTCAATCCAACCAAATCTAAAATCATTGTAAATAAATCTCATGTTAGATTTTATATGTTATATAATTCCGAGGGATAATGATGATGGTCGATATACTTTTTATTTATGATATTTCTCTTCTAGTCAAAATGGGATAAACTAAATGTGGATTACTTCACTCATTGCTAAATAATTACCTCAAAAAAAAACTCATAAACTTGTTGTGTGCGAGTTGGACTTCGATTTTAAACATGCTGTATAACATGAATTATGCATCGAAGAGGAGTTGATAACTTGATATGACAAAAGGAAAGTCAATTGGAACAAAATGTGGAAACGACTTCAATAGTATGAGCAGACGACACGAAAACCCTCAAGTTCTCACTACAAAATACATAATAATAAGCTTAACGTGAAGAAGTAGGCATATAATATCAAAAAATGCAAAATATAAGCATAACGTGGAAAAGTAAGCATATAAACGTTTGGTATAGCTGTTATATCTGTTTTTCATGACTTTATACTATACGCTTTCATCTATGGACCTGAATCAGTACATTTCATTTAACTATTCTTACAAGAAATCTCATGACCCACGGAAAGAGAAACATGTACGTAATACTATATACTATAGTTGTTTTTAGTTTTGACGCCTGTCCCTTTCAAATTTAATAACTAAAAAAAATGTTAAATAATATATATAAACAAATGTTACAAATGAGAATCTGCGAGAGAGGTTCTGGTAGTGTTAGCTATCTAGGTCGAACAAGAATGTTTACAACTAGAAAGATTGAGGCTGTTCCAGTTCGCTAGAAAGGATGATATAAACTTGTGCATACATACAAGCAACGAAAATATCATTGTCTTAACATTCGTACCAAAAAAACGAAAATATCATTGTCTTGATAATACCTCAATATCGAAATTAATTCGCTATAATCATATAATTTCATAGAACTACTATGTCCATAGCCGCATATGGTTACTTCTTTCATTTATCAAAATAATTTCAAGCTCCACGTTTTTTTGGATCAAGCTGCAAAAGACTAACTAATCCAGGTAAGGTTTAGTAAAAGTTCAAATCCTTGATGATTAAAAAGTTCAGCTGAACATATGTAATAGAAAAGAAAAAGAAAAAAGGTTCAGTTTGATAAAATGATTTCAGCTCGTTGACAAATTAATAGATATATGCTCGCTGACGTTCGGACAGCATAACCGTTGAGCATAGATTGCTATAATAGGATGTGTAAAAGTCAACCCTCAGAAGTTGAAATCACGATTACCGGAAAAAGAAAAACATGTAGCAAACATTTCATAACTTGCTCACACTGAGTGCTTGCAAGATACCCTTCTAAGAGTTTGTGTGCTTAAGTTTAGAAAGTGAATTTCGTATCGTCATTTTGACGGACAAGGGAGACAATAGGATCAGCACATAATTTTTTTTTTTTTTTTTTTTTTGTGAGCTACAAATTATATTCAGAGAAGACTCAAGTTTCTACAACTTACAAAATCATGTTTTTTTCTCAAATGTCTTCTCTTCTCTCGGCACTAGTGGTACTACAAATATTATCTAACCAGAAAGACATGATAACACATGTTAACTCAATTTGTGGAGGTTTCTCCTACAAACATCAACTTGGATTCTCTCGAAGAACTTGATCTCACTGATTGCTTTGCTTCATGTTGAATTTTTTTTTCCAGAGAGCTCCATAAACGTTAAAAAACTCATGCTCATGAAAACTGCAATACAAGAAACGCCTTAAATCGGCGTTACTATCCGAAAGTTTCGACTTTTAACCAAATCGGTTTAATAATCCGGTCAACAAAATTGACCGGGTCTAGTTATTTCGAGTCGGTTCCACGAAAGCCCATTATTAAAATTTGAGGCCCATATATCGGGATTCGTGTAAATTGCACTTTTAACGGTAGTCTCAGACTCAGAGATTCAAAATTTACTCTCTCTCGATCTCTTTCTTTTGCGTCAAGCCTTTCAATTTTGTTGATCTCCGAAGAGAGAAATTGAAATAGAAACTCATTTTTTCTCTCCCGATTTCGTTTGCTTCGTTTCGCGTCGGAATCCAAAATCCGATACACCTACTGTAGTTATCATTCACCGGAGATTCCTAATTTCGAACCTTGTTCGCAACGCAACTGAGAAATGAAGAGAATCGAAGATACTTCCGGCGGATCTGAGCGAAGATCCTTCGAGTCGTGTGATCCGTACACTGATTCGCGAAGGTATTGATCCTATGGCTTTCGATTGCTTGTTTAAAATCCCTACGGCTTGGGGGTTTTCTTATTGTTTGTTCGCGCAGATTTCATTTTCCTCCTGTTAATCATTCGATTTCGGTTTCTCTAGATCCTGATCGATTCGTTTTACATGATTACTAGTTTTAACTCGTTAGGGTTTGGGCTTTTGTTTGTTCGTCATTTCCACATGCTGGGTTTCTTTTGTTTCACATATGTAAATCGCTCAATGTAACCGATAGAAATTGAAAATTCGTTACCTTGTTTGTCTTCAAGAATAGCAATTTTGAAAAACTATCAAGACTCTGTAAACTAGTGCTTAATTTGCTTCTGCTATCCTTTTGTTTCTCTGTTTCATTTGTTTTGGTTCGTCATTTGATTTGTTTTTTCCTCCATTGAAGGGAAATGGAATTAATAGTGGGATACATGAAACATAATTCATTGGAAATCTAAAGAACCACCACTTCTTGTAAGTAAATTCTTCTTCCTTCCTAAGTGTTTGAGATCTCTGAGACAAATGATATAAGATCATTTCTTGATTCCTCTGTTTGGCTAATTGACCAGAACCCTGAGTATGAACAAACCCTGAATGGGACTGTCGCGGATTCGTTGTTCGTTGTTCTCTCTGCTTTCTTGGAGATTCCTCATAGCTTATTCAGGTATATAATCAATCTTCCTTGTTTCTAGTGTGATAGGAACTTAGAAAGATTCAATCTTTTTCTAGGTTTCGTTTTTTAAACTAGAATCGATTGCGTTTGGACTGTTGAGAAGATTGTCTAAAATCTCAGAATGTTCTGTTGAGAGTTACCAAACTTCGCTAAAATTGATGCATGCAGGTTAAGGATCTTGAGAATGAAGTTGAAAGAATCTAAAGGAAACTCTCTTGTGTGTTGCAACAGATGAGATAAGGTTACGGATTTTTTAGCATAAGTTTATATCACTAGTTAAGTATATAAAGACTTGAAAAGTAACTAATCATTTATTAACAAAGTTTATTTCTGGATATTTCAGGTGATGATGATGTCTTTGTCAATATGCTTCTTCACCTTTTCTCCGTAACTAGTACGTTACCAAGGTTAGTTCACTTTTCTTTTTCTTTAACTTCTATAGTTCTCGAAAACCATGTTAATTGTTCTCTGAAATCAAAATTAAAGCTTTAGAACTTACAAAATAATCAAATACCCAAAACAATTTCTTATTTCCAAAACTTATTCATGATCCAAAGCTCTCCCAAATTATCTTATCCTAGATTTAAACCAATTAGAGATTTTAGATTGTCAGATTAATTAATAAAAACTCGATAATTTTACGAATTGTGAGAACTAAAATAGTTGGCGGTCCACTCATTATTTGAGCGTAAGAGTCAGCCATACTCAACTTGTTTTTGCATGAGTAAATCAATCGGTTTTTGATTAATCTAGCAACAAAAATATCTCTATCTAAAATAATTCCTAATTAATACTCTAACTTATTCATGACCTGAACCTCTTTTAAAAATTTAATTTAAATTAGTCACTGTAACTAAAATCAAAACTTTTAGGAATTAGAAAATAATCAAATACCAAAACACATTCCTTATTTCCAAAACTTATTTATGATCTCTCACAAATTATCTCATCCTATATTTCAACCAATTAGAGATTTTAGGTTGTTAGATTAGTTAATGAAAAATTGATAATTTAGGAATTGTGAGAACCAAAATAGTTGGCATAACAGTCAGCCATACTCAACTTGTTTTTGCACGAGTAAGTCAATTGGTTTTTGAATAATCTCCCAACAAAAATATCTCTATTTTGAAAAACTCATAATTAATACTCCAACTTATTCATCACCTTAACCTCTTTTAAAACTTCAATTGAAATTAGTTATTGTAATGAAACTTAAAACTTTAGAACTTACAAAATGATCAAATACCAAAAAGCATTTTTTAATTTCCGAAACTTATTCATGATCCAACCCTTTCACAAATTATCTCATCATAGATTTTACTATTTTAGGTTGTTAAATTAGTTAAATAAATCTCTATAATTTATTAATTGTGAGAACTAACAGAGTTGGCGGCCAAATTCAACTTGTTTTTACATGAGCATGTTAATCGATTTTTGATTAATCTAGCAACAATAATATCTCTTTTTTAAAAATTCATAATTAATACTCCACCTTATTCATGACCTAAACCTCTTCTAAAACTGTTATTGAAATTAGTTATTAAAATCAAAATCAAAACTTTAGAACTTCCAAAACTTATTCATGATCCAAACCACTCACACATTATCTCATAATATAGTTAATCCAATTAGAGACTTTAGGTTGTCAAATTAATTAAAGAAAATTTGATAATTTATGAATAGTGAGAACTAACAGGGTTGTCGGCCAATCATGAGGGTAAGAGATCAGCCATATTCAACTTGTTTTCTTCATTACAAATCAAAAGTTGCTTGGAAGCTATGAATGTTGAGACTCTGAAAATTTCCTTGGAAGATTGCATTAGCTTTTATTCAACCATGAAACTGCAATTTCAAGCATTTGTCATATCTACTATGAAATCCACCGAGTTTTATACTAGACTCCTAAAATATTTGATTACAGCCTTACAGGCGAATGCCAGTGCCCAGTTTTTTGGAGTGGCCGAGATGGTTGAACCGGTCTACTTCAACACAAGCGTAGAGTATTGGCAACATGATTGATGGTCAGGACACTTCCCGGGCAAATGGCTTACTGTCAAAGATGTTCCCAACAGTCTCTTTCGTGACATCATAATTGAAAACAATGACCATAAGCCTGTCACTAACAGTAGAGACACCCAATAGGTATACTAAACTCTTCTTGTCTTGTACATTCTTTTCTTGAAGGGTCCATTTCATGCATAAAAATTTGAGCGCATTTTGAGCCGTATTTTTATTATGAAACTTTGCTGTCATTGCACCAGGAGTTTCATACTTCTCTTGATGGCAGTGATGTTTTTGAAGTTTTCACTAATGAAACGGTTAGTAGTTCTATTATCTATAAGTCTTGCATTTCTGATTTTTTTGCTCTCCCCTACAAAGTAGATTCATGTTGATATCTTACTTTTTTGGATCCGGTCCTCTTTTTTTTTCAGGGCAGTAAAAGTGTTATAGGCATACGTTTTGACTCATCTGAGCTGTCAGGTGAAGTAAAAATAAGTGAGAGCTTTTAAAATCAATGTCGTCGAACCTTTGATTCTTAAGACTCAAGGCTCAAGGGTGGATGGAGTGACCAAAACCTTATATTGGACTCACCGCAAAGTTTGGAATGCCTCTCCCGAAAACTTTGATTACTTGAATGGAATTGTTTTCCGATGACATGTTTGCCTTCTAATTTTCGTATGGAGTACGGGCATGTTCGTTTCAAAATCGCAGCGTCAGAGTCCTGCGACTCAAAAATATAAGCTACTTGCGACCCAAACATGCGGAGAGTAACAGCGGCAACATCGTTAAACTAGTCGCAGCGTTCATATTAGTTGCCGCCGTTTTCACCCAGCGTCCTTTGCGACACCGGAAATCCCGACGCTGCGTCACTTTTTTCATTCTGGACAGTATTTGTGTTACTCCGTTGACGTTTAATTTTGAGTCGCCGAGAGTGATCGCGCGACATCGTAATATCTTGTCGAACTATCTTTGCGAAACAGTTTGGTTAATGTTAGTTCCTCTCTATAATATGGTTTTACCGTTTTAGCTTAACTAATACAGTTATTTCTATAAGAACAGTTACATGGAGAGCTATATATCTCTTAGAGAAGTTTGTAACATATGCTTGAAGAAGAGTCACGTATGTTCCTTCTTTTTATGCATGATGCCTTTTGTACAGACGTAAGTAGTATTATATTGCATGTTTACATCCATAATCCAGTATATAAGTATGTACTTAAAAAAAGACATTTCATTAATATTTGATTATTGATTCCTAATTATATTAGGGAAAAATTGTTTAAATTGGGACGAAATAACAGAAACACGTAGTTCTCAAAAAAAAAAAACAGAAACACGTCATAAAATTAGAGAGATAAGTTACTAACAGGAGTTGAATATGTTAAAAGAAAAAAACTAATATGAGTTGAATAAATAATTTGGTAATTAAACAAAATAATAAATAAGTCAAAATTGAATACTTAAAATAAAATAAAATAAAGACCATCGCCCGGGAAAATGTTGAATAGAACACGCTGCGTCTGACTTGTTCTCCTCTCTCTCTCTCTCTCTCTCTCTCTCTCTCGCATTGCATCGCACTCCGTTGTTTCTCTGCCATCTTATTTTTCTCCAACCAGTAATATTCAAAGAAACCAGAAACAGACGCTAATTTTTCAAAATTCGAAAAAAATCCAAAATCCAAAATCGAGCTTTGTGATTCAAAGGAGGAGAAGAACACAAATACGAATCGGTAATGTCGTGGTTACGATCGGCGGTGCACAAAGCAGTCGAAGTCGGCGGGAAGAATAACATCACCCGAACCGTCCGCAATTACGCCGATTCCGTCGTCCTTACCGCCGGCAATGCCGTCTCCGAAGGGGCCAAACTGATCCAGGATCGCATCGTAATTCCTCGAAATTCATCCGAATTTTCCTCCGTCAGAATAAATCAATTTCCGAATTTCTTAAATCGCCGGTGCTTTTCGAATTGCAGGGATCGAGGAATGTGAAGAGCTTTAGTCTCGCGGTGAAGAGACTAGAAGAGGTATCGGTTTCTTCTAGAGGCGGCGAGAGAGTGCAATTGCTGAGAAGATGGCTCGTCGCTCTCAGAGAGATCGAGAGAATGTCTGATTCGAGCTTCGAGAACAATCATAGAACCGACGATCACAACCCACAAAATCCAGAGGAATCTAAAGATTCTCCCAAGAATTTCAGCACCGTGAGTAAATCAAATCCAATACACATGCATTTGGTTTTTGGTTTTGGCTCAGCAATCAATCATGTTGCCTAATGAAAATTGGACAGGTTTATTACGTTGATCCTAGTCTTCCCGGTGAGCCGATGACTTTCCGTGATGTGTTTCTTCACAGTGAGGCTCTTGAAGGCATGGTCTTATCTATGGTAAGATAAGAATCATTGTACTGCATTTTGCTGTTTGATTCTGTAGCATTGCAATATAGAGTTAAAGTTAACTTTTTTTCTGTGAATCAGATTCTGGAAGCACCGAATGAGGAAGAAGTGCAGCTGCTTCTGGAACTGTTTGGGTGATTAAAGCTGGCTTTTTTATTGTGTTTCAGTTGCTTTACGAGAATTTGGAACCTTGCATTTGAACTCAAATAGTCATGGTTGATACATGCAGGCTCTCTTTGTCAGGAGAGAAAGAAGTTCACGAAGCAGTGATTCAGAATGTGCAGGACTTGGCAACGGTGTTTTCCAAATACAAGGATGAAGTTTTGGTAAGCATTTGGTGGATTTCTGTAACCTTGACTCTGTTTCTCTGTTCTTGCAACCTGTAATGCCTTCTTCTCTCTTTGTCTAGGCAAAGCGTGAGGAGCTGCTTCAGTATGTCCAAGGTGCAATTGCAGGGCTTAAAGTCAGCGCTGATCTTGCAAGGTTTTCTTGAATCATAACCCTTGTACTCAGCTATCTAAATTTTCTGGTGCTGAAAGATTCTCATGGTGTTTTTAAGAATGTTGAAGTCTTAAAAATTTACTTCTCTTCTCATTTGTGACTAGCTCAGAATAGATACTGAAGCCCATACTCTGATGGAGAAACTAGATAAGACGAAGGTCAAGGTTCTTGAGCAGGCTTCAAATGAAGATAGTTTGAAAACCGCCGGAACCAATGCTGCATCAACAGAGGTGAGACTGTCCTCTTCCTACTTTCCATTGCCACATTGTTTACTCCAAGCCTTTGTCACTTTATTCCATTACATGAAGTTTTTAAAATGAAAGGAAATACCATAAGGCTTCTAGGAAAATCTTTATTCCATTACATTTCTGGATCAATCCTCTGTTAGATGTACTGACGAACTTGGGTTGCTACACTGCAGGCTCTCCGAGAAATTCTTGAGCAAGTTCGCACTTTTTCGAAGCTAGAAGCACTCTTGCTGAAGAAAAAAACATTAAGAAACGGTGATTCCCTTAAAAGCCACAGTGAGAAGGTAAAAACTGCAGACAATTTAGAACATTGGCTGTTTTTTGTTGGTTTGTTTGTAACTGTCTCATACAAAGATTAACTCTGTTCTTTGTTTCTTGCTTTGATGTCACGAGTGTACGACCTTGTATACCTAACTCTGCATTTACAATACAACTTCAATCTGTATTTTGCAGGTTGATAAACTGAAAGTTCTGTCAGAATCTTTACTCAATTCTACCTCGAAAGCCGAAAATCGAATCGTGGATCATAGGTGAGAGAGCAAATGTAACCTGTTAATGTCAGAAGTTATCTACTTTCTGTACTACCATATCTCACATCTGTCTTTCTTTCCATATATAAAATGCAGAAGCCAGAAAGAAGAAGCTCTTAGCTACCGAGTTTCAAAAACTAATGAAGTTGGCCAGCTGGAGAAGGTTTGCAGTAAACTCTTTGACCTTAGTTAATGAAAAGTTGGCCCCAGTGCTTTGGATTTCTGTTTTCATGTTTCTTATTAAAATGCACAAATGTGATTTTCAGGATGTAGAGGCAGAACTGAAAAAACTTGAGCATGAGAAGGATGATCTTGAAGCTAGGCTGAAAACGGTAACTTCCATGAGAACTTATTACTAAAAACTGGTTGAGATCCAGATTTGTAAGTCATATGATAGAACTCACATGTTTCTTGAAGGTCAACACCTCAATAACGTCTGCCCGGGCTCGCCTACGCAACGCCAGAGAAGAAAGAGAGCAGTTTGATAATGCAAGTAATGAAATTCTTATGCACCTCAAGTCAAAGGTAACTAACCAACTTGTTCTTATTAGCTAGATGGAAACGTAAACAGAGTCATTGTATGTAAATGATAGTTTGTGATGTTTTGGCTGGCTAACGGTGTAGGAAGAAGAGCTGACTCGTTCGATAACTTCATGCCGAGTAGAGGCAGATGTTGTAAATAAGTGGATAAAATTCTTGGAAGAAACCTGGATTCTCCAGTCTAAATTTGATGAACAAAAGAAAAATCAAGTGAGGTATGTCTTTTCCTCCACTATGCAGAAGAACTTAGCAATTTCCCTAATTACTTTGCTTTTAATCGTCTTTGTATTGATACTTAAGTGGGGAGATGGAGAGATACGGTGACCATTTCATCGACCTGATTGTTCAGCTCCTCTCTTTCTACAAGGTAGTTCAATATGTTTATCCCAAAAATCAGTGCCAAAGATTTATAACATCTCAAGTTAGTATTTTTTTAATATCAATTCAGGAACAGTTGGATCCTTCTATTCCCAAGATCCGAAGAGTTGTGGAAAATTTGGACCCAAGTAAAGGGTAATATATCACTTCTCTGTTCTTGTAAATTTTATTTGACCAAGTTAGGCTGATAGCTCTGTTTGTGGGGAAATATCAGGTTAGAAGCAGAAAAAAAGACAGACGATAAGGATACAAAGCCAATCGATTCTAGAAAACAGCATGAGAAGGAGTATCTGGACCTTGAAGCTAAGGTAAGTGGCTTTATGAAATAAAAACGTAGACCACTTCTCTCAATTTTAATACTAAATCATAACATTCATAAGCTTGTCGTACAAGTTTCTACTCTCCATGTCCTTATTATTAACCTATCATTTTTTATTAACTTTACCAGTTTGTAACAACATTAAGTGTGGTGGATGCGATGAAAAAGCCATTCTATTCACAAACGGAAGGTATCTCCAGGTAAAGTCACAAAAACATTCCCATTAACACTTTATTAGTCATAATCAGCTCATGATCAAGATTTGACTGCAACTTTGTTTCTTGACATTTCCGCCGTTGGAGAATACAAAAATATCAGTGAAAAAAAGATAAGTATCTCCTGACTTGGAGTCTTTTTTTATTTATTCAGGAAAGACGATAAAAGAGTGAAAGAACTATTTGAGGCATTGGACAAGACAAAGCAAGAGTTTGAGTCTATCGAACGCCCGCTTCTGGATATTGAGTCTCCTACAAGAAACTCTGCTTCTTCACGCTCACCGTCCCTGAAGATGACTCTGGAGACTCCACTTTCCGACGTAGTCCTGAAACAATCCGGTGGTGATGATTCACCAGACAGTAAAAAAGGATCCTCGGAGAAGGAAGACCCTGCGAAGAAACAGCTCGAGATGGAGCTGGACGACGGAGAAGAGTTCTTGACAGACGAAATCAATGACTGGGAATTCGACGCTCTTGATGACACACTTACCTCAAAGAAACAATAGCTGACCCAAAATTTTGCAAAGGTAAGCCTCATGAACTCAAACTAACTTAGCTACTCTTGCAAATTATCATGAGTTTAGGCAATATAAAAACTACCAAAACATTCATAAGTACTAGTGTTACATAAAAACGAAAGTGTATAACCAAAGAGTATAATGTCAAACTAACGTTAGTAATAACAATTTATTCGATGTTAAATTTTGGTATTGTTGTTGTATAGCAGATGATGGAGGAAGAGGGAGAAGAGTATATTTAACTAACTGAAAGGTTCTGAAATGTAAGTTTCTTTCTTCTTTTTTGAATTTTCTAAGTTGAAATATGATCAAAATGTAGATATATTTTTAGACTCCCAATAACTTTAAAGGTGAACTCCTTGTATTATATACTCTTACCTCTCCCGCCATATCTTTTGTCTGTTTTGCGCCGGAGATAGGAATCATACATATATTTATATATATCATTTTTGTTCCTATTTGATCTATCTTTTATTTGATTTCTTTCGTCACAAAATATTTTCCTGGAGAACTATGAGGCCAGGGCAAATGTTCTTTGCCTTGTTGGCATATTGGTTTGAAACTTAATTGTTCGAATTGGGAAATGCATTCATTGTGGTCAGTATCGTCGTTCTAATGAAGGAGCTAAATACATTTGTTACCTTCTCAAGAAGGCAATAAAAGAGTTTGAGCATATTTTCTCTATGTCTTGCCAATGCCAACGACTTGAATAACTATATTTCAACAGTTTTATTTCTAAGCTACTAACAAGGATTGTTTGAGTTAATTAACTTAGAAATTAGAATCCAATTGTTTCTGACGTAGAGATTTATTTTTCTGTTTCACGAATAAAACATATACTCAGATTTTGCATTTTCATCCAACATTTTTTTAGAAACATATAAGTTACGACTGAAAGTTTTGTATTCTCTATTGAAAACAAAAACTCAATAATTTAACCCAAAAAAAAAAAAACAAAAATCAAAAGCTTGTATATTCTCTTTTTTAATTTTATCATTCAGTATCAGAAGATTCAGAACTATATTGTTTGTATGCACCCACAACTTGTTTTCTTCGACTGGATCACACAAAAAAAGTTTCAACAACTAAACAAATAGCTAGACAACTCATGAGATCCGATTTGAGTTGATTGACATTTTTTTGGTTGAAACTGCAAAAGCAGTCGAGTGGTTTCTGTTGTTATCATTTGGTGTCTTGGCTTACTCCAACCTGAACAGAACAGTTCGAAAATCCTTATATTTTAACAATATTTTCAAGAGGTTCAAATTCGAATTACGTGGTAGCTAAGGATATGAATGCGCATTACAGTTTCGAGTCCACTTATTTATTACAAGGAGAAGTAAATAAACAATAACAAAAGAAAGAAACAGAGGTAGGTCCACATTTTACATGAAGTGTGGTGGTTTTATGATGGTCTGCATATGTTTTTGAGTTTTGACTGAGAGGCTTCCACTACTCACTCCATTAACTCATTAGTGGGATCTATACTAATTAAGGATTTGTTTACGACGTACTTTCAATTTTATTCCAACTTTTGGTTCTTTGCTTTATTTTTCAATCATGTTTCATTTCTTACTTTTATGTATCATCTTATTCTATACACAAGGTGACAAGGGAGAGAAAATTCGGATTCTGGCTCAAATTAATATGCGAGTCATTGGCATTATCAAGTGTTAGTTTATTCACAGTTTGATAATTTTTTTATAAAAAAAGTTGAATATGTGGTTGCTCTCATCATTCATCTTTACCACACTGTAAGATCCCTAATGCTTTAAAGTCTTCCTGGAAAAAGAGTTAAGAAAGGTATTTTAACAAAAATTAGGGAAAAGGGAAACTGAAAGTGGTAAGCATTTACTTTGTGAAGTGTTTTCAATGATTGAAACAGAGAAGAAGTCACTCTGCTTTTTTAGGTACTTCGCTGTGTACGACAGAGTTCCCACTTCAATTCTTCAGCACCAACTAAGACATGATTTGTACGGAATTATCAACTAAATGGTACAACTAAGTGACTAACCAAAGCTTCCTTTCTATTACTATGAATTATTTATAGGGATTATGGTTTTGGATGGTCATTAGGTCAGTAGCAGAGTAGACAAAACGTACTGAAAACAATATTGTATATTGGTAGAACAAAAATGAATTTAATATATAGGGATTATGGTTTTGGATGGTAATTAGGTCAGTAGCAGAGTAGACAAAACATACTAAAAACAACAATGTATCTTTGTAGAGCAAAAATGAATTTAATATATAGGGATTATGGTTTTGGATGGTTATTAGGTAATGCTTTATCCGCTCTGCTAAGTATGCAGTAACCATTTTGAAAATATATATTATTTGGCTAAGTAGGTTTCGATTACTGTCAAGTTGTAACCGATTTGACTAGAATGTCAACCTCTAGTAACCTAATGTGTGCTACGAAGTACAAATGGCATAAATCAATTTGTCTTGGTCCATTTGTAGGATCTATTTCTAAGTTCATGACTCAGTTAAAAAAGGAATGTATAATATGCTTGTGATTTATTTATGAAAAAAAAAGTAGAAAGCGAAAAGACTATTGAGAAAACAAAATAGTATTGGAGTGTGGGGATTGAAAGGAGCTATCCACTTACCCGCAACCTGCAACAATTATGACCCTTTTTAGATTGTAAAGATAACTTTTTGACATGTAGAAACTTAGAATTGTGCGTTCAAATTTTAACCGAAAAATAATGACTTTTGAAAAAATAATGCAATAGAAGATTGTGACTTTTGTCACGTACCGTTTGTGCTCTTATACCATTCACGTGACCGTTGTTATCGTGGCCAATGAGACACGAGGGAAATGGTAAAATAAGCATAGCATGGCTATGATTTAAGCTTTTTTTGTATAGTCTTAGTAGGCTTCTCCGTTTTCGTGCTCAAATTTATTGCTGATCAAACGAGAAACAAATGAAACCAGAAATGAATCAGTTAACATACATATATACCGTTTGGTATGAAATAAGCCTCGAATAATTTGTCAATCGCATAGCTTAGTTTGTTCTCTCAATAGATTTGTAAATGAAGTAATTAATATTCAAACTTCTTCATTGTTTGTGAGATTTAAGGTTAGAGCGATAGATATATCGAAGTCTTTTGAAAAATACTAACTATGTATTTAAATTTTTTACAATTATGTGTTTTTAGTAATGTCTCAGCACTTCTCTTCTTCTTTTTTTTCAAGGATCCTATAGTAATATAAATAATCTACGTCCATGTATCTTTGACGTACGTGTTTCGACCTGTTAGGTTTAGTTATCTTGGATCACGGTGGAAAAATTAGTACATTCAAGTTAAACTGAGACTTTGGATTTAGTGAAGTTACTAGCTAAATGCGTATTTATCGAGGAATGAAAACCGAAAACAGTTTTTTTTTTTTTTAACACCTTTTTAATTTAATTAAACAAACCGGGATTAATCGGGACGAGCTACAGAGCAGAAATGACTCTTCGCTGCCTTAGCGAGGAGATGGCTTTTGAGTTTTGTGATCGAGGAACAAACACAAAGGAAACATAAAAATACGATCGAGGAGGAATGGGAACATAATCTATTGAGGTCTTCAAAATAGATCCACAAACTCATTAGTCGAATTAATTATTAATTTCGTCGTATGATTGCAATATTAATCCATTCTGCATGCATGAACCGAAACGTGTCTCATAGTGATTCACTCACTGATTTGTATCTGTGTAGTTGATTCAAATATGATAGTGTACGTTTGCAAGTTAGGACGACAAAACAAATTACTCGTAGATAATTAGATGTCGAACTTCATTAACATGTATCAAAATAATGGTGAAGCATTTTACCAAAAAAACAATAATGATGAAGCCAATACTACTCTACTATAAGCTACCAATCATGCATGTAGTAGTAGTAAAAGAACAACAATGCAAATTCACAAGATGCAGAACACGATTTCCATATATTAAAATGTTCAGTTTCTTCACTTTAATTAATAAAAAATGTCTGCAACGGTAAACTTTGAGATCTTGATGCCAGAAGAAGGGAACTTCTAGACAAAATCAGTGGCCGTAGACAAATCTTTTTGAAAAGATAAAAGAATTACATAGTTTGGATGTATTACAAGTTCACAAATCTTTTCCTGTCTACAAAATTAACGTGACATAGAATTAGAGAACAAAATTCAAATATTATAAAATCGAAAGAAAAACAAAAAAAAATGAATAGTAGCCACCTAGGCTAAATGAAAAGAAATAACAATAAATGAAGAATAAATAAAGAAAGGTCACTTTAAAAGATGCTCTTTCCCTCCTCCCAACCTCCCATGAGCTCTCTTCTCAGTTCTCAGTCCTCTAGAAGTAAGTAACCACAGAGAAAGAGAGAGAGAGAGAGAGAGAGAGAGAAGAAAAAAAGAGAGAAAGATTCAGATTTCAGACATATATACACAGATACATACACAACTACATGCACACATATACTATGGATTTGCAAGAACATGAATCAAGAACACAACAAGTTGGGTCCAACGATGGAGATGATGATTACATAGACATGGAGCTCAATCTCTCTTCTTCTTCTCCATCCTCAAGCTTCATCAGCTTCTCCGTCACCTGCTCTCCGCCGCACAGCCGAGAGTTCGAGTTTCAAATGTGCTCCTCCGCCGCAGCTTCCGGCGAATCCACCACATCTCCGGCCGATGAGCTCTTCTACAAGGGTCAACTCCTCCCTCTCCACCTCCCTCCTCGTCTCCAAATGGTCCAAAAGCTTCTCGCCTCCTCCTCCTCCGCCGCCGCCGCCGCCGTCGAAACAACTACCACAAATTCCCCACGCGCCACCGCATCCTCGCCGCGGAGATTCAGCAGCAGCGAGATCGAAGTAAGCGGCACGGACGAGCATTGTTTCTTCGAGATTTCCACGGAGCTCAAGAGATTCATCGAGAACAACAGCGAGAATCCTGGAAACAGTTGGAGCAAAAAGATCAAACACTCATCGATTACTCAGAAGCTCAAAGCCTCACGCGCTTACCTCAGAGCTCTGTTTTCCAGACCAGGATGCTCAGATTCATCAGAGATTCATCCAAAATTCAGAATTGAAGGCATCAAGACCTCAAAACCCTCGAAAAAGAAGAGCCCAAACAGCAACAATCCTCCATTGATTCACAGGAGATCGTTCTCTGGTGTGCTACAGAGGCACTCTCAAGCAAAGTGTTCTTCGTCTTCTTCCTCTTCTTCTTCTTCGTCGTCTTCGCTTTCCTCTTCGTTCAGTTTCGGATCGAACGGGTCGTTGGATCTGCAGACGCTGATGAGGAGCAGCAACGCGAGCTCGGTTGATAACTCCATTGAAGGAGCGATTGAGCATTGTAAGCAGTCGTTTACGACTAGGAAGAGCAATGTGTGCGAATCTGAGCTCTCTTCTTCAAGAACCTCTGTTTCTACTTGCGGTGACATTGAGAAAGGATGAGACTTTCAGAAAACTTGACGGATCTGTGACACACACTCTCTCTCTCTCTCTGATTCTCATTTCCAAAAAAAAGGACACAAAAAGTTCAAAAAAGGGAACTTTTTTGTTCTACTCTGTTTTTTTTTTTTTTTTTTTTTTCTTATTTGAATTAGATTCTTTTGTGTGCTTTTTTTTTAGAAGTTTGCTGAAATTGAGGCTTCTTTCTGTGTTAATGCTACAAAATTACTAGTTTCAAGGTTCTTCGCTTTAAAGTTTACACTTGGGTTGTGTACAGAACATTGCTGCCTTTTTCGTTTGGGATTAGGTTTTAGTTTCGATTAGTAGTAACAGAACAGCCAACTATATATCTTGTTTTTCTATTTATGTAACCTGATTCTTCAAATAAATGAAAAAAATTGAGACATTTACCAAAACATCTATTACTAATAAAAGTTGAGCCTATATGCATTAGAGGCTGTCCACCTAGGATTTAAAAGGTTGAATTTGATTGGTCCATGTCATTATTTTTATTTTTTTTTGCTTTTAAATTAATTTATGTAAATTTTCTATTTTACATATTATTTATTAATTAGTTTTCAGTAAAGATAATTTCTCTGATTTTACAATTTACGAGAACTGAATTATAAGTTTCCTATTCATAGATTATCTAAATTTACATATATTATTAGTATTAGTTTCTTTTTTAGTGGAAAATTTACACATGTTTTAAGTAATTATAGAAATAAATTTCCTATTCAGCCAAAAAGATGCTATGGTGTAGCGGTTATCACAATTGTCCTAAACGCAACAGGTATCGAGTTCGATCCTTTGCAGTCCCCTTTTTTTTTTTAAACCGTTTCAAAAATAATTATATGGACATTGCCATTAGGTTACCACAACAAAATTAAAAAAAAAATCAGACAATCGGGATCTGCTACATCTTCTTCCCCTTTTTTCTACAAACCCTAAAACTGCATCTCACAAAACTCTCTCTCTCTCCACCGTCAAACAACAAAAACCCATTCTTCATTTCCCAGATTTCGTAAATCGAATTGGATTTATTTTGCCCTAAACTCCCTATTTCGCATTGTTGCAAGTTTGAAGCTTCAGTACAACTTCAGTTGAGGGAGTATTAGACCAAAAATGGAGAAATTCGGAATCTATTACTAAGATAAGTCTTGTGATTTGACTGTACAATTCGGCTGCTTTAATTTCTGGCGAATTTAAGATTGCTTCTTGGCATTTTTTTCTTATTTCTTCTTCCAAATTTATTTCTTGGTTTCATTATTTCGTTTTAGTCTAGAAGATTCTTGAAAAACAAATTGGATATTGTTTGATAAAGATTAGGATTTGGATAGTTCCTATTTTTGTAATTATCACTTCTCTAATTTCCTTATTGTACAATGACATTGATATACATTGATTCCTTTTTCCATTAGGAATAAGATGATCTTAAATCCTATATATATGTGGTCTTATTGCCACATGAAACCAAGTTCAGAATATACATTCACATCTCTCAATCGATTTTTATAAGCCATGGCAAATTCATGCTCTTCTGTTTCTGATCAGTTAAGCCATACTTTGGTTTTCGATGATCTAAAAAAAGGTTTCAACAATAATGATTTGCTTGTCAGAGTCATCCACTTTTGGGAGGCACGAAACGTTAGAAAAGGCGGATTACTCATGGGTGTAGAACTCCTTCTCATGGATCAGAAGGTATTTGCAAATTTATGTTTAATGTTTTTTTTTACTTTGGCTATGTTTCTACCAATTCGTAATATATTTCTGATTTATGTTTTCTGATTTAATTTTTTGCAGTCATCTGTCATTCATGCATTCATTCCGGCTAACCGACTAAGCATATATGAAGCAGCCTTGAAGGCTGGAGCTGTTTACGTAATCCAAAAGTTCTTGGTCCTTGACAATAAGAAATCCTACAGAGTCACTTCTCACAAATTTCTAATCCAGTTCACAATGAAAACAACAATGGTTGAGGCTGATTAATCTTTCTATTGAAAGGCAAAATTTAACTCGGCGATAAAGGGAATTATCGAAAATCATTTGACCAAAAAATCAAACCATCAATCGGCGATAAAGGGGAAATTCGAGATTGGTACCTAAGTTAATTGAGAAATTCAGAGCGAGAGTCGAAGGAGATCGAAAAGAAGAAGAAGCGTGAGCTCTCCCCTGGTAATAACAAGATTAGCAACAAAGAAGAGGGATCTAGATGATGAGATGGTTCCGGTGGGAATAAGGAAGAAGAAATATTGTTCGATTGTGGTCGGCAAATGAAAGAAAAAGAAACGAAGCATTTCTAATTTCTATGAGATAGGAAAATCGAACCGTAACAAACCAAAAGAATTTAACCGGGAATTGGAAAAACAATTAAAAGATGATGACCACGGGAAGAAGAAGAAGCCATATGATATGGAAAAAGTGGGAATACATTTAACACGATTATATCATATGAAACAATTAAAAAAAAATTATTTTTTACTCCTGATCTTTCTGATTCCTTTCTTCCCGTCCTTAATGATCTGTAAAATACATTTATATTTTATTTTATTTTCTAGATATAAGACTTTTAAATATAAAAACAGTGATTTAAAAATAAAGAGATGAATTTATTGAATGGAATTAAATGCAACATAATTAAAATTAAAATTAAGTATAAATCATAAATTCATAGCTGGAAAAGCTAAACAAATAAATAAAATTAAAAAATAAATTAAGAACTAAAATATGTATTAGACTAATATTGGATAAGTTTGCCAGATAACCTTTATTGGATATAAAAAAAATTGTCTAATGAATAGTAAAATTAAGGGATTAGTTTAAGAAATTTGAGGATTGGGCTGTTGTATGTTTTTATGACAAAAAATATTTTTAAAAGGTATCTTACTTATTATGACTACTTATAAAAATAATTAAATTGGTTAGGTAAAAAAAATTAAAAGTATATTACAAAAAAAAGTTTATTAAAAAAAATTATAAACAAAAATTGAAAAATAGTGAAGCATTTTAAAAACCTTTTTTTAATAAATGAAACTATTATTTTCATCTCTTATCAAAGAAACAAAAAAAATTGATGACTCGAACTTGATATACAAATATTCTTAATTGAATCATACATTTTCTTAATATTATTGAATAAAATTAAAATAAAGAGGACATAAGATTTATTTACAAATATTAAAACGGAACCCGCGCGTGCGCGGGTAAAACACCTAGTTCTCTTTAAAGAAAACATGTGAAAAAAAAATATTCCTATTTTGACTTTTTAATATTTATTTTAGCGTTTTTTGTTACTAGAGATTTTGTTCCGTCAATCTGGATTTATGACACGTAGCAATATGGAGGATTTTAGTTAATGGAAGTGTCGAACTAGTTAACCAACTTTCAGTTCACTAGATTCATATTTACAATCATTTCATTTGATTATTTTGGTATGCTGATAAATAACAAAAGTAATTCCTCGTTCATCTTGTTCTTTTTTTTTTTTTTTTTTTGAACATCTCCTCGTTCATCTTGTTCTATGGTGCTAAACCGTAAGAACTTTTGCATTTATGTAAGTCATCAGCTAGAGCCTAGAGATCACATGTCATTTCTCATTAAATTTTCCTATGGCATTTACTATGATATAAGTATTGAAAAATGCAATAAAGTCTGTAAAGTTAATACCATCATATTTAGTGGTTTGTATTTGACCCATCATTCAAATTTAAATCCAGTAAAATATATGTTGTTGACAAACAAACAAAAACCACCCCAAGGAAATTATTAATGAGTTTATCAGTAACTATATATGATTATATCATTATTTTATATCAAAATCTATTACTGATAAACTTATAGACAAATGGTAGTTAAGTACTTTGGTTTGAGAATTGGAGTTTAGTTTTAATTCGGTATTTTGGCTTGATACTGAAATATAAGATATGGAAACAGATTACGTTTGTGGGAAAATATGAACAAATTAGTAACAGATTAATAGACCCAAATGACTATAATAATCGAGTGAAATTGAAGGATATTATATAAAGATAGACATAGAACTTTGTGAAACAAAACAAAAATCCAAAACACATAACAATTCGATAGAGATGGGAAACAATTTTATGTTGTAAGTTCAGTGAACTGAATAAAAATAATAGTAACCTTTAAAATCATTGACTACTTTCATGATACATCACTATAGATGTTAGTCGAAGTTTGAAATCTAATTAATAACAAAACTTACTACTCCATTTAACAACAATTAAAGCTTTGGTGGACAAAGAAAGCATAAAAAGCTTTATGGTTTGCAATGCTCAAATATATAATATCCCATATTATGATAATAATAACTACGTCATGCATATGAATAAAATGCATTAAATTTTAAATGTATTCTTAACAGATCAAATTAAATCATTTGAGCTAGGGAAGTTTATATTGTTTAAGCTATAGTAAGAAGGAATATTGAGTGGACCAAAAAGAAAAAGGAGGAAGCAAACTCAATAAAAGTGACTTTACAGCAATAGTGAGGATCCTCTCTCTATCTCTCTCTCTGAGGTGCCTTTTTATATGTTTTTAAAAATATAGCTTGTATTTTATGTCAACAAATTTGTAATCATATTGATACCATGGAAAATAAATAATGGTCAATGCGTTACCATAAAATATATATTTCGTTCATTTAAATTCTTTAGTAACTACAACTAGAAGAAGAAAAGAGAAATTAGGCCCATTTTTTGGGGGTCCAACTTTACATTCATATAAATCTCAAATGTAACCCCACAAACAAAAAAAGGAATAACTCAATGTGTCTTTTATAAAAATATTTCAAATATAAAGATTTCAATGATTGTGAGCTTCTTGAAGTTTATCACTACAATAGATATGGTCCCATTGATGATTTATTTGATTTTATTCAGAGCCATAAATTAGATAGTGTAAGATTTTAGATGAACAATATATATAAAATGTTTGAGACGTGAATGAAAGCTCAAAATTTGTAGTTTAATATATCCGCATGGAGAAAAGATGTGAATATATATATATATATGCCAGCAGCTCGTTTATCTTAATAACAATAATTTTTTTAAGGTTTGAAAAAATAATAATCATACTGTACTAATTCGACTGATTAAGTAGATTAATCTAAATCCGCGTGGAGAAAAAGATCTCGTTGAAAATCTTTAAGAGTCCATGGGAAGCATAATGAGTGTCAGCTGCATGAAAGTGTGTGTAGCTTTCGTTTTCCATGCATGAAATTTAAGCTTATATTAATATGTCATTGATTTCATTAATTTGCATTAAAGATATAACGACTAAAGTAGCTTGTAATTATGCAAAACATAAACTTATTAGTGTGACTAATTATCAACAGCAATCTCAAAACAATAAAATTAAGCAACACTTCAAAACAAGTATTTCCTCACTTTTGCCCGAGACTACAATTTCGCCTATTTTAAACCCACATCTAACCAATCAAACAAAATATTATAAGTACACACACTTAACGTTTACTACTAAACATGAAAACAACAGTTTTACTGTTCGTGACAGAGCTTTGCTACATTAGTTGGGAAAGTTGCAAATTAAGTTGCTTTGTATGTAGTTCTAGACAATTGCTAGTCTATAAAACTTTTTTACAGGTGTTAATATATAAACAAATATATATATAGTATGGGTATCATATAGAGAGTCGAACTAATGGAGAGTAATATGGAGAATTTTGCCATCCAATCTATAATACAACCAATGATGTTTTTTTTATTTATTTTTTTATTTTTAATTATTAAGAGGTTCTGGGCGGAAGCATGTACATCTCCTTAAACCCAAAATCACAGAGTATGTAATATTGGTTTCGTCCCAACCGGCACTCGATCCTGTGATCTTTAAGCTTTGCCTAAGGTCTTTTTACTAGTCCAGCTATAGTCACTTGGAAAAACCAATAATTTGTTTTAACTAAAACAAATTTATATACTATGTTTTTACGTGTCATGTGACACCCTAATGCTCTTATATTATTAGCTTTGCCACTGTTTCTAGACTTTCGGTGACTAGAGATGAGGTAAGATGAAAATGTGTATCTAGTTCCATCGCAAGATCGATCAGTCTTAAAATCTAAACCTAAAACTTAAAAGTTAAACAGAAATATTTAATACCATAAATTCATTATTGATACTTATAAACGTTTTCGAAATCATTGTCCAAATTTTTGTATATATTAAAAGCTCGTATACTAAAGTATATATAAAGAAAATATCAAATATATCGTGTTACTGTTACACCATTCATATATTATAATAAAAGTACCATTCATATATTACTGTTCCCCTCGTAGTAAAGTCCAAAAATCCACATGATCTACAACAGGAACCATAAGATGAAGTGAGCCTTTCAACTGTTTTTTGAGTTTTGACCAATTTCAAAAGTAGAATTCGACGACTAAATCTTGTCAGTCTATTCGTACGATTAATAAAAGAAAAGTTTACAAGATTTAGAACATGTGACATCACACAGACTCGTAAAAACTTCAGTAAAGTCTATTAATAATTAATCTATTTTGGGGACAATTCAGAAAAGCAAAGACTCAAAGAGTTATCCTGTGTCTCCAACTAAAACGGAAATAAAGCAAATTATGTCTGTACATGGAACCCACTTCACTTATCATAACTGGTTTCAACTGTTTATACACTTCTCAACTCTCTAAAACAGTTAACTCTATCTACTAAAATCCATCTCAATTATAGAAAACTCTTCGTTTTGGGTTCTCAATCATCCATTCACCTAATAAGCATGAACCTAGCTTTAGATCATACACGAGCCACATTCTCGTGAAATGATTTTAATTATTCTTATGATGTGATATTATGTGATGTGCAATGAGACACAACTACACAAGTGTAGACAGAGACAGAGAGACGATGACAAAAAGAGAGACTTCTCGTAAATGAGAAGCAAAGTATGAGTTTCCGGACCACTTTACTTGTCTGTCGATAGCTTGTCTTCTTGCCTAATCTGGAAAGCCTTTTTCCACTCTAATGGATTGATCCGTCTGCTACTGTATACTTGTAGCTTTTGTCAAGAGTCTCGACCCAACAAACACCTAACCAAAGAAAAAGTATTGAATATGGATTGCAATCATAAGATTTCCATTACTTTTTGTGATCCTCCAAGCTGGATTACGAGGCAAAGATTGAATACGCCCATTAGATAAAATCACTAAAGTCTCACATCTCCTTAAGAAAAGATTTGGACAAGAAAAAATTTGTTTCTGGCAGTGAACATGTAGTGGGGACTGTTATGTTTAACCTAACTTTTTGAGCACGTAATTAAGCGTATGAAAGTATATCTCTTTCTTATTCTAGAGTTTTCTGTCGTCAATAATGCCTGTTGTGAACAGAAAAAAAAAAATTGTCTGTAAAAAACATTCCTCAAAAACATTTACAAAAGCAGAAACCAAATGTCTAGAGAAATTGCTACCAATTCCGAGATAAAGCCACTAGCATCATCCAAATGTTTTTGAGCTTTTGTTATGTTTCAAACAAGTTGAGAAGGGCAAAGAAGAGACATAGATTCAAAGTAACACGATGTCAAGTGTCACATCAGTTTACCAAAAATATCTGCTTCGATCCATTAATAAAGCCATCCAAAAGAAGGAGAACAAACTACGTGCGTGATTGATATGTTTGCCTAACAAAGTATGTTACAATCACAATCACAAGTAAGCAAGACCGCTTTATGTTGCTGTTTGGATATAGCTCTCGTTTTCGTGGATCATTGATGGTAGCCTCATCAAGATAGAACAAATATATTTGAAATGCCACGAGGGAATGATCAGCGGAAACATCTCCGGTCTACCAATTGCAATCGGCTCCGACCAGGTTTCTTTCCGTTTGGCGGTTTTCTCCGGCTGAAACCTTAGAGCGGTACTGTGGGCTAGTGGGAAAGTCTCAGTTAACCCAATGGGCTTAACTCGAAATATGAATAACCTCGTTTCTAACAAAAAGGCCCAAATTTGCAAACCCAAAAAGGGATAAATACATAGGAAAAAAAGTAACGGTGCATTTCAGAGTTTATTAAGTTTACTAACCAAAACCATTTCATATTTGATTCATTTCAAGATAACTAGAAAACATCAGGGATAACTGAGAAAAATTTAACTAATTAATTAAACAGCTGTTAAACCTTGTTGTTTAGGTTTTAGTCTTTAGAGTTAATCATTTAGGTGTTATAATTTTGGATTTAGAGTTGAAGATCTATATGTAGAATTTATTTTATCATGGTTTGAGTTAAGCCTGGACACGGGACAAATACTTTTTAATTTTCATATATTTGCTATCCGGCTTGGCCTGTTCAAATAATTGGATTTTCGATTTGTACTTGACCCATCCAAAATAAGTACTCGCTAAAGTCACGAGGCAAGTATAAAAATTAATAATGATACTTGATACTCAATACGTACTTGCATAAAACAAAATTTGTCGATTTATAACCCCACAATACCGAGCACGATTTTTCAAGACAAATACTGAGCAAGTAGCGAGTATATGCTAAGTAACAAGTACCCGTGCCCATTAATTTATGTTTTAAACTTTAGATTTTATAATATCAACCAACATTTTATATGTATTTTAAAGAAAAATCTGAACCGAAATTATTTTTCTTTTGCAGGGATCAAGCATTTTACACCTCTCTCTATATTATGTATATATTTCAATGTTATTTATCTAGTTATCTACCTCCTTTATTAAGTGCCAGTGTCACACTGTCACGTAGGATGTTTCAAGTTTGAAGTTAATTTTAGGCTGAAGGACTAAGAGCAAAGGATTATACTTTTTTATAATGTGAAATTGAAGTGTAAAACGCCCTCATTTGTTTTGTCCATCAAATGATCCAAACACAGAATATCCCTCGTGTTCTCAAATCTCTGCAGATCTCAATATTAAGATCCACGTATTAGTTAATTATTGAAAGTTGAGAGAACAAGATAGATACATTGTGGAAATCCTACAAAAGCTCTGTCCGGCTCTAACATTTAGGCATCGCGTTGTCTATTGTTACGGAAAGATCCATCAATACTCTTTTATCTGTTTTTTCGACCGTTGCTATATGTCTGATGTCTCGTCTCTCTCTGACACAGATTCAATGTTTCATTTATCATATAAATAAGAAAAGAAAAAGCCTCGTGAAGGATGTCCCACGGTCCACGCCCGGCATCTGCATTCCAGTGACAGTGAGCATGCAATATATTAACAATTAATAATACTACTTAATTATATGCATTACGAGAATATGTGTATTTATTGTGTGTTAATATATAGCCCTTGTCTGAGAAAGTTTCAAGTTTCCTTCATGAATTTGATTATTTTAGTTGGTGGTATTTGGTTTGGAAAAAATATCCTACACTCTAAATTCCCACGTGCATAGTAATCTATAATCCTAAGTTAGAGTTTTTGACTGTCCAAGATGTACAACACCAAAAATATAGAACAATCCAATTCATTAACTTTGAAAGAGTGGAGGTATTTCAAAACATATTTGAACATGTGGTATCAAAGGATCCATTATGGTTAAGAGTTTATTTTTTTTTACCATATTAGTTAGTGTATATACGTCTTCAATCTTTCTTATCAATAATCTAAACTGTTTTAGCTCGAGTGCTTCATTACTATTGCACATGCTAACAGATGATTATTGTTAAGACTAGTAGTCTAGTATATTGTGTGATCCGTGACTAGTATCCATTAAACAATCTCTTGTTTCTCTTCATATCTGCGCTAGTGTCTCGTCTCTTAGACCAAAACACATTAATATAGCAATGTTTTGGTCATGTACGTTAATATAATCACCAAGTATTGAATGTGGCCTAAAAAGTGAAAACAATAAGTTTAGCGTTTCACCAGGATAATAACTCAACAGCCTCACTACAACATTATTTATTGCTTTTAGTTACTTAGGATCGATCTGTAGTAAATAGGGCAATATTTGCATAGATATATAGGGAAGTGAAAAAAGTCTCAACAACATAGATAGAACGTGAGTAAGTTATAAATGACGTCTCAACAACTATAGATTATTACATATACAGACAAATTACCCTTATCATATATGAGCGTTACATACTCTTTAACTCTCTGTGTCTCTATATATTCCAACTCAATTCTCTCTCTATATGAGTAACGACATCCTCATGTGACGCACACTTAACATATATCATCAACGTTTGCTTTGAGTCAAGTTTCATTCTTTTTTCTTTTTGCTTTTTGCTTTCTTACCGTTAAAGAGAAAAGACAAAATGAAGGGTCGTATGTTCTGCGCTTCTCAAGCATCGACAGCCATTTGTTCAAGCATGGACCACATTGACAAACCAACCACGGTCGACAATGATGAACGAAACAACGGCCGAGCTATTGACCGCCACAATCCTATCATTAAAGATGGCCGGAGATCCTCCGTGGACGACTACATCAGAATACCCGCTGACGGAGAGATTAGCAACAAAACACTAGAGATCTATAAAGGCAGGAGGAGCATCACTGCCCGGAAAAGCACTGGTGGTGGCGGTGGAGGAGGAGCGGCGGCGTTGTTGAAGCTCATCACCAGTGATATCAGCTTGGCGAGGAAGAGTTTCAGCTGTGTTGCTAGACCCGCATGTGACTTCATCAAAACCCCTCCCGGCTCTACAAGGTATCTTTTGGGATCCGACCCGGATTCTGTTTCCGGGTCTGCGGGTCAGGACTCAGTGAAGACGAAAGCTGCTCAGTCTCCTAGTGGTGAAGAGATAAAGCCAACTTCGTTCTTGGCGGAGAAGAAGAGTACTAGTGGTTGTGGTTCCAACCAGGTAAGTGACTTGTTGTTGTTGGCTTGGTGAGTGGCATAAACGTGAATAAGTGTTTGATTAGAGTTGCGTTATCTTCTCAGGTCGTTGTTCTCAAAGTGTCTCTCCACTGCAGAGGCTGTGAAGGAAAAGTTAGGAAACATCTGGCCAGAATGCAAGGTGACACTTCCTTTATTTACGGGATTGCCACTTTCTTGTTTCTTCTTCTTTTGGTTAGATATCCGGTTTAATTTCAAAATGTTCCGGTTTACAACATATATGAACCGAATTAAAACGTTAACTTCGGTCGATTTTGGTCCAATTTACCCTGGACACACTTTGATTAGGTTATTCTGTCCATACCCGAGCCGGGCAGGTTCATCATTTTCGAACCGGTTTTGGTCTAATAACGAATCAAATTTATTCCTTGTAGGTGTGACATCCTTCAACATAGATTTTGCTGCAAAGAAAGTGACTGTGACTGGAGATCTCACTCCCTTGGAAATATTGGATAGCATCTCAAAGGTTAAAAATGCTCAATTCTGGACAACTCCAACAATCCCAAACCCAAATCTAGAAACTCAGAATCCATAATTTACCTTTTTACTCTTGTTGTAAAACAAATACCTATTCTCATGAGACTGGCCTTTTTCTTTATCTAATCATCTCTTATGATGATGAAGCTTGTCATTACGTTATTACATTTTCCACAAATGTTTTAGTATAACTAGATATATACACAATTATTGAATATCAAAACATAAATTTTGAAAATCTAATGAACGCAAAAGAAATCAGAGAAGAAGAAAAAAGAGCTTGTAATCGAAATGCTTGAGCCGGTGTTACTTGACAATAAATTTGGATTCCTAGGCCGACTTTCGTGCGAGTGGATCTCACGCGCCACGAAAGTTTCTCCCAAAAACTTCACCGAGCTTTTCGTCTCTTCTCTCCGACTTGAGGTCTTCTCCGTGCTCGGCGCTTGCCGATGCCGTGAGGGGACCTCCTTTCTCTTTAATTGCGTTTAAGATCTTCAACGGCGGTTCGATGGATCCAACGACATGAAGATTAGATCCAGTTTCTTCTCCGGCAGCGATGGGCGTGGATAATCGGTGGGAGAGGCGCTGCGGAAGCTCGGGTTGCTCAGAGAGGCTGTCGCTAAACTATCCATGGGTGAATCTCTGCTAGAGGACGGCGGAATAGCTTGTGGTGAGTTTGACGATGGCGGATCTGAGTTTCGAGTTGTGTCTCTCTTCGCCGGTTCGGTGGGTTCGCTGCATCTCGTGAAAAGCTCCGGTGGAAGGTGGTGTGAAGAAGCGTGGGGATGGCGGGTCCTCTGTCAGATTCACTAAATCTGATGCTGGTTCGAACTTCCGTCGGATTGAAGTTTCTAGGGTTTGCGGAGGAGGAGGCTAGAGTAGGAAGCGTGGGCTCTTCTTTGGTGGTGGAAATCTTTGTCACTGTGAGCTGATATTTGGCTTTTGGTGGTGTGGCCGTGGGGTTATGGATCTATGCTCAAACCAAATCCCGGAAGAAGTGTGGCGGCTTGGAATCTAGCCGGATACCTACCGAACGGCGGAGACGGAGACTCCGGTTTACTAGGAGGTGGTTCGGGGACGGTGAGGGGTTGTGCCTCTTCTTTTCTCCGCCGGAGGACGGTGAAGAGTGGTCTCTCTTTTACCTTTTCCCATCTTAGAGTAAAGCCTCATAGATTGTAGTGTTGCGTTTTTGATCTGTTTCCTTACCGTACTTTTGTCTGATTGTCGGAAAGTGTAATCGGCCGATGCCCATTTTTTTGGGTTGAATTAATAATATATATTTTATTAAAAAAAAAAAAAAAAAAGGAAATGCTTGAGCCAGGGAGTATAATATTTTGTATAAAATATACTCTCGCGTTTTCTCAAAGAATGAAATTTTGAGTTTTTTCTTGGGAAATTGTATCTAATAACCATAAAAAAACCTAAAATTAAGGATATGGCTATAATGATTGATAGGCTACAATATACTGCATATTTTATAAAATATTCCCAAAATGTCCTCATTTCTGCTATCTAGAGTTTTGGTTAAACATCGAAAGCTTTTAGAGAATTTTACAAATTACAACTTTTTTTGTTGCTGCTTGTTCCTTTAATCTTGAAATTCTTGGCAATAGAAAAATGGGTCTTTGCTTTCTCCAGTTGGTTTCTGTCCAATTGTGTGATCATCTGTTTTCACCACCTCCTTTTTTTTTTCTCACGCAGAAGACAAGGGCAATTCGGACCAGATAAATGACAAATTTGTCTTTTGATGGCGCGTGGAATATACTCTCCAATTTCGATTCTCTTACGGATAGTTACTTAAATACTATTCCCAATATATTGCTAGTTAGCCAATTCACCCTTTTTTCTTTGTTGTACAAAAGTTGATGTTTTAGATGTTTAAATATACTTTTAGTTAATTAACGTTTGTTGCCAAAAAAAAGAAAATGCTCTCTTCCTTCAAAATGAAATTTATAGCCAATTTTTTGTTATTTCATAAAAATATATGTTTTAACTTTTTGATACATTTTTCCATATTTCAAGAACATTTATTATATTTTTGAATTCTTATTAGTTTAAAACTGTTTAATTGCAGAAATCTATACATTTATGATTAAAAGTGAAAATCTCATAAAATTTATTAAAAATGAACCGAGGAAGTACTTTATAAAATCACCAATTAATGATAATTTGAGATATGGGGAATCAGTCAGAACTTTAAATCTTTGTTCCAAATCTTAAGGTAATGTTTGCTTGTTTTTTTGGTCAAAATTTTATCTTGGTTTTAATGCTAGTTAATTTTGGTCAAACTTGAGGATGATCTTTACAAAAACACATTGGTGATATATACGAATTCTCTAATTAATACAATGAGTCTTGTTTATACTTTATAGCTTTATATATTGGTTGATATGTAGTTTGACCGAAAATATGGACATTAAGAGGATATAAATTGGACATGCTCTCCTTAAGTCCTTATCAAAACTCCAAGAACTTCCTCCAAAATCAATAAACCAGCATTTTATACGATCGATTATATAGGTTATTTATATAATTTGTGATCCCAAAACATTTTCTTGAAATCCGATCCAAAAATGATTGTCGCATTCACAAGAATGAAGTTGGTGGTTTTGATCTCGTTCTTGCTCCTGTCTCCATTGTGTTCTTCAGGTAATTACAAATCAAATTATTAAAATCCATAACTAATTGTAACACATTAATTGAAAGGATCTTATCTACTTATCTGTTTGTATAATTGAGTTGAAATTCCTTTTAAAAAGAATCAAAACATAATGATTTTAAAATCTAACATGTAATTTCAAGTATAATTGTATAAATTGGCTATTTGATCTACGAAAAGAGTTTGTAATACATACTCCAGTTGGTAAGCATTTCATTCCGAAGTTATAGTTTGATTCTAATATCATACAGTAGCTTATATTAATATATGTATATACATCTTCGCATTTTCTTTCTTAGGGTTTGAGGAGGACCATGCACTTACATCTACTGATCAACATTCCCAGGTAAATTAATAAAATAAAAAATGTTAAGTTTTCATAGTTTCACACATTTTATATACATATGTTTCATCTTTGTCGTCGTTTAAATAAATTAAGTCATTGTAATTATTGGTGTGACACAAATATGTAATACAGATTCAAGAGAGTAGTGAAGGGCTGATGGACTATCCACCGGTTGGTCCCAACGTACCTGGTGGGCCACGTTATTCACGTCCTCCGCATTCTCCACATTATTCCCGAGACGAGGTAAATTAATAAAATAAAAAATGTTAAGTTTTCATAGTTTCACACATTTCATATACATATATTTCATCTCTAATACCTATTGTTGTCCTTTAAATAAATCAAGTCATTGTAATTATTGGTGTGACACAAATATGTAATACAGATTCAAGAGACTAGTGAAGGGCTGATGGACTATCCACCTGTTGGTCCCAACGTACCTAGTGGGCCACGTTATTCACGTCCTCCGCATTCTCCACATTATTCCCGAGACGAGGTAAATCAATAAAATAAAAAATGTTAAATTTTCATAGTTTCACATATTTCATATACATATGTTTCATCCCTAATACATATTGTCATCGTTTAAATAAATTATCAAGTCATTGTAATTGTTGGTGTGGCACAAATATGTAATACAGATTCAAGAGACTAGTGAAGGGCTGATGGACTATCCACCTGTTGGTCCCAACGTACCTGGTGGGCCACGTTATTCACGTCCTCCGCATTCTCCACATTATTCCCGAGACCAGGTAAATCAATAAAATAAAAAATGTTAAGTTTTCATAGTTTCACACATTTCATATACATATGTTTCATCCCTAATACCTATTGTTGTTCTTTAAATAAATCAAGTCATTGTAATTATTGGTGTGGCACAAATATGTAATACAGATTCAAGAGACTAGTGAAGGGCTGATGGACTATCCACCTGTTGGTCCCAACGTACCTGGTGGGCCACGTTATTCACGTCCTCTGCATTCTCGTAAACTTATATCTTAATCGTATCACTACAAAACTGGCATAGAATGGTCTCTGATCAATTAATACATCCTTATAGTTGTTATTGTATCACTATATATCTTAATCCAATAATCTTTGAATAATATTCGATGAATTCTATGTACTTTGTTGTCCCATGATTCGGGAAAATTACTTAAGTTTGTTTCTCGTTTACTTTTTTTTTTAAGGAATTGATCGTAGTAGAAACAAAAAATTGGTTTAGAATTCTAAACCAACAAAAGAACCGGGAAACTTTCCATTGGATCACTGGATCGATCTGGTCCAACCATGTGTAATCAACATTGAACAATATGACCAAAAATGACATAAACATAAGTGTTGGAGTCGTTTGTGAATTGACTCTAAACACACAAAATAATGACGCTAAATATATGACGTTATGTCTAGCGTCGGTGTCTTAACTGAAGCAGCAAATTGACGTATGGTTAATGTCGGTGTTTTAAGTGAAGCAACGATGGTCTGCGTTATTGAATGACACGTCGGTTTATAAACTGACTTCAAGTTTTTAGCGTCATTCTCTTACCAACGTGAACCCCATATATAAACGACGTCAAACTCCGTCTTTCTAGTAGTGAGAATATAACACACATATATATATAGGCATGTAGCACATTTCTTTTTCAAGTCTATAATATGAAGCGTAAGTAGAAACATATAAAAATGACAAGTCAATAAATAAAATATAGGGCCTGATTGGTTGTGGTTGTGGCTTTAGATTTTTGGCTGTAGAGTTTAGGCTATAGGTTTTAGTGCTGTGGCTTTAGTTTTTAGTGCTGTAAGATTTTTTTTTTGTAGATTGTGTATTAAATGAAATATTAAAACAAAAAAAGAAGATATAGAAATAAGAGATTAAAAAAAGGATATAGACAAAATAATAAGGGAAGAGAAGAGAGAGAATTTAGAGAGCACTAAATTTAGTGCTCTAGAAAAATTGTTTTCCACAGCTACGGAACTTCCATAAATAAATAAAATTGCTCTATGTTTCAAAAATGGAAAGAAATAAAAGGAGAGCATGATTGGTAATTTTGGAGTGCTTTAGAGAGATATAGAGCTGTGGAGAGCATGATTGGTAATTTTGGAGTGCTTTAGAGAGATATAGAGCTGTGGAGAGCAACCACAGCTCCCACCAATCATCCCCATACTGTCAAGAATAAAATAAACAAAAAAATGAGAGACACGATATACAACAAACAAAAGTAAAATAAAAACTGAAAACAAAAGAAGATTTTATTACAATGTATTTGATCGTCTCATCTTTGTTGCATCTTGTATGTATCTGTTCAGTCAACGAATAATATATTTACTTATGTATTTCATCGATTTTACTAAGTCAAAGAATAATATGTCATTATGAATTTGATCGATTTTAGTAATAAGTCAAAGAATAATATATTTTGGAAAGCCTTTGTTCAAAAAAAAAGAAAAGGTAATATATATCCTGATGTAGTTGATCGATTGGTTTGCGATTGATCTGTTGGAAGTCTTGGAGACAACGACCGTGTGAAAAGAAATTGGGAACGGTTCTGAAAACTTGCCATTTTCTTAACATGAGGGAGTAATAATAGATTAATAGATGCAACTTCTCCACAACAATCAAAGACTTGTATGAGATTTCTCTTATCACACTAGCTCTGCTATGAGTTCTTCTGTTAACATTTCTTCAATCTCTTTACCTATCACTTCAATGTCATCTCCCAAGTTTGGCCACTGAATCTCCTTCTCCTTTGTATATCTACTTGGTTTTTCATGTATCCTGTTTATATCCCACTTTGGGTGCTGCTCGGAAATTTCACTCTTGATTCTATCCAATAGAAACTTCCTCTCTAACCGGGTTGCGGTTTTCAGACCGGAGTATTTCTTCTCAAACAAGGATGAATCTAGAGGTGAATCAGAAGAGTGCCATGTCGCCACGAAGCTTTCGTGGTTCAAGTCACAGAACCTGGAGTTTGCTAAGACATCAGCCAAGTATAAAGACTTGCAGTCTTCTCTTGGCTCTTTGGTGATCAACGACTCATCAGTTACTATGGATGATGATTCCTCTTGATCTGCGTCTTCATCACTTGAAACGAGCATGTCTCCTTCCTTGTAGGTAGCTGACTCACGTTTGAGTAGCTTAAGTTTCATTTTAAGCCCTGGAAATGAAGTGTTAAACAAATTACAAAAGGAGTATATTAACTTAAACTATGAAAGAATCAAGGGACAACCAATAGGACATGATTGAGATACCTTGAAGATCTGCGTTAAGACTCTCAAAGCACTCGGAACTGAATGAAAACTCATCATGACAAGAAGTTTGTAAGATTGAAACCGGACTGGGTTGATCTCCCTCCTTGGAACTTTCTTGAGGATGTAGTAGGGAGATAGAAGAATGATCGACTTCTTCGGTTGGTCTGCTCGAGATATCCTGTAGCATCATCAAATGAATAGAACACATGTCAGTAAAACAGACGATAACACAAACAAGTGATGTTGAAGCATTAATTTCTCACTTACATGGTTAGTTAACGAGGTAACTGCTGACAAATCGAGTTGTTCCAATTCCAAGGATGGGTTACTCTTGGCATCTTCATAGTCTGAACCACTTTCAGTATCTAAATCTGCAAGAATTGATACGCTGCTCTGTGTTTTTAAAGCAGGAAGCTTCTCTCTGCATAACTCACTATCCAGATAAAGAATTTTACTTGAACTTGCTCTGTTGATCTCTGACGAGCGATTACTACTAACGGGCGTGGAGTTGTTAGACAAGAAAAATTCCCTGTGGTGAATAGAACTCTGCTTCACTAATCCATCTCGCGTGGTTAACTTCTTTGGGAGCACAATCGTGTGACCACAAGGTCTATCATCATCTTGCATGTTTGTTCTGCGTTTTGAAAGATTTCTTCTACCAGTACCTTTCCAACCATCTCTACTGCTGATTCCAATGGGCTCTAGTAATTCAGACTGTCCAACACTGCTCTCAGATCTTTTACTGAGCCCCTTCTTGAGAGTGATCTCATTAAAACTTGCTGCTCTCGCTTCTCTATCTGAAGTTGCAAGCATTTCACCCAATGTATTGCTTCTTCTAATTTCAGTCTCTCGCTCAGACTTGTGTGCCACCTTCCACCTCTCCGACAGTTTCCTCATGGCTTCTTTACTCACAGATGATCCCGGTGACCTGGAAGGTAGAGATCGACGGTGGTTCTTGCGGTTAAAGTCAGTTCTTGCTTTTTCTCTTGAAGAATCACTCTCAGACGAGCTTTCATCCCCTGCATAACCTTTAAACCTTGAAACCTCAAAGTTCATGGAGCTATCACTGCCACAACCTCCCTTCATTTGACTATATACTATTCTGGCAATCGCTCTGGAATCTCTTGGCTTCCGTCTTGAAAGACTAACATCTTCACTACCTTTCAACCTGCCAAATGCTTTTGACTCCTGATTGCTGGTGCATGGAAGCTTGACATCTGCCCTGACCTCATCGCAAGGAGAGCGAGCTCTACCAGTGGTCTGTAGCTTCCCAAGATTAGGTTTCAGAACAACAATCTCAGTCGGCTTCAAACCACCATGCCATTGAGGTGATGTGTGACTCTTCCCTAACAACTCTCCGTCCACTTTTAGAGTTGTAGCTTGACTAGAGTGTGGAAGATGAAGCAAATGTTTTGTGAATAATGAATCTGGATGATGAAGAAACTTCAATAAGAGGTCCTTGTTGGAGTCTAGAGCCTCAAGAGTCTCATTAAACTCTCGAGAATAACGGAGTTTCTCATCAGACGACAGACGCTTAGCCTCAATGAACTTCTCGCGTATAAACGCCATCTCTGCCTCCTTTATATTACCATCCATCTTCCTTTGACGCAAACTTCTACTGCTCTTCTCTTTTCCTGCGTCCAAAACTTCAAAGACATCTTTGAATCTCCGCTCTTCCATTGAGCCCCTCCTGAGAGCTTCATGAACACCATATATCTCTTTCCCTCGAGATTTTTCAAATGTCATCGGTTGGCGTTGTTGATTCTCCACAGGCTTGGATTCTCTGAGAGGAGAAGTATGATGAGGCATCCCATCAAGACCCATCAATCTCGCTATAATGCTTGGTGATCTACTTCTTGATCCATTTTGCTTTGGCATTTCTTGTGTTGACAAACTTTTCACTGGAACTTCACTATTGTCTCCCTAACTACAAATGCCAACTTCACTATATGATCTGCTATCCTTAAGGGATTGGTTACCTTGTCTGCACCTAAAGCGTCACAGCCGCAAGAGTTAAATTTTCAGAAGATTCCTCTATGGACTTGTGCTTCAGAAGGATGACTTCCTGGAAATGTTACCAACAATGAGAATGCGCTTGATATCTTTTAGCACAAAGCAAAGGTGTTATGCGCAATCGTTACGTGTAATTTAGATACTATAAAGCTGTTTAAATGAAAGTAACGAACAAGCAAAGCTAAGCATAAAGCATGGCACTACCAAACAAATAAAGGCATGACATTTTCTATAGAAACAACATCACAGAATTTTCTATTAACTGTTTATCTGAAGCTTATATTTTTTTTGTTCTTCTCCACAATCAGAAGAGCTAATCAAAAATGTAATTTTGAGTAAACAATAAAAAAACGAGCATTTGATGATGAGGTACATTACTCGGTCTATGAGATAAAAATACAAAAGTTGGCTTAGGGAAATTTCGACAGCTAAAGCAACGGAAAGTTCGAGTAATAAGCTTTAACTAGCCGTAATATGGTCAAGCAGAACGGAAGAAGACGGTGTTTTCTATCATTTTCTGGCGTTTTCCCGGAGGCCAAAGATGTAAGGGAAAAAAAACAGGAAATGGAAGAGAGATGAGAAATTCTAACCTTCACAATAACTGGGTATCTGACTATGGAAACAAATCGATTTGCTGTAAGTTGTTAGATTGGCGAGACGAAATGCGTTCGTCTTTCACTCACTCGTAATCGGAAGAAATCTCCTGGGAAAACATTTCATATAATTTGAAATTTGAATTTTTGAGGATAAGATTATACCAAGAGGGTAATCTGGATCGGAAATTCGCCCGAGCAGATAAATATCAGAAAGACAACATTTCCCCAAAATCATGGAGCAATTTAGGAGAAAAAAAAAAGATTGTAGCGATTTTCTCTTGAATTACAATCTTACAGAGAGAAATCGATAAGAGAAGAAAGAGTATTGGCAAGAGCAAGAGAGAGAGAAGCAGAGGACGACGCCGGCGTGAGAGAGAGACTGAGAAGGAAACGATATCATATTAGTATTTGCAAATCAATTTTCGTGAATGGAGCCACCACGTTAACTCTCAGCCGCGGAATTACCGAGATGCCCTTAATGAAAATCTTTCAATTAAATCTTCGAATTTTTCCTTTTTTATTAAAAACGAATTTGATTATTGACTTTTAATATTTTTAGATAAATATGTTAACTACCATATCCCCGCCTTATTTTTGGAAGATATTATAAATTTTAGGAAGATAAATAATAAGTAAACCCTAAGATTCTTAACTGATCCTGTATTATATAAATAGATACGATCTTGGAAAAACAACACAATTTTCATTACGATTTGCAATTTGTCTTTCAATACGTAATTTTAGTTCTTAGATCTCATATTCTTCTTCACATGTACCTTAATTGTTTTAGTTCGATCTTAGTTCTAATAAAACTATTTATGAACTGATTATTTGTTATTTTCTGTCAATATCATCTATTGATCCGCTTCTAACTACTTCCTCTCTCACTTTTGTAACAGAAAATTCATTATTTGTAAGCTGATGGAATAGAAGTTCATATATGGTCCCAAGCCAGAAGTATTCTTCCCCAAAAATAGAGGGTATGAACATCTTTTCTTTTATATATCAACTTAATATTCATGAAACCCTAATTCTAATGATGAGAGTATAACGTTTTCTTTTTTTTTTTTTTTAGTTTCTTCAATGAAGCTGGAGGAATGGAATTGGCGGAGCCTGGAAAGAAGAATGATTTCGGGAGCATATTAGCAGGTACAAAGATTTGGTTGAATCTTGAGATCATGAGAGGCCGTACCACATGATGTGCATGTGGCTTTGGATTGATTGTCTTTGCAGATCCTTATGTTGTTGTAGAGAGAATGATCATGAAGAAACAAATCATTGATGGCCGATCGGTTAATATTCTAAAACTCATCAAAAATCCTTCATCAATCTCTGTAACATATGATGTAACCTTTTGTTTTTTTTTCTTACTTGCGCAGTAAGCTTTCTTTAGTAGGACAAGACGATTTTTGAGTTCCTGTTTCGTCTACTAAAGGAGAGAGAACCTTATTCTGAATTCTTCTTACTTTTGGAGAGTCGAGTCAATTAAAGAAAAGAGAAACACTACGAAGAGGTAATGATTCAATGAGAAGATATTTCCTGATGCTAACATGTGGCCAAATTACGATGAAATTGAGGATGAAGAAGATGACAAAGAAGAAATACAATATTTATTCACAGTCTCCTCGACTCTCTTCTTTTATTTTATCAGTTTCATCTTTCTTCATGTAAGAAGAAATACAAGAAGAAAGATGAAACTAATAAAATAAGATGTTGCAAAAATGAAAAGGATTGATAACACAAAATGATAAAGAGTACAAAATGAAATAAGAAGAAAAGACTGAATAAAAACAAGGAAAAGATGAAAGTTGGAAGACAAAGACGGAAAAAACAAAAGAAACAGAACAAAAGAAGAAAATATTTGAAGAATATGTGAACAATAAAGAAGTTGAAAAAAAATCAAAAGATAAAAAAAACGAAGAATAAGAACACAAAGACAGTTGAAAAACAAATTGTAAATAAAAGGAAGAAAACTGATAAAAAGCAGGAAATAATAAGATGATGATAAAAGAGAATAGAAAGTTTGATAAGAATAAGAAAAAAAATAGTAGAAAATGAAGAAAAAATATGAAGTAAAAGACAAATTAAAATAAAAAGATAAAATAGGGTTGAGGTTTATGATGTACGGTTTATACTGATGGGCGTAAAATTTAGTTGTTGATGCATTTAAAAAAATTTGAATACACTAAATTACCGATATAAAAAACTTATGTTAAAAATAAAATAAAAGTAAATATAGAATCAATTTCTAAAATGTGGGTTCGGGTGTACAGATTGGCGGGGGGAGGGGGGACGGGGGCGGAGGGTGTTACACTATGGTGTTTGGGTTGTTTAGGGGGTGGTGTTACACTGTAGGGTTTGGGTTTAGGATGTAGGATTTATATTGATGGGTGTAGGGTTTAGTTTTTGGTGCATTTTAAAAACTTAAATTATTATAGAAGAATTTCATTATAGAAAATCATTTATTATAAAAAGTTATACTATTTATCTTATTAAAACTTTTAATTAATTAATGTATTTTAAAAATATTGTACCCGCACAAGGTGCGGGACAACCACCTTGGTGTAATTTTGAAATTCAAATTAAATGAAAAAAAACAAAAAAGCTTTATCGTTTTCTTATTTGTCTTCCCACGGTTCGAACCTTAACTAAACCGGCCGGTACAATTGGATATTGAGAAACCGCCCATCATTTACCATTCAAACAAGTATCTCATGAGCATCTAAGGCACTAATATAAATCAGCAGTCTTTGCCTCTTAGAGACCGATCTCTTGACCCGACTGACCAATGATCCTATCACAAGCAAGAACAAATCCCAACAACTCTACTCTAGGTCTAGGAGGATCCATGAAAACATGACAGTGTCTCGTGATGTATACACATCTAAAAAGAAGAAATACTGCAAGAGATTCAAGCTTTTCCATATTGAATATTCAACTCATGCTACAACACACGACATTTGGTAATCAGTTCATGCTCAAACACATACTACAACAGAGAATCACATTCAACCATTGTTCACCTCATATTACCATTTTGTAACATAGACATTTGCCTCATTCAACTCTTGGATCCAGTCATCTCTCGCTGCGCCTTCTCCGCAAAGAGCTTCGTTGCAACCATATTATCCATAAAATACTCTCTGTAACTGTAAGGATGGTTCCTCGGCACAAGCTTCCTGAACTTCTCAAACTGCTTCTCCGCCTCATCTTGCTTCTTCAGAACTGTGTATATGATCAACTCAAACAAGGATGAATCAGAAGAGTGACATGTCATCATATATGAAGCTTTCGTGGTTCAAGTCACTGAACCTGGAGTTTGCTAAGACATGAGCTAAGTATAAAGACTTGCAGTCTTCTCTCTTGATGATTCCTCTTGATCTGCGTCTTCATCACTTGAAACGAGCATGTCCCCTCACGTTTTGTCAAGAAACCTAGAAGGTATTAAGGGTTTTCTTGTTATTGATCACGATGCCCGGAGGCTACATATTTATACAAGATATTAGACCTAATGTATGTACTGAGTAAAGGACTAAAGTACCCTATACATCATCGTAACACCCCCCCTCAAGATGGAGCATGGAGGTCACAAATGCCCATCTTGAACTTGAAGTTTTCAAATTCTGCTGCACCGAGAGCCTTGGTCAAGATGTCTGCAAGTTGCTTATCAGTAGAAACGTGTTTCATAGTGATTATTCCATCTTTCCAAGCGTCACGTACAAAGTGACAATCATTTTCGATATGCTTTGTACGCTCATGAAACACCGGGTTCGCTGCTATGTGAATCGCAGCTTTGTTATCACAGAACAGAGCAATCGGAGCTGAGTGATCAATGCCCAGACTGAGAAGAAAAGCTTTCATCCACTTGATTTCCTTGACAGCGTATTGCATCGCTCTGTATTCCGCCTCCGCAGACGATAAGAAAACTGTGTCTTGTAGTTTTGCTTTCCACGAAACAGGGGAATTGCCGAGTTGTATAAAATATCCTGTGAGAGAACGACGTGTGAGAGGACAGCCATTCCAATCAGAATCACACCAACCCGTTACTGTTAAAGGACAATCTGCACGAAGTAGAATCCCTTGGCCCGGATTATTTTTAAGAAACCGAACAACCCGAAGAGCTGCTTCCCAATGTGCAGCTTTGGGATGTTGCATAAAACGAGTCAAAATATGAATAGCGTATGATATATCAGGCCGAGTGGCTGCAAGATAGATGAGATGCCCAACCAAGCGACGATACCGTTTTGGATCAGGGATATCGTCACCTGTAGCAAAAGACAACCTGTGATTCTGTTCAAGAGGAAATTTGACAGGCCGAGCTCCTAATAATCCCGTCTCTGAGATTATATCAAGCGCATACTTGCGTTGACATAAGTAAATGCCCTTAGGGCTCCGAGCTACCTCAATCCCCAAGAAGTATTTAAGTACACCCAAGTCTTTCATCCGAAATTGTGAGCTAAGATAGTCTTTAAAAGCAGTCATCAACTCAATGGAGTTCCCTGAAATCACTAAATCGTCAACATAGACCAACACGTACATCTGTTTACCGTCACGATTGTAGAGAAACAACGAGTAATCTGAGAGACATTGAGTGAAGCCATATTCAAGCAGAGCCGTGGAGAGCTTAGCAAACCAGCATCTCGGAGCTTGACGCAACCCATAGAGTGATTTATGAAGACGACAGACCTGAGAAGAGTCTTTAGTACGGAAGCCGGGAGGAAGTTTCATGAAAACCTCTTCTTCCAAATCCCCATGGAGAAAGGCATTATGAACATCCATCTGATGTATCTCCCAATTCTTAGCAGCACTAACCTCAAGACAAATGCGGATTGTATTCATCTTTACAACTGGAGCAAAGGTTTCTCCAAAATCTTCACCTTCAATTTGATTATTGCCTAGAACAACCAAGCGAGCCTTATACCGTTCGACAGAACCATCAGATTTGTATTTGATGGTAAAAACCCATTGACAACCAAGTGCGGTCTTACCCGGAGGGAGAGTTTCAATGGTCCAAGTTTGACTTTCATCCAAAGCTTCAATCTCGTTTTTCATAGCATCACGGAAACGTTTATCAAGTACGGCTTGAGAGTAGTGTTTAGGCAGCTGCGTACTTGATATAGCTTTAAAAATGCACAATGAGAAGATGAAAAACGAGAGCTGGAGAGATACTGATCGAGAGGATAGAGAGAAGTATCCTCCATAGGTTCAAACGAAAGATCTACTTCAGCCGATGTAGTCTTGAGGACGTAGTCATTAAGTTTGCTGGGAAGTTTACGATCCCGTTTTCCTCTGCCTAGTTCTTCGGTAACAGAGACAAGAGGTAACACAGCTGCAACTGGGGATGTCGGATTCGGTGGCTCAGATGGAGAGATAATAGTCTCCTCCGATGGACTCGAGGGCTCCGGTGGTGCAGGAATCAATGGTGTAGGTACCACTAAAGTTGGAGTTGGGTCCAAATCAGGAGGAACGATCTCAACAGCGGGGAGAATATCATCAAAGTCATCAATATCAAACACCAATGGTCGAACAAGAATACTAGGACCAGACGTGATAGGTGAACGATCAATGGTGGAGGGAGTAGAAAATGGAAATTTATCTTCACAAAATATCACATTACGGGAAATTAACATTTTGCGAGTTTCCAAGTCATATACCCTCCATCCCTTTTTGCCAAACGGATAGCCAAGAAAAACTGACTTCTTGCTACGAGGTGCAAATTTATCTCCACCGTGATGTAGATTGTGCACGTAACACAAACATCCAAACACACGAAGATGGTTGATAGGAGGAGGTCGATTATACAGCAGCTCAAACGGTGTTTTTCCACGAAGTATGGTTGTTGGAGTGCGATTGATAATGTATCCAGCAGCTAACACGCATTGTCCCCAAAACTCAAGAGGAAGTGAAGCTTGGAATCGAAGAGCTCGAGCAACATTCAGTATATGGCGATGTTTTCTTTCAACTCTGCCATTTTGCTGTGGCGTTGCGACACACGATGTCTCATGCAGGATGCCGTGTTCGCGAAAGAAACCATTCAGGCAGATAAACTCGGACCCGTTATCGCTACGTATCGTTTTCACTCGTTTCCCAAACTGTCGTTCGACCATAGCGATGAAATCTTTCAAGCTTTTGGGAGCTTGTTGTTTATCGGGTAGCAAGTAGATCCAAAGGGCTCGAGAAAAATCATCGAGGATAATTAAGAAGTATCGAGAACCACACATCGCAGGGGTGCGATAAGGGCCCCAAAGATCACAATGCACAACTTCAAAAACCTCTTTTGTTTTATTTAAACTCAACGGAAAAGAATCACGAGACTGTTTTGCGCGGATACAAACTTCACACGCCTTTGAATCAAAACTACTACAACCATTTAAATCTGAAATAGATAAAAAATCCATGGCTTTAGACGCAGGATGTCCTAAGCGACAATGTCAAATATCCGCCGATGCCTTGGTAGAGATATGCATTGCAGCAGCAACATCCATGGCTCTAAAGAAATACAATCCACTTCGTTCCTCACCCGCTCCAATCAGCGTCTTCATAATGCGGTCCTGAATAATGCACAATTTGTCAGTGATCTGAAAAACGCAAGTCTGATCGCGTGTCAACTGAGACACCGAGATTAAATGACATTTCAACCCTTCAACAAAGTAGACATTCTGAAGACTGAGCTCAGACCCTAACTGAACTGTTCCCTTTTTCGTAGAGATCGTGAAACGACCATCAGGCAATTTTATCGGAACAGGAGACATGTCACAGACCGTATCAAGTGCATGAACAGAGCCAGTCATGTGATTAGAAGCACCTGTGTCAATAATCCAAGAGGAAACAGAGATCTTACCAGTGAGTGTTGGTCCTGCAGACTGCTCACGTTCGTTCAAAATGTTCACCAAAGTTTGCCACTGCGTATCCGTCAGTCCACTAATCCCGATCCGATCTGCACCTGTAATAGCTGCGTGAGCTGCTGCTGGTGGAGTAGAAACAATCACATTAGCCGCAGCTGGTCGTACAGCAGGTGGTATACTACGACCTCGCCCGACAGCCGGTGGTGCAGACTTGCCTCGACCACGGTCACCATACCATTCCGGATATCCCATCTTGCGGAAGCACACGTCAGCCGAGTGACCTGTTTTTCCACAATAGGTGCAAACAAGACATGTTGTACCTCCTCTATTTGAGTTAGAGAAAGTTTGTTTTGCATTTGAAGTTTGAATTGCAAAACTCATCTCCTCGGTGCGAGTAGTAAGAAGACGACTCGTGACTTTAGCTTCTTCATCTTGTGCCAAAACTTGGTACGCTTCATCCAAAGAGGGTAAAGGATCACGTGACAGTAATGAAGACTTGACAGCACCATACACAGTCTCATCGAGACCCATAAGAAACTGGTGTAGCTTGTCTTCTTCACGCTCCTTAGCTAATTCCTCCATGGTTTTAGCTTGTTGATAGTCAGCTAGGCTCCTCCATAGCTGAGTTAATTTTCCGTAATACTCTTGCATTGCAAGACCCTTTTGATGGCAATTCGCAAGTTCTGTCTTGAGACGTTGAACGCGTTGCCCGTTTCTGACAGCAAAACGACACTTGATGTGGTTCCACAAGTCATGTGCCTTCTCATACGTAGTGAGAGAAGACCGCAAGTTTTCATCAATGGTAAGCTTTATCCACGAGATCACCATGGCGTTATTTGCCCACCAATCTTCATTGTCTTCGTTATCCGCCGCTGGTTCAGGAATAGTACCATCGACGAAACCGAATTTCTTCCTTGCTTTTAGGGCAAGTCGGAGACTTGTAGCCCAATCATCATAATTAGGGCCACGGAGAAGAGGTTGGGAAATCACACTCTCGGGATTGTCACCAGATGATAAATCGTACGGATCTATGGTTCTCCTTGTTCTTGTGCGTGCAACAACGACAGCCGCAGGATCCGCCATGTTTTAAGAAGTTCTAAGCGATAGAAGAATCAAACTTAGAGTAGGTCAAAGTAAAGGAGAGAAAATAAATCAGAAGGGCAACGAAGGTCGCTACCAAGGATCGACAATAACCGAGAATTTGTATGACTCGATTATTGCTCTGATACCATGTCAAGAAACCTAGAAGGTATTAAGGGTTTTCTTGTTATTGATCACGATGCCCGGAGGCTACATATTTATACAAGATATTAGACCTAATGTATGTACTGAGTAAAGGACTAAAGTATCCTATACATCATCGTAACACGTTTGAGTAGCTCAAGTTTCATTCTGAGCCCTGGAAATGAAGTGTCAAACAAATTACAAAAGGAAAATATCAACTCAAATTATACTATGAAAGAATCAAGGGACAACCAATAGAATACCTTGGAGATCTGCATTAAGACTCTCAAAGCACTCAGAACTGAATGAAAACCACTTTCAGTGTCTGAATCTGCATGAACTGATACACTGCTCTGTGTTTATAAAGCAGCAAGCTTCTCTCCGCAAGGAGAATTTTGCTTCAACTTGCTCTGTTGATCTCTGACGAGCTATTGTCTGAAAAACCACGTGTCAATGTACTAACAAAACTAATACGTGTCATCTTTGTATTGGTTACTAAACTATATTTAAAAAAATGACACGCATGGCGATGAAAACAATGTCGAAAATAATTAAAAAAAAAAAAAAATCGATATCACAATTTCACAGCTTTCCTTAATTCTTCGAATCCTCCGCTCGTCTTCACTCTGTATCGCCATTTCTGTTTGTATAGCTTTTTTTATATTTAACTGCCCACTCCAAAATCCTTCAAAACTGTCCCGAGAGCTCTGTGAAATAATGTCTGCTACAATCCATGGAGCTGCAACAGCCTTGTCGACGTTTAATTCCGTCGATTCGAAGAAACTCATTTCCCCTTGTCGCACAAATCTTCCAGGTTCGGTTTTGATTTCGATTTGGAATTTGGCGATCTGGGGACGATTCAATTGCTTGATTGATTTCTAGTGGATTTGTGACATCTTTAGCTGTTTTGCTTTTGACGCAGCGAGGAGCAAGAGATGCATTGTCGCTGGATCTGATGCTAGTAAGCGCTCGGGTTCTCGTCTCAGAGTTGGTCACTCTCAGAAATTGATTCCAAATGCTGTTGCGGTAAATCGTTTGTTTGTTTCTGGTTATTGAATATATGTGCCTCTCCTTCTCGTCCTGCAATGATCTCACATCGCTTTTTTTTGTTTGTTCTGTAGACGAAGGCGGACACATCTGTAACCACTGGCACTGGGTATGTTTTGTTGCGAATTGGATATTGATTTTACTCAATTTAATTATCTCTTTCCTGAATAAATCTCCGATTTACATGTTTCATATGTGTTTGTTTCTTGTATATATGCCTTTGCTTTCTCTTTGTCTCTCTGCCTTTGTTTAAAAACATTGATTTCATCTCCATGGGATTCCAAGTTAGCCAGAAAGTAGGTAGTTAGGTTGGAGATTTTTACATGAATCCATTTAGTTACTTCTCATTGAGACACATTGTATAATGTCTCAGAAACCGCAGGGACATTTTTTGCTACCCTTACTGTTTCCATTAGAGATTTACTTTTTCTTTCACCTATGCATTTTTCTTTGATGTATCTCTCTTGTCACAAATAACACACATTTTCACAACACAGAGATTATAACCAATTTTTATGTTATGAACTTGCAGACACGAACTATTGCTGTTCGAGGCTCTTCAGGAAGGTCTGGAAGAAGAGATGGACAGAGATCCACATGTATGTGTCATGGGGGAAGACGTAGGCCATTACGGAGGCTCCTACAAGGTGACCAAAGGCCTTGCCGATAAATTCGGCGACCTCAGGGTTCTCGACACACCCATCTGCGAAAACGCCTTCACCGGCATGGGCATCGGAGCTGCCATGACTGGTCTAAGACCCGTCATCGAAGGTATGAACATGGGCTTCCTCCTCCTCGCCTTCAACCAAATCTCCAACAACTGTGGAATGCTTCACTACACTTCCGGTGGTCAGTTCACAATCCCGGTCGTCATCCGTGGTCCCGGAGGAGTGGGACGCCAGCTTGGCGCTGAGCATTCGCAGCGGTTAGAGTCTTACTTCCAGTCCATCCCCGGGATCCAGATGGTTGCCTGCTCCACTCCTTACAACGCCAAGGGCTTGATGAAAGCCGCGATAAGAAGCGAGAACCCTGTGATTCTGTTTGAGCACGTTCTGCTCTACAATCTCAAGGAGAGTATCCCGGACGAGGAATACATCTGTAATCTGGAAGAAGCTGAGATGGTTAGACCCGGGGAACACATTACCATCCTCACTTACTCGCGGATGAGGTACCATGTGATGCAGGCAGCGAAAACTCTGGTGAACAAAGGGTATGACCCTGAGGTTATTGATATCAGGTCGCTGAAACCGTTCGATCTTTACACCATCGGAAACTCGGTGAAGAAAACTCACCGGGTTTTGATCGTTGAGGAGTGCATGAGAACCGGTGGGATTGGAGCTAGTCTTACGGCTGCCATAAACGAGAATTTTAACGACTATTTAGATGCTCCGGTCATGTGTTTGTCTTCTCAAGACGTTCCTACACCTTACGCCGGTACTCTGGAGGAGTGGACCGTGGTTCAACCGGCTCAGATCGTGACTGCCGTCGAGCAGCTTTGCCAGTGATTTCGTATTAAACCGGTGAACCATTATTTACCCTATCCATCTCCTTTCTCTTTAGTTTTACTTTATAAGAATTTGTTTGGCTTTTTTTTCCTTGAACTTTTGGTTTGGTTTTGTACTTTTGTTTGTTGTCCCTGTTGTTATGTCTTGGAATACGGGTTTTGAAACTGAAGAATGTTTGGTTTGTTGTTCATTCATAATCATATCCCACACTTTTATTTTTAACCTTGAAATTTTCTTTACCTTTACGAACACAGACACACACACACACACACACACACACCTGTTCTGCTTTAACTTGTTTCCCAGAAGTGCTTTCATCCCCTGCATATCCTCTAAACCTCGAAATATCAAAGTTGATGGAACTATCACTGCCACAACTTCCCTTCATTTGTCTAGATACTATTCTGGCAATCTCTCTGGAATCTTTTGGCTTGCGTCTTGAAAGACTGCCATCTTCATTAGCTTTCAACCTGCCAAATGCTTGTGTCTCCCGGTTGCTGGTGCATAGAAGCCTGAGATCTTCCCTGACCTCATCACAAGGAGAGCTCTGTGATGGAAGAGCTCTACCAGCTTCCCAAGATTAGGTTTCAGAACAACAATCTCGGTCGGCTTCAAACCACCATGCCATTGAGGTGATGTGTGACTCTTCCCTAACAGCTCTCTGTCCACTTTTAGAGTTGTAGCTTGACTACAGTGTGGAAGATGAAGCAAATGTTTTTGTGAATATTGAATCTGGATGATGAAGAAACTTCAATAAGAGGTCCTTGTTGGAGTCTAGAGCCACAAGAGTCTCACTAAACTCTCTAGAATAACGGAGTTTCTCATCAGTCGACAGAAACTTAGCCTCCATGAACTTCTACTGCTCTTGTCCTTTTCAGCGTCCAAAACGTCAAAGACATCTTTGAATCTCCGCTCTTCCATTGAGCCTCCTAACAGATTCACGAACACCATACGTCTCTTTCCCTCGAGCTTTTTTCAGATGTCACCGGCCTGCGCTGTTGATTCTCCCCAGGCTTGGAGAAGTATAAGGAGGCAGCCCATCAAGACCCATCAATCTCACAATAATGCTGGGTGATCTACTTCTTGATCCATTTTCCTTTGGCATTTCTTGTGTTAACAAGCTTTTCACTGGAACTTCACTATTGTCTACCTAACTACAAATGCCAACATCAAGCATTACCTTGTCTGCACCTAAACCGTCACACAGCCGCAAGACTTCAAGTTTCAGAAGATTCCCTTAGAGACTTGTGCTTCTGAAGGTTGCCTTCCTGGAAATGGATCCAACAATGAGAATGCGCTTGATATCTTTTAGCAGATCCTAATTAATAAAGCAAAGGTGTTATGCGCAAACGTCACGTGTAAGTTATATGCTATAAAACTGGTTAACTGAAAGTAACGAACAAGCAGGGGCGGATGTAGGTAGAGAGGAAGGGGGTCAGCTGACCTCTACTACTTTTATAAATATTTATTTTCACCTATATTTGTAATGTTTTTAATGGCTAATTTGGTTTAAATATTGTTAAATGACCCCTTTATCTCAAGTTCAAATCTTCTCATATGACCCCCCTTATATCATTTTTTAATATATGACCCTGGTGTAAAATAATTCTAGCTCGGCGCTCCGCCCCTGCGAACAAGCAAAGCTAATCATGGCACTACCAAACAAATAAAGACATGACATTTTCTATAGAAACAACATCACAAATTTTCTATCAACTTTTCATCTGAAGAGTGGTTTTTTTTTCTTCTCCAGAATCAGAAGAACTAATCAAATATGTAATTTTGAGTTAACAATAAAAATGACAATTATCAGAAGTTGACTTAGGGAGGCCAAAGATGTAAGGGGAAGAGAAAAGGAAATGGAAGAGAAATGAGTAATTCTAACCTTCAAGAGAACTGGGTACTGTGGAAGCAAATCGATTTGCCGTAGATTATTAGATTGGCGAGAGGAAATGGTTCGTCTTTCACTCACTCGTAATCGGAAGAAATCTTCCGGGAAAACATTTCAGGTAGTTTGAAATTTGAATTTGAGGATAAGATTATAACATAACAAGAGGTAATCTGGATCGAAAATTTGCTGGAGCAGATAAAAAAGAAGAAGAAGATGGTATCGAATTTGGCAAGAAGAGAGCAATGGTAAAGAAGAGAAGAGAGAGTCTTGGCAAGAGCAAGAGAAAAAAGAGAGAAGCAGAGGATGACGCCGGCGTGAGAGAGACTGAGAAGCAAACGACGATATTGGGTGTGATTTTGAAAGTTCAAATTAAATGAAAAACAAAATAAGACAAAACCAAGGTTTATCGTTTTCTTATTTTTGTCTTCCCACGGTTCGAACCTTAACTAAACCGGCCGGTACAATTGGAGATTGAGAAACCGCCCATCATTTACCTCTCAAACAAGAATCTCATGAGCATCTGATACACTTCTCTTGCCATGATTGCATCTAAACGACTAAACCGCTAACATGATGAATCCAGCAGTCTTTGCTTCACGAGACCAAATTCTTGACGCGAGTGACTAATGAATACAGACAAGATGTTACTGTTCCTATCACAACCAAGAAGAAATCCCTAAGAACTCTAGGATCCATGAACATCTAAAAGAAAAAAAATACTGCAAGAGATTCAAGCTTTCCCATATTCAATATTCAACTCATGCTAACACACGATCTTGGTAATCAGTTCATGCTCAAACACATACTACAACACAGAATCACATTCAACCATTCTTCACCTCATTTTACCATTTTGTAACATAGACATTTGCTCATTCAACTCTTGGATCCAGTCATCTCTCGCTGCGCCTTCTCTGCAAAGAGCTTCGTTGCAACCATATTATCCATAAAATACTCTCTGTAAGGATGGTTCCTCGGCACAAGTTTCCTAAACTTCTCAAACTGTTTCTCCGCCTCATCTTGCTTCTTCAAAACCGTGTATATGATCCCTTGGCACAGATAAGGCCTGAAATCTCTCGGCTCTTCCTTCACAAGCTCCTGATACAGCTTCAACGCTTCGTTATGCTTCCCTTCAATAACCCGAATCTGAGCCACTAGCAGCTTGAAATCCCTCAAGTCCTTACGATTCTTCTCTCTCTTGCATTTCTCCATCGCCTCCCCAATCCTCTTCTCCACCAAACTCAAATCGGAACCTGATTCGGAATACGCCAAAAGCAGTCCGTGATAAGCCTCAACGCAAAGCGGATCCTTGGTTAAAATCTCTTCAAATCCGTTTTTCGCAGACTCTGAATCTCCACTGTGACTAAAGATATTGGCTTTCAACATTGGCCACTCTTTCTCTTCAGGTTCTAGTTCTATCAATTGATTGATCACCTCTATCGCTTCTAGAAGCTTCTTAGATTTGATCCTTACCTCCATCAACGACCTTAGAGCCTCCGCATCTTCAGGGTGAGAAGCGAGATGCTCTTCGAGCGATCTCTCCTGATCTTCAAACGAAACGTCTCCGTTACTCTCTCTAAGAGATTCCACCGACGGCGTCGCCGACAGAGGAGCTGCAATCGCCGGCGGAGGTTTGATCTGGAGATTCACGAAGAACAGCGCTGCTGCAGCGGTGAATGTGACGCAGGTGGATTTGAGGAGACGGGAAGGAAGTGATTGCGAAACTGGGATTCTCGGGGGTTGGGACTTTGATGACGAAGCTCTGATGGAAGCGCATTTGAGAGACGAAGTTGATCGGTGCAAGGATCTGAAAGAAAGCGATGAAGGATTTTGGGGGAATGATGAAGAGAGGTGAGTGAGAGAGAGGTGAATTGGCTGTTGATTGAGCTGTAGCTTGCCGAGAGACTCCATGACTGCAGATTGCAGAGAGAGAGATAACCCCTAAAAACCCTATAGTGTGAGTTTCAGGAAGAAGAAGATCAAAAAAGCTTTCGATTACGAACGAATATTCTGTGAATTTACGGCGACGTTTTGCGAGAATAGGCGTCAATGAATTTGGGCCTGTTTAGGCCCGGAACAAGTAACTAAACGGTAGAATCGGAACACATCCACTGGTTTTTGTTGACAATACACAGAAAGATTGCTTATTCGCTACCACCCGCAAATGCTGTAATCGCTAATCAAAAGTTTCCTTCCACAAGTGTTTGCGATTGTAGGAGGTTGCAGATTGAAAAAGAAAATCACAAAATTTCTAAATTTGAAATTTCAAACTAGGATAATTATTCAAATTTGAAATTTCTGAATAATTTAACTAAAACGAAATTTAATTAATAAACATCAATTTAAATAATAAAAACAAAAGATCATAATTTGATTTGATATTTTTCATTTTAAACTAATAAACATTTTATTCCTAATTATCTGTTAAAACATTTTGTATTCTTATTTTTGTGACTTTATATTATGGTTTATATGTGATATTAAAGTTGTTTATATACAAGTTTTTCTACATTTATCAATTTTTAAATTCTAAATTTTAAATAACTGAACAAAAATAAAATAATATCATTTTTTTTGGTGAAGCACCGGGAGCTACCTCCCAATTTTATTAAAGAAAAAGAGTTTACACACGGACTTGCCGCGACCTCGAGACTCCACGCTCGTCATCACAAAGAATAGCCACTAAGCCCGGAGGGACTGAATCAAATGAATGCAATCCTAAAGGTAAAGAAAAAGCATAGTTTGCCAATCCATCTGCTAGATTATTAGCCTCCCTATACGTATGAGTGATTCGGACTTCCCAGTCCTTTGATAAAAAGCCATGGCACAGGTGCACCAGGAACGACAGTGGATGAGTGTCACAGATCCCTGTCTTCACGAAACCAACAACCAATGCAGAGTCCACCTCTACTTCAAGTCTTGTGACCCCCTTCTCCCACGCGATGCATAGACCATAATACAATCCCCATAGCTCAGCCATAGGCGCAGTGCATCTTCCAATATTCAATGCAAACCCACCACACCACTGACCTTCTCCATTGCGCAAAACTCCACCACGTAGCTAAACCGGGGTTTCCACGTGACGCACCATCCGTGTTTAGCTTGATCCAACCTGCCAGCGGGGGTAACCATGAGATCAATCTCTCTTCTCGCACTGTCGTTCTTGCCCCACTTTCTGTAGACTGCACCTGAGACACTTCCCTCGCATATTCCTTCACAAATCCGACCCTGTCCCTCCACAGTTTATTATCCTCGAAGACATTTCCACATCTCCATTTCCAAGCCCACCACACAGATACCGAAAACAACGTGGACCAGGGTCCAAACTCCGTCTTTGTAGGGTCACTCAAGTTCACGAACAGCCACTCAAGCAACGACATCGAGAAAAAGGCCTGGCGTTTCTCTCGCGTGACAATGCGCTCCCAGATTCCGTTCATGGCCGGACAATCTCGGAGGATATGTAAGGTGGTTTCGATACCTGCTTTACATACTTGACAAATCTCTGTATCTCCAATGTGCCGGCGGAAGCGCTCCTGATTTGTCATGATTCCATTGTTCCCAAGTAACCAAAAGAAAACACGTACCCTCTCGGGAGCTATGACTCTCCAAATTCTCCTGAAGAATTGGCTCATGTCTGGTCTGAGGGAGGAATCCCGTGTGAGAAAACGATACGCAGACGAGACCGTGAACTTCCCATATGGTGTTTCTCCCCATGCCATTCTGTCCTGTTTCCCAGTCGCCTTATTAACCACTACTGATGCTAGCTCGAGTTGTGTAGTCTCTGGTACATATGGAGCAATTCTGGTCAGATCCCATCCAACTCCATCAATCCAAAACTCGCTTGCTGGCAAGCATAAGAGTGCCTCCGGGGCTGGAGTGACCTCCTCATCTCTCAAGATATTCCCCATAAGCCACTTGTCTGTCCAAAAGAGTATTTTCTTACCATCTCCCATCACCCAAGCGTGACTCGGTTGAAGCACTTCTCTGATCCCCAGAGCTACACTCCTCCACGTGGATGACCATGTGCCCTTCCCGACTAACCACGCAGTGTCATGGATATCGCCAACGCGGTATTTACTCCGTAGAACCCGTGCCCAGAGACTCGTTTCATCATTCAGCAACCTCCATCCAATTTTAGCTAAAAGGGCCTTATTCATAGGGCTTATCTTTCGGATTCCAAGTCCGCCTTCCTCCTTCGGACTGCAGACCTTATCCCAATTTACCAGGTGCTGTTTCCGCTTTTCCTCCGTCGATCCCCACACAAAATCTCTAGAGAGGTCAAGACGTTTTGTCATCGATTCCGGGAGTTTCACAGAACTCATTGAGTGTATCGGGACTGAACCAAGAACTGACTTTGTCAGCGTGATGCGCCCTGCCAAACTTATCATTCATCATAATAGTTTTGAATTTTTTTTTTAATTAATAATTATTTAGTAATATTTTGTTAAAATAAAGTTAAAATAGTCTTTTTAATCCAAAAATGTATTTTTCAAAACAGAAAAAAAGTTAGGGTAGTTTTCAAATATTTAAGCATAAATAGGGTATTTTTTAAAGAACCCCTAATTATATATCATGTTTATTTTAATAATTTTTGGTTAAAACGTTTTGCACCCGCTAGCCAACCAGTCAAAAATATTCCGCAAATGCAATCGCTATGAATTGATATACCACTCGTACAAACAGCTTAGGTGATGATTGGTTTTCCCGCTACCACTGCAAACGCTGCGTTTGCGGTTCATAGCGGTTTTTGGCGTTTATAATAATCACGACAACCGTTTTGAACTGCTCTATACCCCTCCGTACCGCTCTATATCGCTGAAAATCAAAAGCTCCTTTTCGCAAGCGTTTGCGGTTGCGGATTGAAAAAAAAAAAATCACGAAATTTCTAAATTTGAAATTTCAAACTAGAATAATTATTAAAAATTGAAATTTCTCAATAACTTAATTGAAACGAAATTTAATTTTAAAAAAAAATAATAAAAACAAAATATCAAAATTTGATTTTGACGTTTTTCATTTTAAACTAATAAACATTTTTATTCCTATTTTGTGGCTTTAGATTATGGTTTATGTGTGATATTAAAGTTGTTTTAAATTCTAAATTTTAAATAACTGAACAAAAATAAAATAATATCATTCATCATAATATTTTAGAATTTTGTTTTTAATTAATAATTATTTAGTATTGTTTTGTTAAAATAAAGTTAAAACAGTCTTTTTACATCCAACAAATTTATTTTTCAAAACAGAAAAATAGTTAGGGTAGTTTTCAAATATTTAAACATAAATAGGGTATTTTTCAAAGAATCTCTAATTATATATTATGTTTATTTTAGTAATTTTTGGTTAAAAGGCTTTTGCATCCGCTAGCCAACCAGTCAAAAATATCCCGCAAACGCTTAGGGTATTTTTGGTGTTCACTGATTGGATTGGTAGAGATTCTTTGGAGTTTATGATGGCATTGAACTTGGGAAAGCTGCGGTATTTGTGGCTAAAAATTTGCACAAAAATGATTTTAAGATGATGAAAAAAAAAATGTGAGGAAAATGGGGAGAAAGAAAAGAAGAAGAAGCCTTTAATGCTTATTGTATTTGAAAACTGATCCGTGATTTCTTCGAAAATGTCTTCTTTATAGACAATAATATTAATTCTTAAATTTACATTGTAAGATTAAAATTTACTTGAGCTTACTGGTAACAACAACAACATACAGGGCCTTAAGAGTGGTGGCTGCTGTGTTACGGTTTTGATACAAGATGAGGAGATGATTGTCTCGAATTTGGGAAATTGTAGAGCTCTTCTGTGTACTCGAGAAGGAGTTGATAAGGCCCTTACAAGTGATCACAAAGCAGAAAGAATCGAAAATCAGATAATAAGGGTTGTTGGAGAAACATGTAACATTGTTGTTGTTAATTGTAGTAATGAGAGAGAGTAGCTTTTTGATACTTCCATTGACATTTTGCTTCTATAGGGAGGCTATGTTGCTGAGACAAGAATACTGGAATTGGAAGAAGATATGGAGTTTCTTGCCTTAGCTTCTGATGGTCTTTGGGATGTGGTTAGTAATCAAGAAGCTGTTGACACAATGTTGAGTGTTTTAGCTCAGGCAAAGACTCCTAAAACATTCAACATTGTGTCAGCAGCTTCTTGATTACTTAACCACATCCCAAAGACCATCAGAAGCTAAGACAAGAAACTCCATATCTTCTTCCAATTCCAGTTTTCTTGTTTCAGCAACATAGCCTCCCTATAGAAGCAAAATGTCAATGGAAGTATCAAAAAGCTACTCTCTCTCAACATTACAATTAACAAGAACAGCAACGTTATATTTTTCTCCAACAACCCTAATTACGTGATTTTCAATTCTTTCTGCTTTATGATCACTTGTAAGGGCCTTAAAAACTCCTTCTCGAGTAGATAGAAGAGCTTTACAATTTCCCAAATTCGAGACAATCATCTCCTCATCTTGTATCAAAACCGTAACACAATAGCCACCACTCTTAAGGCATATGTTGTTGTTGTTACGAGTAAGCTCAAGTAGATTGTAATCTTACAATGTAAATTTAGGGATTAATATTATTTTCTGTAAAGATAAGACCTTTTCGAAAAAATCACGGATTAGTTTCAAATACAAGAAGCTGTAACGGCTTCTTCTTCTTCTTTCTCCCAATTTTCCTCACAATTTTTTCATCATCTCAAAAACATTTTTGTGCAAATTTTTAGCCACAAATTCCGCAGCTTTCTCACCTTCAAGGCCATCATAAATTCCAAAGAAACTCTACCAATCCAATCAGTGCACACCAAAACCAGTTAACCCTAAGATTTTCTAAAGGTTTTGTGCAAATTAACCTACAAACTAAATTAAATTTAAAAATCAAATCCTGAGTTTTTTGCAGTGCAAATCTAACCCACTAACTCAAAAATCACCGGGTAAACAATCCTTATTTGCATTCTCAATGTGGCCCATGTTGACAGTTTGAAAAATTAACAATGAAGGTTTTGGGCAAATTAACCCACAAGCTAATAAATTTGCAAATTTAACCCTGAGTTTTTTTTTCTGTGTTAATAGAACCCATCAACTCAAAAATCACTCAATTGTATGGTTGGAGAATCTCATAAGAAGGTGAAGAAGATGGTGTTATTTTTGTAGTATGTTAAAACAAAATTAGCAAAAAAATACAAAATTTATTGTATGTTTAGTTTGAACTTGGGTTGCAGGCACAGTATTAGACTACCTAACCACTCGACTACCTTGTATTAGTCATTTGTAGTTTATAAAGATAAGATCTATCTTATTATGGTAAGAAAATAGAAGAAAAACTAGTGAAAACAGAGAGAAACAAAATGTTGGCGGCTCAATTTCAGGGTTGTAGAATCTTATGAAAAGGTGAAGAAGACGATGTTATTTTTGCCTTTCGTAATTAGTAAAAAAAAACTAGCCAAAAATACAAAATTTATCGTATGTTTAATCTGAACGCGGGTTGTAGGCATGTATTCGAAATTGATTAAAAACTCCTAAAATCATAATTTCACGTTTTCCTAAATTCAGTTTTATATTTCCTAAAAACCAATATGGAATTTTTTAGTTCTTTTTACAAGGGTCTGTTTAGTTGGTGACTTTTGAGTTGGTGGATTTGATTTGCAGAGGAAAAACCTCAGGGTTAAATTTGCATGGTTAATTTAGTTCAGAGGTTCATTTTTACAAATTTCACTTTAACCAAACGTTTTAAGTCAACGTTACATTTAACGATGAATAATACAGAGAGAGTCTATTTAACGTGTGACTTTTGACTTCATATGTTTGGTTTGCATTCGGGTTTGATTTGCAAATTTAATTTAGTTTATAGATTAAATTGCACAAAACCCATTTTCAAAACCGATTTGGAATTTCTTAGTTTTTTTTTACAAGGAGAAGAAAGAAAACATATGTACGTTCATACCTTGTTTGAGCTGCCGGCGAAACAGTTGACTCCGAAGCATAGTTCGTGAAACAAGTCATTGAAACTAAGATCATCCATTTGAAACATTTGTGGCAGAATTTTTTGGGGATCTAGCAGGAGAGGTGGAGGTATATTTCTCTTCAAACACAACCGGTTTGTGATTGGCAACGGTGGTTTCTTCATGGCTGGGTACAAAATCACCATTTTCTCCGGTGAGCAATGTGTAGACAGTCACAGAGAAAACGGCTACAGAAATGTGAGAAGACTAAGTGTGTATTTAAAGGGTACATGCTTTAGGGTTTTGGATAAAGACAAAATTAGGATAAGGTTAACTACGTGTGACTCAGATTTCTTTCCTCTATTTCAATATATGAGTCATATAAACTTTCGGGTTTTCACTGTTGGGCCTGTTTAGTAGGTTTAGGATAAGGTTAACTACGTGTGTCCGACTCAGATTTCTTTTCTCTATTTCAATGAGTCATATAAACTTTCGGTTTTTCACTCTTAGGCCTATTTAGTAGGGTTAGGATAAGGTTAACTACGTGTGACAGACTCAGATTTCTTTCCTCTATTTCAATATGAGTCATATAAACTTTCGGATTTTCACTGTTGGCCTATTTAGTATGGTAGTTATCTGAAGGAAATGTGATTTTTCACAAATAAAATGCTGATCTCTTTCAACTTTGACAGGTATGTGTACTTCAGTGTTTCACAATGTGTTAATATGTGTTGATGTTTTACATGACCAAACGATCAATTGAAAGTTTGAATCTTACTTGCAAGTTACAACTGCAATTAACATGACGAATCATAGAGCTACGATTAATACTACTACCAGTGAACCGGTGCTGCCGAGGAGCTAAGGTTGTTGTTAAAATCGTTCTTCTTCTTTTCAGTTTGAAGATTTAGCAAACCAAACCACTCTGCTTCTGAGCTTTTGTCTGTGTACAAAAGTAAGATCTTTTTTACAAGATTTGATAAGGTTTCTGATAACTAATACTGTCAAGAACTTGCTTTGTTTACATAATTGCAGTAATTCGAGTTAATTAGTTGCTGATTACACTTAAATGACACAACGAGACTCTTAAGTTAACACATGGATTCCATTGAAGAAGCTCAAGGGATTCATTTTCATTGATCAAACATTCTCACTGAGACGTATTATGAAAATTCTAAAACTACATTATTTTAGAAACCAACAATAACTGTGGACTAATTTCACAATGAGAATATTCCAAGACTGAGCACAAACCTCATCAAAACACAACCTTAAGCGAAAGGAGAGAGAGAGAGATACATAAGAGTGCTGATTCTTCCATGTAGCAAGTAAGAATTCTACAAATAAAGAGGATAGACGGACGACAAAGTAGAACAGAGACCACCAACAGACTTGATCCACAAGCTTACTTGTACTCAAATGATGGCACCGGAGGCGCATCAAAACTCTCCAACACCTCTGTTTTACTCCCACTGCTCTTTTGCACCTCCTCGCTCTTCTTACCAAACAGCCCTCCCAACCATGACGATGACGATGATGACGAAGAATCAGCATTCTGGCTCTGTTGCATCATCTGACCTTGATTCTGCATCTGCCCCATCTGCATCCCCTGCATCCCTTGGGGCAATCCAGGCATTCCCTGCATCCCCGGGGGCATCCCAGGCATACCCTCCTCCATAGGCATATTATGAGGCTGAGCCATCAACTTGTTGAGCATGATCCCAGCTCCTTCAATCAAAGCAAGCAAAATCCCACCAAAAGCAGCTGATCTTGCAGCTGCGGTAGGTCCCTGTCGCATCGCCAAGAACCCTCCGGTTGCAGCGCCTGCGATGATGGAGTTCCATGGATCCTCCTTCTGCCTGACGTACACCATGGTGCAGTCGAACGTTGAGAACAATCCTCCCCAAACAGCGAAACTACCTCCGATACGAGGAGCGTTCATGCTCACCGCCTGTGTTCCTCCGGCGTAACGGCTTCCTTTCGGGGAGTTGTATGTGCCTTTTAAGAAATGGAAAGCGGATCCTCCTACAGCTCCCATTCCAAACGCACCGCCGATGTCATCGAGAATACGGTCAGGGCATGGCTCTCGAGATGTCTCCGGCGTTCCCATCTCGATTTAAACCTGATTGATTTGATCGTCAATAAAAAGTAAGAAAATTTAAGGAAGATGAAGAACGAATTAGGAGGAAGTAATCATCATTTCATTGTTTGAGTGGATAAAGCATCAATAATTCTTATTCAAAATCGTCGATTCTGAGCTACCTAAAATTAGGGCTTCTCAGTCAGTGCGATCAGCAAATAGATCCCTGACTAATTACTAACTAGTTTTGGGTTAACAATTTTGTAAAATCGAATTGAGATGATTAGGGTTTATCAAATCTCCGAGCTTTAAGATCAAACACAAACCATAGAAGAAAGAAAAAAAAAGGTAAAAACTTGCGTGTAGAATGAATTCACAAAATGAGAAGCTCTGTTGTTGTAATTGGAAAAGCGAAGAAGCATACCTGGAGCTGAGAGTGACGAATCGACAGGAGGAACGAGTTTGAGAGAGAGAGAGAATGAAGGAGGCGCGACGGAGAGAGAGAGAGAGAGAGAAGAGACGGCGTGAAAGTTTAAATTAGGTTTGGGCTGAAAAGAAAAGTTCACAGGGGCCGACTTTGTTTACGTTTTGATTATTACTTTATTTTCCGTCGTTTTTGCCAATCACAGTTTTTTTTTGCCATCGCTCATTTTTTACCCTTTTTGGAATTTGGTTGCTTACTTGCTTTAACAACTAAATTAATTAATTATCACATTTATCATATTTGAAATTTTGAACATTTCAGCAGGATTTATATGAGATGACACTATTAACGAACAAATTATACACTGTATGTGATTGGGTTAAGATGAGATTATTTGGAATCGTGAACACATCATTCCGTTTGGTTTTGACGACAGTACACAAGTTTTAGGCCGAGTGATAATCATTTTATGTGGTTGCTATTGTTAGTTTGTGTAATAAGTAATAGAGAGACAAAAAATCGTATGGTTGATGAAAATGTGTGTAGTTGGACATTAATAATTCCGACAAAACTGATTTTGATTCGATGCCTATGACTTCTGTGATGAAAATTTATAAATTCGACAATTTTTTGGCGTTGAGCAATTCTGAGACGTCAAAATTTCGTGGCTTTATTGATCAACTGCAAAGGCTAGAGCATAACCAAAAAAAAGTAAACCGGGAGATCAAAACCAAAGAACCAATGAGATACATTGTGTTCCCAATACAATACAAAAAATAAAAATAAAAATTAAACAGTAAACATGTACCGAACCGAATTAAATTTCACGCGGAATTTAAGACATCAAGCTGAACCGTGCCTTTTTGCATGGGAAAGACCGGTTTAACTTCCCCGAACCCAACTCCGAACCACCAGAGATCCAGTTTCCGGTTCTTGAATGCCTGATATTATTATTATCAACGACCGGTCTTTGACCAGACACTCGAACCGGAGGGTTTCTCCATTTCGGAACCCGGCCGGTTCTGATCAGTGACTCAAGCACCTGTCCAGCTTCATTCACAGCTTGCAAAAACTTACCGTTCTCCGGCAACACTCCTCCGTGTCCGATCGTCTCCAGCACGATAGTCTCAAAATCTTTCCCGTTCTGTCCATCAAACCCCATCTGATTCGATGAGTAGCTGTGAGAACCAGCATCGGAGATCGCCGGCGAGGAAATACCAGCTGGATCCGAGACAACAACTTCCAGCGGCGATGCGACGAAGAATGGCGACTGAGATTCGCCGGAGATGTGATGACGGTTAGTTTCCTCCATGGGATAATAATAATGGGATACTTGTTGTCCGTCTAACAACAAAATGTTGTTGATGAGTTTCTGTAGTTGAGCGACTTCGGCGAGTAAGTATCGAACACGTTCGCTTGCTTCGTCTCTTTCTCGGACAGTAGCTGCCAACAGAATAGACAACTCTTGCAGAATTTCTTGGTGCATCTTTTCTGTTTATCGAGAAAATTTCCCTGTCCAAAGTAAAAAACATTTTTAATGATCTAATTCGTTTTTTGAGATACATAGTAAGAAGAAGAAGAAAAATCACATACCTCAAAAGTTAGATCTTCCACGCCAAACCATCCGTGAAGTTGAATCGACGAACGACGAAGAGGATTAAGAAAAGTGGGGTTTGTAATGTATACGAAGGAAGCTAAAATGTACAATTAATTAGCATTTCTGTAAATAAAACACCCAGTCTTTATAATAAGGGATTTTCTTCTACTAGGCATAATCAACTTATGGAAACAAAATGTTTTCTCAGAGTTAAAATATATTTTATACACGGATCGTCAATTTCTAGTTAAGGAAGTTCATTAAGTAAATGGAAAATTGAATATACGGTTGCGTTAAAACATTCCATATGCGAAAGTGACGATAAGAACAAAACTTTCCATGCTAGAGTAAGGAAAAAAGAAAAATATTCTCCATTGAAAAAGAAAAACCAATAATGAGCAGAAAGACAAATGACGTGGTTTTTCCGGTGTATGTAACGGACCCGTCTGGTATACATCGGAAAATATTTTGATTAAGCATAGACCGGAATAAACCTCCGTAAATGATTACAGTAAACCAAAGAAAAAGAAAAACCGGTTATCAAGTCCAGATAACCAACAACAAATAAACAGAATTTTTTTTCTTCTTGAGTTCTGACACAGTTGACTGATTTTGATTTGAAATTCCAGTAAACCGGTGCGACCCAAATTGCAGACTTCAGAGGTCGGAGAAGGAAAAAAGCTGAAGCATCAATGGAGATAGCCGCCGCGAGTAGTGTCACTGTTGCGCCGCAATCACGGCGATTGTCACATGCCTCCTCCAGAAACATTGGATCTGTATCTTCTCTTCGATTCGATCTCTTCGGGAGAAACTTTTCCGTCAGGAATCCTAGTCTTCGCGTGTCAGCATCCTCAATGAGCGCCTTCGCCGCCGAGAAATTCTCGCCGGAGAGCTTCCTCGATAAAAGAGAAAGCGGAATTCTTCATTTCGTCAAGTATCACGGCCTTGGAAACGATTTCATTCTGGTACGCCAGTTACTTTCCTCCTGTTTCGTTCCCGATAAAATTTCCTGGACTCCATAGTAATCGAGAAATTTTGTGATTTGGAGAATTAGGTAGATAATAGGGATTCATCGGAACCTAAGATCACACAAGAGCAAGCTGTGAGGCTGTGTGATCGAAACTTCGGTGTTGGCGCCGATGGAGTCATATTTGCGATGCCAGGCGTTAATGGCACCGATTACACAATGCGGATATTCAATTCTGATGGTAGTGAACCAGAGGTAAACCCCTCTCTGTTGATTCACTGTGTTGATTGGTCGAATAAGTTCGGATTTGAAAAGCTATAAAGCCTTTTCTGTTTTTGGTTAGATGTGTGGCAATGGAGTTCGATGCTTCGCCAGATTCATTGCTGAGATTGAGAACCTACAGGGGAAGCATAGGTATAGATAAATAGCTTTATCAGGAATTTATGTGAAGAGGCTTCTATATATCTTGTTCCTATGAGACTCATGTTTTCTTTTTAATGGCAGTTTTACAATACATACTGGTGCAGGCTTGATTATTCCAAAAATTCAAGATGATGGGCAGGTGAATTAAAACAACCTGCTTTCTTTCAGTAGAGGATTTTTTTTTTTTTTTTTTTTCATTGTTTGAGATTATGATAATGGGTATAGGTTATGGTTGATATGGGAGAGCCGATCCTAAGAGCGGAGGATGTGCCTACGAGATTGGCAGGGAACAAAGGTGAGTCTGTTGTTGCGGCGGAGTTATTAGTAGATGGAGTGAGCTGGAATGTGACATGTGTAAGCATGGGCAACCCTCACTGTATCACATTTGGAACTAAGGGTGGTGAGGTTCGTGTTTGCTTCTCTTTTGGTACAATTTTGTAAAGGAGATTCTGTTGTGGTGAGATCGAGTTTTGTGATTTTCTGTTTTTGTTGCATCGTGCCAGAATCTGAGAGTTGATGAATTGAAGTTGTCAGAGATTGGTCCCAAGTTTGAGAACCATGAGATGTTCCCAGCTCGAACTAACACAGGTTGGTGGATGTTACATACTCAGCAATATATCTGTGGCATTTTCTGGTCTCACACCTCTTAAATACTTTATCTGCAGAATTCGTGGAAGTCTTGTCACGTTCACATTTAAAAATGCGCGTCTGGGAGCGTGGCGCAGGTTAGCTAAGCTTCCGGAATCCTCAAAATCTATTTCTTTAGTCAAAAATCAACAATCTCTATGTATCCTTATTTACATGCTTAGCGTGCGTTGAAACTGCAGGAGCAACTTTGGCCTGTGGAACTGGAGCTTGTGCTCTGGTTGTCGCAGCAGTCCTTGAAGGTCGAACAGAGAGAGTAAGTTTGGAAATTTCTTGCATTTTAAGTATAATCTGCAAAACTAAATATATCAAGTAGCTAGCAATTAAATTAAAAAGCATGGGTTGTGTCAAATGAAACTAGTATTTTGGCTTAATAAGCAGCATTATCTCAAAAGCATGGGATTTCTTGTAAGATAAGAGGATGAGTTCAAGCTCTTAATCTCTGTTTGTGGGTGGAACAGAAATGCACGGTGGATCTACCGGGTGGGCCGTTGGAGATAGAGTGGAAAGAGGAAGACAATCACATCTACATGACGGGTCCTGCGGAATTGGTGTTCTACGGATCAGCGTTACTCTAATGAGGTAGCTTTTGTATTGTTGTGATCATTCAGTCTTTTTCATTGTGTTGTTTTCTTACATAGAAACTGAGAGAGATCTCATGTAACATTTGATGCACTTCGCTTTTGTTCGGTATAAACACAATAACGGTTTTTGTGTGTGTGTGTGCGCTTTCTGTCGTCAAACCATGGATGGGTTTTAGTAGAATCCAATAGAATGCAAAGAACTTTCATGAATTAAAATGATCGTGTAGTGACAAATCCATATTATTCAAACTTTAACTTTGTTTTTAAATCCAATGTTATTGAACTTTAAAATGTATTTTCAAAATTCAATGATATTGGATATATTTTAAGAAGTGAATTTTAAAAGATCTGTTATGATTTTATAGTGGTTTGGCGGTATTACTTGTTAAAAATATGATAATTTAAAAATCTCACAGTTTTAGCTGAAATTCTATAATATTTTAATTCAAATCATGAGACTTCTATAATTTACCTAAAATCATCTAAAAAAGCATATCAAATCTTTAAACTTTGATCATATTTTTACATTACAAAACCTAAAAGTTTTACATTACTAAAAAAGCATATCAAAACCTTTAATCATTACAAATCCCAAATCCAAGTTTAATACATCCTGTATACTTGCATAACTTAAAAGTTAAACTAATTGATATTTAAACAAGAACTTACATGATTCGAACTAATAATATCTTGACCGATCATATATTGGTCGCTTTTTTGTTTGTCAAACTTTTGAAATTAAAGGTAGAGTATAGTGCTCTCGAGTAATTCGAATTTGGAACCAGCCGGGCCCACATATTCTCCTCTCGGTGTAATCCCAATCCAATTTCAACGACACTACGCTCCGCTCCGAGCCCAATAAGTAGATTCCACAACGGTTACTTCCTCCAGTTTTTCGAATTTGAAACGAAAAAAAAATCGAGAAAAAAAAAACTTTCCTCTTTCGATCTGAAAAGATCCCTAAAATCTTTTGTGTTCGATTCGATTTTTCCTTTCCAAGCTCCACTGCAAGATTCGGCTTCGTTTCTGTAAGTGAATCTCTTGCTTTCGGGTTTCATGAGGTATTCTGAATTTTTAGCTTTCGCAATTGAATCGTCTTCTTCTTCTCCTTCTTCTCCTTCTCATTTCTCACTTAATTTTGAGTCTGAAACAATTTCAGTTTGAATTCCCACATTGATTTCGATCTAATGATTCTCAGAAACCGAAGATCGATTATGTCGTTTACTCCCGATGTCTCAAGGAAAAGCGGAGTGGGAGTGATCCCATCTCCTGCTCCGTTCTTCACTCCACGCCCCGAGAGAAGACGAACTGACTCCTTCGCTAGCCGCCTCGAAAGAGACAAAGAGGTCAATGTTCAAGTCATTCTCCGATGCAGACCCCTAACCGAAGAGGAGCAGAAATCAAACGTCCCTAGAGTGATCTCTTGTAACGAATTGAGAAAAGAAGCCAATGTTCTTCACAGCGTTGCTAATAAACAAGTCGACCGCGTTTTCACCTTCGACAAGGTTCTAATTTTGGTTATATAATTTGTATTGAAGATTTGGCTTTTTTGCTCGAATGGTGTTAAATAATTTTTGCTTTTTATAGGTTTTTGGTCCAAAAGCACAGCAACGGTCCATATATGAGCAAGCCATTTCACCTATTGTTCATGAAGTCTTGGAAGGTTTTAGCTGCACTGTGTTCGCTTATGGACAAACAGGAACGGGAAAGACTTACACTATGGAAGGTGGAATGAGGAATAAGGTATAAAAAGAGAGCTTCAGAGATTGCTTCTTCTTCTCTGTGTCTCGTTTGATTCAAGCTGTTATCTGATTGCAGGGAGGAGATTTACCTGCGGAGGCAGGGGTGATTCCGAGAGCTGTTCGTCACATTTTCGAGACTCTCGAGGCGCAAAACGCTGATTACAATATGAAAGTGACTTTCTTGGAGCTGTACAATGAGGAAGTTACAGACTTGTTAGCTCAAGATGCTTCTTCTGATGATAATGTTAAGCAGAAGAAGCCTGTTTCTTTGATGGAAGATGGGAAAGGTTGTGTGGTTTTGAGAGGTCTTGAGGAAGAAGTTGTGTACAGCGCTAACGATATCTACGCTCTTCTTGAACGAGGCTCGTCAAAGAGACGCACGGCGGATACTTTGTTGAATAAACGGAGCAGTCGCTCTCATTCGGTGTTTACTATTACGGTCCATATAAAGGAAGAGTCTTTGGGAGATGAAGAGCTGATCAAGTGTGGGAAGCTTAACCTTGTGGATCTTGCTGGATCCGAGAATATCTTGCGGTCAGGGTCTCGGGATGGCCGTGCAAGAGAAGCAGGGGAGATAAACAAGAGCTTGCTTACACTAGGCCGTGTGATTAACGCGCTTGTGGAACATTCTTCTCATATACCTTACAGGCATTGCCCTTGTCCTACAAGTAAATGATAATTTTGTGTGTGTGTGTGTGTGTGTGTTGGAGTGTGATTGTGGATATTTTGTCTTTGCAGGGATAGTAAGCTGACAAGGCTTTTACGGGACTCTTTAGGAGGGAAGACAAAAACTTGTATCATTGCTACAATCTCTCCTTCTGCTCATTCCTTAGAAGAAACCTTAAGCACTTTGGATTATGCATATCGTGCTAAGAACATCAAGAACAAACCCGAGGTTTTGTTTATGCTTATATCATATCTCAAAATTTGATTTTATTAATGTGATCTTTATTTTCATTCTTCTGACTAAACTTTTCTCTGCAGGCAAACCAGAAATTATCTAAGGCTGTGTTGCTTAAAGACCTTTACTTGGAGCTTGAGAGAGTGAAAGAAGGTTTGCATACATAACCTTCTGTCTTTCTTACGTTTAATATGGAATGAGTTAGTCGATTAGCTATAATTTCTGTACAATTGATGCAGATGTAAGAGCGGCAAGGGATAGAAATGGTATTTACATAGCACAGCAACGATATGCAGAAGAAGAAGCTGAAAAGAAGGTATGTTCATGAGGAAGAAACTTAAGTCTATATTCATTTAACGCTCGGATTAACGAAGAGTTTGTTTCAGGCGAGAATCGAGAGGATAGAACAGTTGGAGAATGATTTAAATCTCACTGAAAGTGTACGTATGACTCACCTTTTCTCTTCCATCTGTTAGAATCTGAACTAATGCTCTCGGATGGAACTTAAGTGGCTTCTCTTATGCAGGAAGTTTCCAACTTCCGTGACCTTTACATGACTGAGAAAGAAAAGTTACTGGATGTAGAAAGCGACCTTAAGGACTGCAAGGTGATAAGGACTTCAGTGATTTTACTTTCTTGATTTACTCATGCTTTCAGTGAGAATTTTCTTGAATTGTTTCAAATATTTATGGTCCAGAGAAACCTAGATAGCAAAAACAAGGAGTTGCTTGATCTCAAAGAGAATTACATCCAAGTTATAACAAAGTTAAATGAAAGGGAAGCCATCATCTCCAGAATGAAAGCCTCAGGTAACAATTCTATCTCATGAAATATTTAATGGCTTCCACTTTCTTGGGTTTGTTACTTTGTTTGCTGCTTGATTTGATTGTACTGATATTTTATTGTACAGAGACTTCTTTGATCGACAGTGCAAAGGGGTTACGTTCTGATTTGCAGCATGCGTCAAATGATATAAGTTCGCTGTTCACAAGATTAGGTACTTCTTCTTTCCTGTGTCAACGGATGAAAACACGATCTGTCAAGTGCTGATTTTACTTGTTTCTGCAGACCAAAAGGACAAGCTGGAATCTGAAAACCAGAGCATGCTTCTAAAATTCGGCTCGCAGCTTGATCAAAACCTTAAAGATTTACACAGAACAGTTCTTGGATCAGTCTCTCAGCAACAGCAACAACTAAGAACTATGGAAGAACATACTCACTCATTTCTTGCTCATAAATATGATGTAAGGAAAGACTATAATACCTATCATTTTGCTTTTTTCTTTTTGCTTTGGGATCAATTGTTTGTTCACACTAGTGGTTAATTTGCTTACGCAGGCAACACGTGATCTTGAATCAAGAATTGGGAAAACAGCAGATACTTATACTTCAGGAATAGCAGCCTTGAAGGAACTTTCTGAAATGCTGCAAAAGAAATCTTCCTCTGATCTGGAGACGATAAACTCTTCTGTAGGATCACAAATAGAGGCTGCTGAGCAAGTATGAACAAGATAGAGTGATCAAATTCAAGTGTTTTTTATTTTATTTTTCAGCATATGTTTAGTTGGTATAATACAAGCGTCTTTCTTTTCTCAGCTTCTCACTGCATCAGCAACAGAGGCTGCTAAAGTCACTGAGGACATCCGGGATTCACTTAATCATCAAAAGAAGGTCTTAGCTCTTGCTGCAAGACAACAAGAGCAGGTGTTGTAAAATCATATGCTGGTTTCTTGTTAGTTAAACTTTCTTTTTTTCCCTGAAAAAATCAAACTTATGTTACAACTTTTCCAGGGACTGATCAGAAGCATGAGATCTGCACAAGAAATTTCCAACGCAACTTCCACCATCTTCAGTAACATCTACAAGCAAGCTCACGGCATGGTGGAAGCCATTAGAGCAGGCCAAGATGAGAAATCAAGACAGCTTGCTGCTTTTGAAATGATGTTTAAGGTCAGCTGGGAGAAACTTATCAGACTTCAACTAGATATGTTTTGAGATATTCGCACCTAACTTTTTTCATGTTTTGCCAAAAACAGGAAGAGGCAGAAAGAGAAGAGAGACAAGCCTTAAATGACATCAGCCTGATATTATCAAAGCTAACTACAAAGAAAACAGCAATGGTGAGTAATTTAACCGTTAACAACCCCATTAGGCCTCGATTCTTCATCGGTTGTGATGATACTTGTACGTGTTTGTAGGTCTCTGATGCATCACGAAGTATCCGAGAACATGACATACAGGAAGAGAAGAGACTGCAGGAACATATGTCCGGTATGCAGCAAGTCTCGATCGGCGCAAAGGAGGAGTTGTGTGAGTATCTAAAGAAAGCAAAAACCCAGTTCACTGAAAACACAATAGCTTCAGCAGAGTCTATCACAGTGATGGACAATTACCTTGAAGATTGGTACAATTTCCATCTCCCCACTGCTTTTGATTTTGACTAAGTCCACATTCCTTAGTTTCTCATACAAACATTATCTGAAATTGCAGCTTGGGAAGGACAAATGAGTCTAAAAAACTCTGGGAGACCACTGAAACAGGCATAACGAAACTTAACACGAAGTATCAACAAGAGCTTAATGTCAAAATGGAGTAAGTTTTTCAGTTCTGTATCCGTGTTTCTTTCTATACTTCTTCCACTTCACATCACTGAATAAAACTCCATCATGTATAGGGACGTGGCAAAAGAAAATGAGAAGCTGCACGATGAATTTGCATCCACATTCTCCACAATGGATGATAACTTTGTTACTAGGACTAGTGAACTTCACGCAGTTGTTAATGGTAACTACACTAAAATCCTTGTCACGTTCCTACTCAAGAACAGAATTCAACGTTGTAATTTTTGGTTGTTACAGACTCGTTGATGCAAGACCGTGAGAACAAAGAAACAATGGATGCCATAGTGGAGACTTGCATGAAGGAGGTCACGTTATTGCAAGAGAATCATGGGAAAGCAGTATCAAATGTTAGAAACAAAGCAGAACAGTCTCTCATAAAAGACTATCAGGTACTGAAAGCAACTCATAACAACATAAAGAAGAACACAATGGATTGATCTCTATGAGTATATATAAATATATAACGATACAATGACCAGGTTGATCAGCGCAAGAACGAAACGCCAAAGAAACAAGCCATTAATGTGCCGAGCTTGGCGTCGATTGAGGAGATGAGGACTTTGTTTTCGAAGACTACTCTCAGCGAAGATAACACAAGCGTGGAGAAAAGATCAGCTAAACAGGGACAAGACGAAGCTAACAACAGAACTCCATTCTTGGAAGTAAACATGTGATTGATTAGACCATTGACTGTATGAGTCTAGAAGGTAAGGTTAAGAGTGTGTAAAAGGTTGTATATGTACGCAAGCTTATGTTGTTATGGATGAAGTTGGTTACACCAGTCTTACATAAGGCCGGTTTAATTGGCAAATCTTCTCAATTGGATCAACCAAATATGAAAGTGAATGGACACGGAACAAAAACACCCAATACTTATTTTTGCTTTGCTTCTACAAGAAAACATGATAAGAGAGTCAACAGAAGTACATACAGTATCTCTAATCCACCACTTACTTTGCTTTGACTTGCTCATTTGTCCTATACTCTGTCGCGGCGGTTTCATCACTGATGACATCATAATAAAAGTCTTAGGAATTTTCTCAATTAAATAATTAACTTTCCTTTGAAATGTTCCACTATTGGCGATTAACAAGCAGTTCAATGACGAATTCAGTTCTCATCTCTCTTTGCATCCTTCGTTATCAAATGATTATTAGTCTCTTTTTCTGTTTGAAATCATTGACTAAAGAAAACAGAAGATTACTTTATTTATTGTTAGGTGTTGATATTAGATTAATGACCGTGGCAACTGGCAAGCAAGTCACAAGAAACCAAGTTGCTGGATTATGTCTGTGTTGTATACATTTGTTGACTCTACTTCGTTTCGTTAGTTTCACATCTTTGGCGGTAGAAGTTTCTGAGAACTCTGTAATGCTAATGCATTACGTTAAAAGTCGATAATACCCTTGCTATTCAACCATAGTGGTATGCATTTGCGTCTGGCGGTCGAAGGGTGTTATTGAAAATGTCAATTAGTCCCATGCAAAGTCAAACAATCAGTGCTGGTTGTTGTTAAAATATTAGTTTAGACGACTTCTTTTGTTCAAACTACTAGAAAGTCAGACTTTTAGGTATTCATGTTATATAAATGATACATTACTCTTTAAGTTATCATTGCAAACTCTCTCAATTCACTTTTCTTTCTAAACAAATAAAACTCAATCCTTAATCACTTTGCTTTCTTGTTTCTCAAAATCTTACCCCAAAAAGAAAAAGAAAAAGAAAAAAGATAGCAGCATGAAGAGAGAAAGATCCGAGTTCGAAGAATCAATCAAGAATCTAGACATTGCGCAATGTCTAATGATACTATTACAAACCTCCATGGTCAAAGAGATTGGTGTGAACCGATATACGGAGAGCGATACAAGTAACCGGTTCGAATGCAAAACGTGTAACCGGAGATTTTCTTCGTTTCAAGCCCTTGGGGGCCACCGGGCAAGCCATAAGAAGCCAAAGCTCACCGTAGAACAGAAAGATGTGAAACATCTTGGCAACAATTACAAAGGAAATCATTTGCATGAGTGTTCGATATGCGGTCAGAGTTTTGGAACGGGACAGGCTTTAGGCGGCCACATGCGACGCCATAGGTCAAGCATGATGGTCGAGCCATTGCAGTTCATATCTCCGGTGACTCCTACCATGCCGGTTTTGAAACGATGCGGTAGTAGCAAGAGGGTTTTGTCTTTGGATTTGAATTTAACTCCATTAGAAAATGATCTTGAAATCATTTTTGGGAAGACTTTTTTCCCAAACATAGATATGAAGTTCGTTGTTTAGTTTTTCTTTTTTTTTCTCAGTCATTTAGTGTACACCCATTCTTTTAATTATTTTTGTTCAAACGTCATATACTCGAATGTATATTCTTGGTTGGTTGTCATGAATAAGAAAAGAGTTAGCTCCTACAACGAGTACAACATTTTCAGTATTGGGCCAAAATGTGGCCCCCAAAGTTTAATCAATGGGTCCTTATTATTAAAAGAGATTTTAAATTTGTGCAACCAAGTGAATTGGATAAATCAAGTAATCTATGGAACCTTAACTATAGCTCAATCAATTGTGTTTAGTGTTTACCAATAGTTTTTTAAGGTTTTTAGGAAAGGCTGTTGACATTGTCGAGTTCCCCATATATGTTAAAGATTTCTGTGGTTCCTTCCTATCTAATACACGCTTGGTAATTTATGATATTCTTAAACTCTTTGGTTTTTATATTGATTAACTTGAATAGTTCTTAACGTATTGGTTTTGTGTATTTGTAGAGATATGTGTATCTTCCAACAAGAGAAGATCTAAGTCAACAAGCTCATACACAAGCTCCTACATACGGCTATGTGATGCTAACTTCAACATTTGGAATAGAGTTGCAATCCTAGAGTGTCATGGCCTGAATGAGATATTTGGATTTCATGGCACTCAATACTGTAGTGAAGTATGTCGCAATCCGCTAAATTCTATATATATCTCAATATGTTTGTCATAGATTTTAAAACTTCAAAAACAATGTTGAAAATTGGTCTATTATAAATTTCATCTCATGGGAAATATTTAACTGACCTAGTGAATTGGCACTGCTGTACTATTTGGTCTTTTTTTCCTTGAAGAGGTAAGGAGTTAGAACACCTTTGGTCTTTTTTTCCTTTCAAGTACTATTTTTTTACTGACCTAGCCACGACATTAATACAAACATTTCAATAAGTAGCACTGTAATAGTTGGAAAAAGATTAAAAAGTAGCACTGTAATAAAGTTGACTCTTGACTCCAAGCTTTCGTCAATACGTGTGCGTATGGAAAAAAGTCAAAGGTGTTCTATTTTGATGCACAGAATTAGTTGCCAATTATAGTGGCCAATTAAAAAGAGTTTTTTTTTTTTAATTAACATGTGATAGCCACCATTTCTCATCGACCACTACCATCACATGGTCCACATCTATAGTTTACAAAACAATATTCATGCGAACAATTACAAATCTATAAAAGACAAACATGTAATATATGCATGCGCATCTTCAAACATGATCAAATACTTGTACAATATTGTAGAATGTAGTTCGATGTATCGAGTTTCGATTCTGAAAATTTGGAGACTGTTTTTGAATGACTATGTTGTAAGGGACCCACCGGTTCACCGTATGCATGATGCATCATTTTGGAAGAGCATATTCTCCACTCGCTAATCTATCCAATGCTCGTTACGTTATTGCTCAACTCTATTTGTTATTAATAGCAAATTTTTACGTGTGACCACTAAAATATTAAATTTTTAGCATATTTTAAAACAGTACATATAAATATAATAGTTTTTAATTTTTTTTGGTGCAATATAAATATAATAGTTACAAATATATGATGCATGAATCACGTAAATCACAGCAACGTGAATAATGTGATGGTTAAATATATATAACTAATACGCGGAATATCTCACTTATTTGAACAAATCAATGGTTAAATAGTTTAATTTGTTAAAAAAACAATAATAATTTAACATGTTTTGATTTTATTCGTATGTAACTTGGGTCGGTGGTGGTGCTTTCCAACATTTTAGAACACTAGTGAAGATGGAAATTAATCCCAACGAAACCCGGTGGTCCAAGTTCGATTAATCGTCTGCATTAGAGATCGTAAGAGCATTATTAAATTGTCTAAGTGGGTTTGTTGAGTCATCCAAAGAACTAAATTAATGAGATCAATATGATGTTCTTATGTTACGTATTTTATAATATGATTAATATCAATATAATGCTTAATTAGGTTTATATTAAGAGAGTTTAAATCATATTCTGCTTCGTTACAGTGAAGTGAATTACATGTGATTCTCGTGAGTAGGAAAAAAAAAGGAGATTATTCACGTCATTGCTTAGTAGTGCATTTTGTTCAACCCGCATAATTTAAATAGTGGACATGTTGGAACAGTAGATTAATTCACCCTATGCTAGAGTATTGTATAATACTATCTATGTAAATTCCATATTTTTTGTTTGGATTTTTAACAGTTTTCAGTATATATTGTAAAACCGTTTCTAACAAAAATATTGTAAAACCGTTTACAACAAATAAAAAGAATTGGCATTTCAAACATCCATCGATTATACGGCACTGTTATTACTATTTTTGTTTTCTGTTAATTCTTTTGAAGGTTTCTTTAAGATGTAAATGTTAACAAAAAAAAAAAATTGACAAGAAAAATTTCAACAGTTATATGCAATTTCTTCCAACCAGAATCACACTCATAGCAATCCAGGTCCTACCACAATCATACCAATTAATTAGTATATACTTAATTAATACTATAACAATACATTTTACTATGTTGGTTTATTAAATTTGCTTCATACATCCGTATAAATTAAACATTCATAAGTATCTATTTTATTAGTTTCTCATAATTATATACTTTTATATTTATGTTTACGGGTACGTGTGTGATGTGCGGCTAAATGCTCTCTAGTAGAAACTTCTAAGAAAAAGTATAGTGGACTCATAGAAAAAAACAAAACTGATTCGAAAACACGACTACAAGCTAAGAGTATATACTTTTTATTCTTAGAAGTTTCCATCGTAATTAATAACATCACTCTCAGTATGCGCCTTTTAATCAGATGGAAACTTCTAAGAATGGCGTGAATAAAGGATTATAATGAAAGCGATGTTAATAATTACGATTTACAAAGGTTAAAAGGCGTATAACTATAAGAACTAAGAAGAGTGGGTCACTAGCCTGCCAAAGCTGGCCATACGAGAGTAGTGGTACCAACTTCCCCCATTTATCCAATATCACGAATCACGATCCAAATCATTGATCTCTCAACTCTATTATCAAAAGAAACATTCACCAATCAGGTTTTTGTTTTTAAAAAATGAAGAATTAGAAAACATGAGCTTTTCATAAAGTAGTGTTATAAGAAGCCGTAAGTTTGTGATGAGCGTTTTAGAAACAGCGAACAACTATTTGATCTATAGCAATTTTAATATATCACTCATCATTATCTCCTATATCTAAGTATAAGGATATACATGTAGACATGTATAATAAGATGTTGGATGAAGTTGACTCATCGAATAAATTGGACGCAAAACTATAGTCACATCCACATTGACATAGTACCATTCCAAATCTGAAAATTTCATTTGCAAAATATCATCATGCATGGCCTTTTTACATACTTGTAAGATATCATTACCATTAAATCATTAATCCTTGAACCAAAAGAAAAAACCATTACCATTAATTATTGTTTTTTTATTACCCCTTTTATAAACTATATATCGGACATGTGCATCTATTTGGGAACTTAGCTTTTAGCAAGTGAGTTTAATTATTAGAACACTTGATGGTACTCACTAATCACTAATGATATACTAGTTACAACTCTAATAATTGGATTACACTTTGGTTCTTTAGCCTTTTTCTGATTTTTATTCGCCGTCTGTTGATTTACTAACCAACCCCACTTTTTAATGTTCCTTTCCATCTCAAACGCTCGTTGGCTTTTTCCCTTATTTAACTAATTAACTTATCCTCCCAACGATATTTTAATGTTATCGGGATTTTGTTGATAAAACAAAATAAACACATAGATTTGGTAGTGTCCTAAAGACAACTTCAGTGCTCGTAAGAAGTCGAGCAAGAATTGTTTAACCGAATGACTTTTCTTAATAACTCAACTGAATGATTGAAATTCAATAATTTTGTTTGTTTGTACTATCAATTAATCTTGTTAATTCATTATTTCAGTGAGAAAATGCAAATAAAGAAATTATAGAATGATAATTATCTAAAATTAGTCATTGGAAAACTGAACTGAACGTAAATACGAGTGTTTGTATCATTCTCAATTGATCCCACTTATTGGGATGACATCTATGGTTTATGGTGGCTTTCACAAGAAAGTAAAGCTTTGATTTTAAGGGTTCAAGATCTTCCTATATATATATATATATATATATATAGCCTACACAAGAGAGTACGTACATATACTCACATAGTAATCAACCTATAGTCTAATGTTACGGCTAATTTCCTACTAAAAAAAGCTTGTCTTCCTGAGTTGAAGAAGAGAATAAGAAAAAATCCAAACTAAATAAATGCATACATCAATACAAGCACACATATATCAAAGTGACAAGGATCAATGAGTGGATCTTGTAAATCTGATCCCCTTTTTTTCCATTAACTAGCATGATCTAAGATATTTAATCAACTAAAAACACTTTAATACAGTATAGACCTTTACAACTTTTGGAGGGGCAGTAAATATGTGATCATCATTTTCAGGTTAATTGTCTATTTGTCTTCCTTGGTTCCACGCTACGCATTCACGTTGGTTCTTTAAGTTCAAACACGAGGTTCTTTCCTAATCTATGCATAAGTTCACAATCTATAATCTATTAGTTTATATATATATATATATATATATATATATATATATATATATACCTTCTATTTTCGTGTTTAGTTAATGGTTGTACCCTTCTTGTTACTCGGATGTCGGATCTAAAATTTCTTTTACAATTTAAGATTAGACGACACCTGGTAAAAGGTTGTGTTCACGGGTCCATGTCTTCCTTAAACTGTAAACTTGAATAATCGCAAATTAAGCTTATTGTATTTGTCTTTTTATGAGCTTTAATTGTTTCTCTCCCTTTTCTTTTTCTGTCGACGACCTTGTTTTATTACTTAATGGCTGAAAATAGGACTTTAATGACACATGTAATCAAGAATTTAACTTTTATTACTGAGAAGCTTATAGTATTCGAAGCATTTCTGTTGTCAAATTGCATGTCTGGACGTTAAAGACAGGTAATCCGTAGCAGATGAGATGACGACCTAATTAGGTTGTAAGTGAAAAATACACTATCCTATTTTAAGAAAAAGTAACGTCTAAAGTAACCTAAATTTCGATTATCAAAAGTATATAGTTTATCGTTTTTACAAATACTGATTTTAATCGGTTTATACAATTAGTCAATTTATAGAAAAGGTTCATTTTTATTACGGTATTGTCAATTGTGGGGGAGTGGATTAGACGGCCGATTTTAAAAAACTTATATTGATTCGGCTTAGGTCATTTAGATTTGTCATGAGAAATTTATAGTTATATACTTGACTAAAATGTAATTGTTGGTAAATAAAACCAGCTCAGGTGATGCAACTATGTTATCATACGATGGCATTTTAGTTAAGAAAAAAACATATGATCATCCATATATAAACAGATAGACGTCTTGATCTTATACCTCGAAAATGTCTAGTATAATGTTAACTAATACGCTTTTTTAAGACAATGGGTTACCAGAAATATAATTCGTTTTTTTTTTTTTTCATCTATAATTCGTTTTTTATTTAGAGAGAATGGCTCTAAGTAGAGAAAGTATGGTTACTGAAAATGAAATGAATGATGATCGTATGTTAGGTCGCCCGCATTTTTTCAAATGATATACGCAGACCCGTAAAAATAAGCCACAGTTGCGCAATGTTAAATCTTTAAATAGTTAATTAACCAAAGAGAAAGATATAACCCATTAAAATTATACACATTGGAAGCTTCTTCGAGTAGTCAAACATCTAAAGCTCCGAAAGAACAAATAGATTACTAAGTTAATCAGATTTGGAAGAGAGATCAATGGTTGTTAATACAATGGGGAACATGAAATAATCTTCATCTCTCTCTTTACAAATGGATTGATAAGATCATATCAACGGGGAAAGGGACATGAGATCAATAAACGCGAGAATTTAACCTACCTGATCTATAAATGTTGCGTTAATATTCAGACCGTAGATAAATCAGGACGTGTCCTCTGAGATTATGTGATTAGTTGGTCATTAGTTATATTTAAATGCTGGTTTGCGGGATTCTGATTTGTGCTAGACTATAATAATAAAAGGAGTTGGAACACATGTCCGAGTGTGAAGCACGATGACGATTCGTAGGTTTTTTGTGGGTTAGTCAAAAAGGGCAATCAAAAGGTTCAATTTTTCCGAGGTTTTTTTTTCTATCACGACATATATAGGTGTGTGTATCTATATATGGATTTACTAAAAAAATATCGATGAAATGTTTAAAACGTTCATGGAAATTACTAAGTTTTTTTTGTTTTGATGTTTGTTATGGTGCAGAATGTTAACTTAGCATTTATGAGAATACATTACAGACCAATAAAAAATTATGATGGGTCCTTAAGATTGATGAACTTAAAATAATGAATAAGTGTAGTTCCAATTTTACTGTCAATAATGCTCAAATAACTATAGTTCCAATTTGCTTGAATGTCCCAAACAAACACTTTACTACAGAAGTGACATTTATGGCACGAACTATGTTAAACTTTATGTAGCAAATTTTTTTACCTGTACTTTTTTTTTATATGGAAAATAGCAAGTTTGAAGGTAAAAGCAGTAAAGCACAATAGTTTCAAAATAACTTAACTGATTTGACCAAAACATTTGTACTGTGCGTGTCAACACTGCCAATTGCAGTTTCATTTGCAGTATTTTCTGAAAAGCATCTTATTTTCTTGTTGAGTGAATTAAAAAAAAAATACAATAATCAAGTTATCACGCACAAATAGGGGTGTGAGATATATATTTCCATTACTTATCAATTATCATAAATCAAATTTATAAAAGAAAAGGAAAATCAAATAAAGACTTGTTAGCATTTGGAACTCAAATATCACATGTTACTCTATGCTGAAAAGGTAATAATTGTGTCATCGTGGGAGATTAGTGCATCACACATTTCATTAGTTTTAACCTAATTCTGGAGAGGAGAGGAAGACTGAATAGTTGATTATTTCATCATAATTTGTGGCGACTAGGAAGTGATTTGTTAGTTTTCTTAGTGTAACTAAATTACACTTGATTTATTTATATTCGTAATTTCAATGTTAAGACAAAACCGTGGGCTTAATGTCGAACTTTTCTCGAGAAGTCATCAACACAAGAGGATGCATGTGACAGATGCGAAGGAGTTGACCGTAACTTAAAAGTCGCTTGAAAAGGTTTGTTATACATGTACTACTTCATAAATAGCTTATGTTATGTGATTTTGAAGCGATAATGAATTATTCATTTTTAATATTATAACTGAAACGTACTAGTAACTACTTACTAGTTACAAATGACATTTCACTCAAACATGTAAATCTTGATAAAATTAACCTTTTCCAATCTCCATATCTCCCAAAAGGCCAAAACCAAAAGAATAGAAAAAAATACTGTCAAAGAAATAAAAGTTATACGAATTCATTTTCTGCAACATTGTCAATCAACAAGATTAATCATTAATACCATAAGTTCTTTCTAATTATCCATCCTTATTCACTATTCATAATCTTAGCTTAGGTAATGTAAAGTAAGTATCATTAACTAATAAAATATCACACATTAAATATTGACCATATTTGGTCCAATCAGTCCACCTCACGCATAACACCACTTTTATAAATTCCATTTACAGGACGGCCATTTGCACTCGTTCTTCTCCACAGGCCCCTCAAATACGTCGCCGTATAAGTGCATATCGTCTCTCTTCATCCTTTAAACTGGCCCTTCTCCATTTTCGTTCTCAAAACCTCGCTTTATATAGCGTGTACTCATGTAAGTATAGCTTTTCCTCCAAGTCTACAACTGTTGTTACTGCTGGCTTATAACTCAAGTAGTTTCCGATTTGTTCGTTGACGAAGACAAACTCTTTATTGCCTGAAACTCCCTAATGTCGTCGCTTGAATTTTCTTCGTCTTCGTCTTCCTTACTTGCTCTGTTTTGTTTTCTTCATGACAGCTCTGTTTCCTTATTTTCTCCTTCAATACCATACCACACAAAAATTTAGTTTTTTCAGTATAAATATATATATATATATATTTTTTTAAAACCTACCTCTCATTCATCCAAAATTATATAATTGTTCATTTTTCCTTTGTTAAAGGATTTTCAAATCAATCTCGGTCTTGTAAAGGCTGGTTCTTCAAATTATACATAGGTACACTCATATTTTTGGATAATTAGCTTTTCTGTAATCTCTTTTTCTAAATTTTCTTTAATTTTACAACACAATTTACCAATTGAGTAAAAATTTGCAACTTTCCTTGTCCAAATCTCGATACTTTTACTCATTTGGTAATTTTTTCTTGTAAAATTGTAGAAAATGTAAAAACAAAGCTTCCATTTTTTTGTTTAACAAAATTCTTAGTCTCTGTTTGTCATCTCTGTAAAGAAGAAGCTTGAACCAAAAGCCTTGCCATCGAAAAAGGAAGAACATGGCTTCTTTTGCTGCATGACATGTGTTAATTATATTTCCAACATGGTTTTATATAATTATCGTTTAATCAGGACCTTGGAATTGATTATTTTTCTATAGTTTTTAAAATATCTGTCTCAGATTCTCCTGCAACTAGGTTTTTATCTATTTCCCGTTGAATTTCTTTGCTAAATTGCTACTAGTATTATTTTGGATTCAAATTTTTTGTCTCTCTTTTCTTATTTAAGAGTTTAATTTCTGTCTTTCTTGATCTTTGATTGGACCCAAATTGCTCAATAAATAATATCCTTTTGTCTTCGTCCTTATTTTTATCATTAACTTCGCTTTCTCTTACGCGTACTAATATCTTGCTTGTCTCTTAATTACCAGATCCCCATCCTATATATCATCCTTGGATTCTGGTTCTTGACTTTGCACAAACAACGGTGGCGAAAAAACGGCAGAGCTTTCGATTTCAAAATTATGGGAAAGATCTTGAAATCTAAGGTACGCTTTCAACAGTCGTTTCTTTTCCTCTTTGTTACTCTTCTTGTGTATCATTCATTTGCTAAAAACGGCTGCGTTTTACAGTCTTCTTGGCCGAGGACCGTCGTCAGGAAGTGGCTAAACCTACGTAGCAGTGCTTACGAATTTCACTCCGATTACCCAGTCAAAGGTGAGTGCATGGTTGCCTCGTGCCGTTTAGGTTCTTTGTCTCTGAACTTCGTGCCGTTTAAGTGTTCTCGTCGACTTACCGGAATGTTTTGTTTTCTTGTTTTTCTTTTTCGTTCTAGGGAAAATGGAGCCGAGGAGGAAAAGCTGCTCCGATGGTGATTACTACATGGTCATGCCGGAAAAGTTTCCAGGTAAAAATGATTATCAATAATACTATAAACAGCACATGGATTTTTTTTTTATAATACTAGTTTTGAGCCATCACAAACGGCGTCGTATTTAATTGTCTGTATACCGTACTTGAATTGAGAGTCTCCGTACAATCTAAGGCTTGGGTCCATTTCTAGCCGTAAGATTAGACATCTGTGTTAAAAACGACGGCAAAATAAACGTTGAAAGGGAACCAAGATTTTCTCTCGAAAACCGTGTTTTAAAAAGGGATTAAATGGGATTAGTTGTAACATCTATCGCCACGTGTAAGGCTATAAGTTAAAAAAAGTCTTCTGTTTTAGGTGTACTTGCTATTCGCAATTCACCAGTTTCTGTTTTATTCATACCTTTGTCTGGTTATAATTTATTTTAATACTACTACGTACGTAATTAATTAATTTGGTTTATGTTTTGTGGTTGAAATAGGTTGGTTGGGACAAGCAAATGGGGATTTAAAACAATCAACCGGTGAACAACATCTGACACGCGTTGATGATAAACTTGATCTCAAGTAATTAAACAATTTCAATGATTAGTGTATATAATTATTTATATAATAGCCATGGTTATTAACTTTGTACTCTTTTGATGATTAGAATGTTCGTCGGGACATGGAACGTGGGAGGGAAGTCGCCACATGAAGGATTAGACTTAAAAGATTGGCTTAAATCTCCCGCCGATGCCGATATTTACGTGCTAGGGTATGCGTTTAATCATATTAGTAATTTTCTCCTACTTTACGACTAATAATTATATAGTACTAAATATCATTACTTTGTGTTGTTTAGGTTTCAAGAAATCGTGCCGTTAAATGCCGGAAACGTACTTGGAGCAGAGGACAATGGCCCTGCGGCTAAGTGGTTGTCTCTTATCCGAAAAGCCTTGAACGACAACAACAACAACACTAATTACTTGTCGCAAAAGGACGTCGAACTTCTTAAAAATCACAGAACCTCCTTTGAACATAAGAAATCATCACAACAGTCCCGTGTCAGCTTCTCAGATCTCCCCGATGAAAACACAATTCCAACCCCTCCTCGAGGCTATTCCCTCGCGGCGAGTAAACAGATGGTCGGGATATTTCTGTGTGTGTGGGTTAGAGATGATCTTCGGAAACGTATTACCAACCTCAAGGTTTCTTGCGTTGGCCGTGGCATCATGGGATATCTTGGAAATAAGGTTAGTCCAAGATTCGCACATAAGAAATGTTTTCTACGTTTTGTAACGCTGATACAAAAATATTTTGAGAAACGTGTATTCTTGATAGCTAACGTACGATGCAACCCTTTTGATTATAGGGCTCGATATCGATCAGCATGTCACTGCATGAGACGAGTCTATGCTTTGTTTGCACGCATCTTACATCTGGAGAAAAAGAAGGTGACGAGGTCCGAAGGAACTTAGATGTGACGGAAATACTAAAGAGAACAAGATTTTCTCGTTCTTCTAAAGATTCTCGACCCGAAACAATAATGGACCATGAGTAAGTCAATGAAATATGTAACGTCAGAAATAGTGAATCATATATACAAGTTTTTATAAAATATGTTTATTAATCGTTTAATTGCGTGGTTGTGTTACAGTAAAGTAATATGGCTCGGAGATCTGAATTATCGGCTAAGAGCAAGCAGTGACGTGCAAGAACAGCTTAGGAATAATAATTGGGAAGCACTTCTTGAGAAAGATCAGGTTAAATAACTTTTCAATTAATTTATATTGGTTGTTTAAGTGCATGAACAGCTTAGGAACTAAAACTTGGTTTCTTTCTTTTCACTTTGCAGCTAAAGATAGAACAAGAAGCTGGTCGAATTTTCAAGGGATGGGAAGAAGGGAAGATTTATTTCGCACCGACGTATAAGTATCTAATAAACTCTGATACTTACGTTGTCCAAACCGAAAAATCAAAGGAAAAACGAAGAACACCGGCTTGGTAAGCATTCATGAATTCTTGAAAATTTGTGATTAAACGTTTAAGCTAGTGAAATATTAGTTTTTCTAACGTTATTATTATCAAAACCATTTATTTTCAGGTGTGATCGAATTTTGTGGAAAGGTGACGGGTTGAAACAACTATGGTACGTGAGAGGAGAGTCGAGATTCTCGGACCACAGACCGGTTCAATCTCTATTTTCGGTTCATATTGATATAACTCATAATCTATTGAACCGGAAAACTAACCAAAACCATCGTCCTAACCCGGTCTTGCCTTACACATGCCACGGGAAAGTCCAGGCTGAGGAGATCTTGTTGCTCACACGTGCACAAAGTTGTATAGACACACAACCTAGACGACTTATATCATCTGCTTCTTGATGATAGTTTCTCTGTTTTTTTTTTCTTTCATAGTTTCGGTTACTTTTTGGATATCTTCATGTTGCCAAAGAAGAGATGACACATGGATTCCTAGGACTCGACAGTGGAGCTTTCAAATTGGCAAACGCAAGACTGTTACATTATTTTAATATTTGGTTTTTTAACTTTTTTTTGTTTCCTTCTTGTTTCCCTATATTAGCTAAATTTTGGAAGAAAAGATAGGGAGCTTTTGGGTTTTAAGTTTAGTTGTTGACTTTTGTGTATAAAAGTAAGTGAAGTATACATACGTTTTTGTTTATAAAAGTTGAATTAAATTATAAGAAAATGTATTATTTATTTTGCTGGCAATTAGACAAACTTCATGATGGGCCCAAATACAAAAGCCCAAATCTCCAATCGTCGTGCAGAGCAGTTTTGGTCTTCGGCTTCCTAATCAGAGAAAAATCAAAAAGTTATAATTCCGAAACGACGCATCGGAAAATTAAAAATCAAACATTTAAATCGCAGTGGTGGTCACACTTCGCCGGAGATATTTCCCGATTGTTCTCTCTCTCTCTCCAGTGAACTTTCGCAAAGACATCGTTGAAAATCTCACTGATCAACAGGTGACTCAATATCGTAGCAGAGTGTATTCGTCTTTGTGTTCTTGTTGCTCTGTTTCGCTTTGACGAATTGCAAGAGTCTGATGAGTTGTTTCTAAAGCTTCTAATGTTTGTTTCGATTATCATATTGAGCTACAATAGCTATATGATTTTATCGTCCGTTTGTCTTTTTGCTATTGTTAAAGTTGAAATCTACTAAAATTTCAGTCCTTTAGGTCTCTGCATTGCTGCTGCAAAGGAACAGTCTTGAAGTTTGCCATACGAAGAAACTTCGGAGCTCAAAACAAGCATTATGGTATGGCTTTGTGTAGTTAAATACTGCAAATGAATAATATACAAGAGGGTCCACAATTCGTTATATTCATTGTTTGTATGCAAATATAAGCTCTAGTGATGATAACATTGTTTCTATCTCTGCGTTTGTATGCAGTCCTTTCCAAATCAAAGTTTTTGGATGGCTAAATGTTCTTCTGGGATACCTACTGACGGAGAGATGGCTTTTGAAAATGCTTCTAAGCGCTCTCCTCAGTGGCTTTTGGATGGCCCTGAGGCTAATCTACCTCCAAACAAGAAACACTCGCCGGAGATTCCTGCCAGCAACTTTTTTTCTGGAGTGTTGAGCTCGAATGTCCCTGCTTGGGGAAACACTTTCTGTTTTCAGTCTGTTCCTGGTCAGTTTACTGAACGGTTATTTGACACTGAAACTACCAGGGAAGTTAACACTGAGAAGGTTATGTTAAGAAGGAATGGGATTGAGGAGACTTACAGTGATCACTCGTTTGCTTTATCAATGTCTCACACACTTGCGGATCCGCAGTCACTGTCAGCAGTTAGCCATGGCTATGGTGGGGTCAGAAAAGTGAAAGTTAGTCAGGTGAAGGATTCTGACAGTCTTGTTCCATCTACAAATGCGTATAGAGTTGATGAGAATTCACTTGCGTTTGGTAAAGAAGAGGAAAATTTTATCTCTGAAAGTTATGAGAAGGAGAATGGCGTCTTTATATCAATGGGCCAACCATATAGTAATGAGAAAAACAGTTTTGGTTCTGATCTTGGTTTTAACAATGTTGACGAGAGTGGTGCATCAAAAGATAGCATCTTTCAAAGAGAGAGAACCTCTGTATGTGGTGATGGTGTATATAACAGGAACAGTAACGTTGTGAAAGAGTCTTGTAGCAAGGGACAGAGTACATTCATATCTTTTGGTGGTTCCAGTGATGATGCAAATAACTCTGGAAGGATCATATCCTTGATGGCTCAATCCACACCTCAGTTATCTAAAACTCCAACTAGCAAAGATTTGTTTGGATCTAGAACCAACAACGGTGTTAACTTCTCTAGTATTGATGTTTCTGTGAAGAAAGAAGAAACAAAAGTATCAAAGAAAGTTCAGAGCAATAATTTTCCTTCGAATGTTAGGAGTTTGCTATCTACTGGTATGCTTGATGGAGTTCCAGTAAAATACATTGCTTGGTCACGCGAGGTAAGCTAATTTCTTTGCGTCTATAAAGACTGCAATCAAGGGATATTGTTGAATAGCTTTTCTTTTCCTTCTTGTTTTTGGTTTTGGTGTTTACAGAAGGAGCTTCATGGTGTTATCAAGGGCTCTGGATATCTCTGTGGATGCGTCTCATGTAATTCCACTAAGGTAAAGCTACATTTTGTTGAGCTACGCAGATTACAAATGAATTCGAACGGTCACGCTGAGAGAAATCTTTTTCTCCAGGTTGTCAATGCATATGAATTTGAACGCCACGCTGGTTGCAAGACTAAGCATCCGAACAATCATATATACTTTGAGAACGGGAAAACAATTTATGGGATAGTTCAAGAGCTCAGAAACACACCTCAGGATATGCTGTTTAGTGTTATCCCAACAATGACTGGCTCGACTATCAACCAGAAATCTTTCCGTTTGTGGAAAGGTAAATAGTTCATGCTATTCTTGACGAGTCAATTTCAATTATCTGTTTGCATGTGTGTTTAGTTTTATACTTATTTGATGTCTTCACATCTTGTGTATCTTCAGAATCCTTTTTAGCTGCTACACGGGAGCTTCAGCGTATTTACGGGAAAAAAGGAGGAAAGCTACTCTGAATGATTCTTGCATACTCATTCTTGGTAAATTCAACCAATGGATTATTAACCCTTTTTCCCTTCCATTGGAGAAAAAGATTATGAGAACAATTTTTACATTATCTTCTTCATTCATCATAAACTAAAGATGAGTCTCTGTAAATATTCACAACTAACCATCCTTCTGTTCTCTATCTTTCCATATTAAATGAAGTTATTTTTCAGTGTTCTCATTGACAATGCTTGAATCTTCAATTTGCTTCTTGGTTTGTTCAGTTTGCTCTTTGTCTGTCGTGAAGGAAACCTGGACTTTGCAGGGTTTACTAGTAATGGTTTGTGAAGTCTGGTTTAGATGTCATGGCACTGTAGGCACTCTACTCATTGAGCTCCACTGCAATCTCTTTTTCTTGTTCCTAGATATTGGTAGAACATTGCCATTACTAAAACAGTTCCTTTTCAGGAGAATTCATATGTATAATACTCTCTACAATATATGGAAACTATCTTGGTGTAGCCAATACACTGCAATGCTCATATTCATTGTGACTGCATGAATTCAATAGTTTTTTTTGCATCTATATTCTTCGTGGACAGTTTTTCTTCCTCCCATGATAGTTAGTGGCAATTCCATTGTACAGTTGCTCAAAAACATAGTGGACAACTGATGAAACTGGTATACGTTCTTGACTCCTCCAAGCGAAACATTTGCGCTTAAACTTTGAAGTTAGACTGTTTCTACCACTGCTCTTTTTTGTTCTCCTTCCTTGCTGATAGTAATGACTTCATGATCAAGACTACCTTCCTCGTTTCTGCTTAGTTCTAGCTTTGGCTGTGCTGATTCATCATCTGTTCGAGGCGTGGAAGGATATAAGTAATCTTTGCCTTTGCCCCATATCACAAGGTATAGTCCTACACATATAACCACCGCACCAAGAACCCTGCCAAAGAATAAAGATCTTTCTTCATCACTCTCTCGATCTTGATGAGCAAAACTTGTGTCTCATGTTAGTGTCTTTGCTTACCTTCCAAGGTACATTTGCTCATCAAAGATGACTGTCGACATAAACGCTACTATGATCATACAGAGAGGACTAAAAGCTGTTACAAACACAGGGCCTCTCGTTTTCATCACCACTCCTCCAATGTAGTAAGCAAGCGCTGAGCACACTACCCCCTGCAATACATTTTACGTTTTAACTTACTGAGAGACAGTCTACACGTCAGTCTCTGAATCACTGGTTTTGGTTAGACATGTCTGAATCTTACACTGTATGTGGCTGTAAGAAGTTTAGTGTCCCAACCAATGTCCCACGCTCCAGAGTTTCCTCTCTCCATCACTAATGCCACAGCTGTTCCTTCTATTGTCCCCATTAAGCATATCCATGCTGTAAGAGATAGCTCGGCTGGGTAAGTCCTCAACGTGAAAGCCTAAAAAACAATCACAAACGTTTATCTCATTGTCACTCATGTTTCTAAAACTGTCCTACTTTTTAAATAAAATAAAAAATAAAAAAATCGGCTTACTTGGAGAATCATGAAACATGCATAGCAGAAACAACCAATTGTGACAAATATTGCGCCTTTGATGGAGCTGTGAATATCTGTCCCATCTGTGTTCTGTTCAGAGGCTCCTTTGGTCCAGAAGAGGTCGAGAGTTGGGCCTTTGACAAGTGTCATGATCATGGCTCCTCCAACTGTAGCCAATGTCCCAATGATCTTAGCGGCGCTTCTTATGCTCCTTAGATTCACTCTTTCAAGACCGAATATATATGCGAGGAGGAAAGTGATTGCGGGTAGGATGTTGTACAGGGCGGTTGCAAATGTAACCGTCGTATGTTTCACTGCAAGATAGTATAAGTTCTGATCGATCACCGGCCTATATTACAAAATACATGAAAGGGAAGCATAAATCAGATTCACGTAAAAAAAATAAAAAGAGAGTGTTATCTTGAAGATAAAGAAAAATAAAATATTACTCGAGTAAACCAAGGAGTGTTATCTTGAAGAATATCATCAGTGTCATCTTTGGTCTCACCTTCCTGTTAAATGATATCATAACCATTAGATTTGATTAAAACGTCGTACCGTCATTTTTCAACTATTAAATTACATAAGCAACAGATTAATGTCTTCATGAAATCTTTAACAAAAAAAAAAGAATGTCTTCATGAAAAAGTTAAATCCTCCGAAGATTTGAAAGTTACATAAGCAACGTTAGTCCCATGAAAAAGGTTAAATCCTCATGAAAAAAGTTAAATCCTCAGAAGATCAGATGAATGTCTTCCTCGTTAAATTGCTGTTCAATAACTTATCATCTGTTAAAAATCATTCACTAATCTTTTGCTTACTTTTAACAATCAATCAAAAAAAGAAAATTACTTTTTGATGAAACATAAAACGTTGAATTACTGTTATCTATTTGAAAAGAGAAACACTAAAAAATGTGAAGTACTCACATTCAATGCATGACGTGTTCAGAAGCCACAGAAAACCAAAGATAAAACCGTTACAAGTCTTTTGTCTTTTTACAACATGGCTGTCCCCTTCTTATGATCTTATCATATAATTTACGTCACAAGTCTCATTCTTTCTTTTTGCTAATTTTAACACACTAAACGTTCAATGACCAACCACAAGTATAATGATCTTTAATGTTTTTAAATAAATAATGTTTTGTAGAATAAAATATTTAGTCATGCAGACTCGATTCCCAATATAGATCAAACTAGCTAGAGCCACGATTCCAATATATATAGAGCATGCTTGTATATATATATATATATATATATATCAAATTTGAGCATGATTGCTGTAAACGTAAAAAAACACTTTTGTTTTTCTGCGTTTGCGTTTACGATTTCTAACATTCTAATTAATTACCTCTATTTTCTTTCTTTTTTGCGTGTAAATGTTCATACGTAAACGCAATGGAAACGCAAGTATAGAGGCACAATCGAGGCATGGATGACATTCTGCTATGATCATACCAAATATTGAATTTTGTTTTAAAAGAAGTTGATATAAAGGAAGATATAGAGAGAGAGTTATACTTGTCGAAATAGAATGCGAAAGGGGTCATAACGATGGTAGCAACAGCGTGACGGTAAACAACAAGGACGTAATTGCTCATGCCTTTGTTTAGCGCAACCTTTGAGAGAATGTCCATCCCTGCGATCCCAACTTGCAACAATATCACTAAAATGAATGGCCTTGCCTTCTCCCTGCAATCCCTCTTCTTTACTTCCTCCATCTTGATAAATTAAGTTATACAATCTCCCTCTCTCTCTCTCTCTCCCTCTCTTTCTCTGTTTTGATTGTATTTTAAAGTAGTATCAATAGATATATGGGCAGGTTTGTTTTGATTGAATTGTTATGGCTGTCTTGGTTATCTCTCTTTGTATAGGGCCAACGATAGATGATGTGATGTGAACAGAGCCCTGCCGAGGTAAATTGATGCCGTAAAAACAGAAATTTTTACTGCAACAAAAGTATAAAAAGTGTCTACGATGATAAAAATTGTCATATGACAAAACAAAATAAAGAAGTAAACACAAAAATAGTTCAAAATGTAATGTAAATTAAAACATGTAATGATGTGATATATGACAAAACTGTAATAGGATGATTAAGAAGTGAATAACAACAAATAAGTAGAATAGATAAAAATAGCAAATTTACTCTAACGAGGAACTTGGTGAGCTCACAAATAAAATAGCAAACTTACCCTAATTTTTTTAATCCCTTGCTTGGTTTTTGTTTCTTTTTCTTCCACGTTTTACTATTTTAGTTTTAAAAATTTATATCATGTCCTCACTTTGTATTGTGATTCTTTAGTAAATTAAAAACTTAAGAATAGAATAAATATTTGATTCTAAGTAATTTTCAAAAGTTTGGGGCCGTAGCCCCATGTTTATTCCACATAACGGTAGGATGTGAACATTATTCTCTATATATAAGGAAACTTATACGTATGCGTATATGTTAGTGTAAATATATATTATAAAAAGAAGAAAATGCGTGTAATGTTATTGTTTTTGTTTGTTATATTTTGAAACAGTTTCATTTTCAGGATAATTCATATGTATACTCTCTGCAATATAGGTATGGAAACAATCTTGGTGTAGCCAATACACTGTAATGCTCATATTCATTGTGACTGCATAAATTCAATAGTTTTTTTTTTGCATCTATATTCTTCGTGGACAGTTTCTTTTTCCTCCCATGGTAGTTAGCAAATCTATTGTACAGTTGCTCAAAAACATAGTGGACAACTGATGGAAACTGGTATACGTTCTTGACTCCTCCAAGCAAAACATTTGCGCCTAAACTATCAAGTTAGACTGTTTCTACAACTGTTCTTCTTTGCTCTCCTTCCTTGCTAATAGTAATGACTTCATGATCAACACTATCATTATCCTTTCTGCTTAGTTCTAGCTTTGGATGTGCTGATTCATCATCTGTTTGCGGCGTGGAAGGATATAAGTAATCTTTGCCTTTTCCCCATATCACAAGGTATAGTCCTGCACATATAACCCCCGCACCAAGAACCCTGCCAAAGAACAAGAACTCTTCAATATTTTTCTTTCGATCTTGATTAGCAAAAGTCATGTCTCATGTTGGTGTCTTTGCTTACCGTCCAAGGTACATCTGCTCAGCAAAGATGACTGTCGACATAATCGCTACTATGATCATGCAGAGAGGACTAAAAGCTGTTACAAACACAGGACCTCTCGTTTTCATCACCACTCCTCCTATGTAGTACGCAAGCGCTGAGCACACTATCCCCTGCATACATTTAACATTCAATGGATTTAACTTACAGAGAAGTAACGTACACGTCAGTCCCTGAATCACTGGTTTAGCTAGATAAGTCTGAATCTTACACTGTATGTGGCTGTAAGAAGTTTAGTGTCCCAACCAATGGCCCACGCTCCAGGGTTTCCTTTCTCCATCACCAATGCCACAGCTGTTCCTTCTATTGTCCCCATTAGACATATCCATGCTGTAAGAGATAGCTCGGCCGGGTAAGTCCTCAACGTGACAGCCTGAAAAAAACAATCACAACCATTAATCTCATTGTCACTAATGTTTCTAAAAGTGTCTTTGTTTTAAAAATAAAATAAAAATCAACTTACTTGGAGAATCATGAAACATGCATAGCTGAAACAACCAATTGTGACCAACACTGCGCCTTTAATGGCACTGTGAATATCGGTCCCAGCTGTGTTCTGTGCAGAGGCTCCTTTGGTCCAGAAGAGGTCAAGAATCGGGCCTTTGACAAGTGTCATGATCATGGCTCCTCCAACTGTGGCCAATGTCCCAATGATCTTACCGGCGCTTCTTATGCACCTTAGCTTCACTCTTTCAAGCCCGAATATGTAGGCGAGGACGAAAGTGATTGCTGGTAAGATGTTGTACATGGCGGTTGCAAATGTCGCCGTCGTGTATTTCATTCCTAGATAGTATAAGTTCTGATCGATGACTGGCCTATATTACAAAATACATTAAAGGAAAGCATAAATCAGATTCAGGTAAAAAATAAAAAAAGATGTGTGAAGAATATTAAATTTATAGAGAGAATAAAAAATTACTCGAGTAAACCAAGGAGTGTTATCTTGAAGAATATCATCAGTGTCATCTTTGGTCTCACCTTCCTGTTAAAATCATAACCATTAAATTACATTAGAACGTCGTAACATTATTTTTCCAACCATTAAATTACTTAAGCAACAACAACAACAATCATTCATTAATCTTTTGCTTTAATTTAACAATTAACCAAAAAAAGAAAATTACTTTTTGATGAAGCATTAAACGTTCAACTAGTGTTATCTTTTTGTAAAGAGAAAAACTAAAAAATGTGAAGTACTCACATTCAATGCATGACGTTAACAGAAGCCACAGAAAACCAAAAATAAAACCGTTACAAGTCTTTTGTCTTTTTACAATATGGATGACCCCTTCTTATCATATAGTTACGTCACAAGTCTCATTCTTTCTTTTTGCTAATTTCAACACACTATACGTCCAAGCACCAACCACAAGTTTTATGATCTTTAATGTTTTGTAGAATACAAGATTTAGTAATGCAGACTCAATTCCCAATACAGATCAAACTAGCTAGAGCCACGATTCCAACATATATAGAGCATGCTTGTTGTAAACGTAATTACGTAAAAACCACGTTATTTTCTGCGTTTGCGTTTACGATTTAGAACATTCTAATTACTTCTCTTTCTTTTTTTGTGTGTGTAAATTTCCATACGTAAACGCAATGCAAAACGCTAGTATAGAGGCACAATCGAGGCATGGATGACATTCTGCTATCAAACCAAATACTGAATTTTGTTTTATAAAAGAAGTTTTTTTGGTAATTTTTTAATAAAAGAAGTTGATAAAGAAGGAAGATATATAGAGAGTTATACTTGTCAAAATAGAAAGCGAACGGGGCCATAACGACGGTAGCAACAGCGTGACGGTAAACAACAAGGACGTAATTGCTCATGCCTTTGTTTAGAACAGCCTTTGAGAGAATATCCATGCCTGCTAAGCCAACTTGCAATAAAATTACTGAAATGAATGGCCTTGCCTTCTCCATACAATCCCTCTTGTTTACTTCTTCCATCTTAAAAACTTAAGATGAACAATCTCCCTCTCCCTCTCTCTCTCTCTCTCTTTCTCTGTTTTGATTGTATTTTAAAGTAGTAAATATGGGGAGGTTTGTTTTGATTAAATTGTTGTGGTTGTCTTGGTTATCTCTCTTTATATAGGGCCAACGATAGATGATGTGATGTGAGCATTATTCTCTATACGGAAACTTATACGTGTATGTTAGTGTAAATATATATTATAAAAAGAAAATGTGTGTAAAATGTTATTGTTTTTGTTTGTTAATATTCTGAGGCAAGTTGCCAAACCCTATACCCTGAAAATATGGGCCCTATTTCTCAACCTTATCAGCTAAAACCACAAAAAAAAAAGATACACACATTTTGTGAATTTTTGGTTTGACATTCACATACCCGAACTAATTAAATAAGATAGTTCTAGTGCTCTGGATTCGCATATTTGATTAAAATCGGACGCACGTTGTATAAATATTCTCTCATTTGATTCATCTTTTTTGTACAATATTAAGAGCTGTTATGATATACTTCAACTCGTGACTTGTCCCAAGCACATTTATAAATGTTCCCAAATATAATTCTGGTTGCCTAACTCCAGGAGATGTGTTGATGCATCGAATTCTTTCGAATATAAATTAGAAATCATCAAAATGATTAGTGAGTCACGATATACTGACACTGTTGGGCAGAGTGATTACTGGTTAGATTTTTGCTTTTTTTTTCTTTATTAAGTTATTCTCTAATTTATCTTTGTTCATGGAATATTTATTGACGTAAGTGCGTATAATTGCCAATATTTTGGGTCCTATGCACTGTTCCCATTTTAGCACTTAGTTTCTGGTGGAATAACTTTCATTATTCTTTGGCATATAATTTTGTTTTGAGAAAAGAGGGATCGGTGCTCTGTCAATAGAACGTTTACATGGTTAAATGTGCTTAAGTACTTTTAAGTATTTTAGTACAAACCTCTAAGCTTAGGGATGTAAAATAATTTAGTCACGAAGATACATCACTTGTTTCTTCACTGGGTTTAAACAGCTCGTTGAAATGAATGGACACTTTCAAAGTTGAGTCAAACCACATGCATACAAACATGCTACTATATGCCGACATATATGTTAATATATTACATAAATTTTATATATATGACGTATACAGAAATATTATATATATGACGTATGCATATGAAACAAATTTTATACACCTGATTATAGTTTCAATTTGACCAAAAACCTTAAACGTCCTTTGTAAGAGCCAATAGGAGACGTGCAAGATAACATTGGGGATTATAAATATACATCTTCTTTCCCTTTTGGGCTGACAAAAGGTAAGATTCCGTGTGGTGCACCGATTTATTTTTTATAAAAGATAAGAGATTGGGGATGAATAAATTGCAATTATTTCGTAGAAAATTTTCTTCATCACTTAAAGGTGAGGTATTATTTTAATACACTTCTCCTTTTCAACCATTTAAATACTTCATAATCATATATATTCAGTGGTCTTACCATAGGCGGATGATGTTAAAATGATGCTAACATTTCTAATGCAAACTCACTTTGTAATTTGGTTTTAATAAATTCACTGTTTCAAAGTAATAGCTCTGATACTAACGCATAATCAAACCTAAAATAGACTGATGCAATATTAATCGATGTACAAATTAAGTCGAAAAAAAACACTAACAAATCCCAAACCCGTCGATCAAAACTTTGGAATGCCCCAATTAGTGGATTTATGTGTAAATGATTTATATTAGACTGTTTTACGAGTTATGAAAGATGGCGATATGTAATGTTAGAATTCCTGTATAATTGGTGTTCCAGTAGTAGGTTTTCAGTCGAATTAGATGGTCATTTCAAATGTATTTTCATGAGTGATAGAAAATCCGGTTTAGTTTAATTCGCCTACCAAAGAATAAAATTAGAGCATATGTAAGTTTTTTTTTTTTTGAAAATTACTAAAACAAGTTAATAAAAATGTTATAATCGTAATGACAAGCCTCAAGGCCCTCAACACGGACATATATTCCAAGAAACAATAATTCATTTTCAAAACTTTTTTAAAAATGGGTTATGTAAACCAAAACAAATCTACAAAAACAAGAGAAAAACTTATTAGGTCGTATAAACAACTTATAAGATTGTAAAATGCAAATGCGAGTTTGTCCACCGAACCATATAATGGCTAAGACAATGACCTATAATATCTTCGAGCTAGATATATATACGTATAATATCTACTAACTAGATGTATAGATATATGTGTGGAGGTACGATACGAAACCGCATATTTTAGGCTGTTTTGAAAGCTCCAAATTGAATGTAAGCATGGAAAGAAAAAGAGAAAGAATGGGATCCATTAATTTATATGGTCAAAGATACAACAACGAAAAGACGTGATGATCGTCGTCTTCTGATCAAGTTTCCCAATTGCTCCTTTTCTTTTAAATTGTTTTGTAATGCTTTCTTTCGCATTATTGTCTATTAATGCTTTTCCCCGCATTATTGTGTGCTAATGCTTTGGCCGGTCCTCATTTTAATACATATGGGCATTGTCTTCTTTTTGAAAAAAATACTTTCTTGTTATCAGAGGTTATACAATAGTTATGAGTTTTAATGTTCTTGTAAGAAAGAAGTTTATGAGCAGCTATGTAGTGGAGTTATATTATATATTTTCTTGATTTCATTAGACAATGAAAATGGATTTGCTCGTAGATCTCTGAATTTTGTATAGATCTCATTAAGTCCATATATGCATGATAAAGTTAAACAGGCCTCCGTTCTCTCACTCCCAAACATCATGGTTGTCGACATTACATTTCCAAAGTTCTCATATCTGGATTTATATCTATATAGGAATTGAGAATAAAGTGAACATGATTGAGGGGCATGCTTTATTGTGATTATACTGGTGTTATTATTAGAGAGTATCAGTATATAGTAGTACTATCTATTAGGGGTCACACGAGTGCGATCGTTTAGCCTTTTTTTTGGTTAATTAACCTTTTCTTTATTAGCCTTTTCCTTAGGTACATAAAGGAATTTTAGAGATGCTAAGATTCAATAATTCAAAGTTTGTTTTGAAATTGAAACATCCGTGAACATTTATATACCACTTTTTTTTTACAGCTTTGTAGTTAATAAACATGTTTCCTTTTCCTAGTTTTCTGTCCACTTGATTTGTATTTTTGTAATTAAAAAAAAAATACAAATCTGTGTTGCATGGAAACTCCGTTCGATATGTGTTTCTCGTTTCGGAAACGTTTTCAAAACGGAAACTCTCTAAAAAATTGTTGGAAACTTTTTTTTTTTCACGTTTTCTAAGCATTTCAGTCTGAGAACGCGATGGAAACTCGTGTTTTCATTTTGGAAACTTGACGGAAATTTATTTCTTGATTTCTGAAAACATAATAAGTAAACAAAACAACTTATAAGATTGAATGGTTAATATACTTATATAGGGTAAATTAATGATTAATTTGATTTAATAGATGAGATCAGTCTTAGAATATTTGAGTATGCAGATTTTTCTCAATGAAATAGACTTATGGAATTTCAGTTGATTGAGTTATAACAATAATATAAAAACATACATTTCCCGTAAGAAGATGGTTTTTATTTTGGAAACATTTTGCTTCCACATATCCGTTTTCATGCAACATAGGTGAAAACATAGTTTAGTTCACTGATTTCCAATTGGATTTTGAGTTACAATAATTATATACCTTAGATTTATAAACCAGTTGATTCAATATATATATATATATATATATATTGCATGAGATGCAGAAAGAAAAGAAACATGTTAAATATATTCATTCTAATTGTAAGAAAAAAAAGTAAATAAAAACTCACATCCTAAATAATAATAAAAAAGCATTAGATTTTTTTTTTGTACCAACAAAAATATTAGATGAGAAGCAGAACTGTGCAGAGTTATGAGATTACTATATCTTAGACTTGAGATAGATGCTAGGCACTAGCTGTGTCAGCTACGAAGTTAATGACTTATGCGATGGTATGCGAGTGTGAGCTTACTCAATCCAGGTTTTTTTGTTTTAATTATCAAGAGAGATCTGTAGAATACTGGTCTACGATATTATTCATAGTTATGTATCTTCTTGTTACGTGAACGAAAACAAACTTGAACGGTTGAACCTAAACGAAAACAATACCAGATCTATCCACAAATCACAATAGATTCAATGCTACTTTGATTTTTTTTTTTTTTTGTAAACCAAAAACAGAGAAACCTAACTAATTATGATTAAACACCTCTTGTTGCACATACAAAAAAAAAAAAAAAAAAAAAAAAAAAAAAAAAAAAAACCTTTTGTTGCGTGGCATATACGAAAACTGTAAATTTGAGCATGAAACTTGTGACACAACCCCAACGTCAAGAAAGTTAAGTCCTGCGTGCTACAGCTTAATTGTCTCTATAGTACTTGGTGATGAGTGTTACTTAATACTATAATCTAAAAGAAGAGGGTGTAGTTTAAATGAAGTTACTAATTAGAAGATGTAGGTAGAATAAAGCAATATTTACAAGTTAAAAAAAGATGAGAGATGGAGAAGATGTGAGAGATATGGAGAACAGATCTAGGTGAAGTAGTTGGCAATTGGTGGAAACATAACTTTGGAATGTGTCTGTCCATAAAAATGGTGTAAATCGACTCAGACACCAGTCTTATCGCCACTTGCAGCTTTATTTATTTGGTGCGTTCTTCATCAGATTTAACTTCCTTATACTTCTCTTCCCTATCCATTATAATCACCACTCATTATCTTCTTTTATTTATTTGTTTAATAGAGAATCAAGAGTTTTAATCATGACACAGAAGATTCTTCATATATTTTTTGTTGCAACACCAATCATGAGAAAAGCTCATTCATAGAACTTTTAAATTATAGATTGCAATTGGTTTATTCGTGTTGTATATTGATCAAATAGAATAAAGAAAAAGGAAATGGATATCGTTTGAAAGTAAATTATGCTCATCTAAATGCTAGTATAAATATTTGGCTTGCTTTATTAATATTGTGTGGAATTAGCGAAAATAAAAGAGAATTAAGAGATGCAAGTAATGAGTCTTTATCTGGGAACTATAAAAGCAGACAATAGGCATCAATTAAACAATGCCTTGTGACAAAAAAGTAAAAGGTGAACCCATTATACATATCTGGAGACCTTCAAATCATTTCCAATCACATACCAAAAGAAGTTTCAACGAATCCTAACCTGTCTTCTCTTTATTGTTACTGAATTAGTACTCATTGATTAGGAATGGTTCTGAAAAATATAGATAGATATATGTCGTCACATTCGATAAGAGTTAGTGAGACGAAACTAGCTATAGAGAGGAATGCAGAAACAACAAATCATAGATAAGAAATACTAATTAGTGAATCATCTTGATTGTTTGTGGCTGCATGAGAAAAGACTAAAATGAATTGTCCATCAGTAATTGTTATCGCAATCCGGCCACATTAATGCATATAGGTAAATGAATTGACATTTTGCTCGTATGTCAACTAACACAATTAAAGAGAGTACACTGAATTTTACTAGTAATCCTACTTTTCTATTGAATATGTTATTTAATTACTACACTCAAACACATAATAATACGTATGGGAAACAATTTTTCTTAGAAATACACTTGTGTTTTGTTCCTACACGAATTGCCATATCTAAGACTAATCGAAACAAAACTAGTTGTGTACAAAATGGTGATGTTCCCTCTCTGGGCCTTCTTGGGAAGGCGCATAGGCCCAAGCTACGGAACGAGGCGTCAGAATGGTAGAGGTCCTAAAATATTCTTAACCGTTCACTTATTTCTGCCATATCATTAGACTATTATAGCTCAAACTCAGTTTCCAATATATTCTCTGTGGTATAGGCATGGAAACAAAAACAATCTTGGTGTAATCAGTAAACTGTAATGATTTTTTTTTTTTTTTTGTATCTATAGGCTATAGCAATTATATACTACAGTTTCTCTGAAACATAGTGATACAATAGATGAAACTACGTATATGAAGACTGTTCCTAACAGATGTTCTCTTTACTTGCTGATAGTAATAATTTCATGATCAACGCTATTTTTCTCGTTTCCACTTAGATCTAGTTTTGGTTGTGTTGTTGATCCAACATCTTTTAGCGGTGTTACGTAATCTTTGCCTTTGCCCCATATCACAAGGTATAATCCTGCACATATAACCCCCGCACCAAGAACCCTGCCAAAAAAGCAAGATTTTTTTCATTATTTACCTTCTAATCTTGATTATTTGACTTTGTGGGTTATCAGTGTCTTTACTTACCTTCCAAGGTACATTTGCTCAGCAAAGATTACTGTCGACATAATCGCTACTATGATCATGCATAGAGGACTAAAAGCTGTTACAAACACAGGACCTCTCGTTTTCATCACAAGTCCTCCAATGTAGTAACCAAGCGCCGAGCACACTATCCCCTGCAATATGGATTTTACGTTTCAAAACGATTTAACTCATTTGGAGAAATAGCCTACAACTCAGTCATTGAGTCAAAATGCTTTCGTGAGAGACATGTCTGAATCTTACACTGTATGTAACTGTAAGTAGTTTGTTGTCCCAACCAATGGCCCATGCGCCAAGATTTCTTCTCTCCATCACTAATGCCACAGCTGCTCCCTCTATTGTCCCCATTAGACATATCCATGCTGTGAGTGTGAGCTCGGCCGGGTAAGTCTTCAAAGTGATCGCCTGAAAAAGACATTTGATAATATCACCAAATCGATCAACAAGTGTATGTGATTTTTTAAATATAATATGTACAGAAATCGCCTTACGTAGAGAATAAAGAAACATGCATAGCTGAAACAGCCAATGGTGACAAATATTGCGCCTTTGATGGAGCTGTGAATATCGGTCCCGGTTGTGTTTTGTGCAGAGGGTCCTTTGGTCCAGAAGAGGTCGAGAGCTGGACCTTTGACAAGTGTCATAACCAAGGTTCCTCCAACTGAAGCCAACGTCCCAACCACCTTAGCCGCGCTCCTTATACTCCGAAGCTTCACTTTTTCGAGCCTGACTATTACGGCGAGGATGAAAGTGACTGCAGGTAGAGTGTTGTACAAGGCAGTTGCAAATGTAGCCGTCGTGTATTTCATTCCCAAACAGAATAAGTTCTGATCGATCACTGGTCTATTATTATATTCACAAAACATATAAACTAATTAGGTTCTTTAAATTTATTAAAAAAAAAAGAAGAAGAAGGAAATGGAAAATAATAAAATATTTACTCAAATAAACCAAGGAGTGTTATCTTGAAGAATATCGTCGGAGTCATCTTCGGTCTCACCCTCCTGGTATAATTACCAAATTACCATATGAGAATTGTTGTCAACGAAGAAAAAAAAAACATATTTGACAATCATCTAATTATTAGAAAATCCAAAATCTAGTAAAAGACGTACTCTGCACAACAGAAACTTGGACTCATTCAAATTAGTTAGGATTTTTTTTTTTCTTGTTGGCAGCAGTCAAATATATTTTGTACACCTACGCTTTTTGCTTAATCATTAAATGTTGAATTCGTGTATCTTTGTGTACAGAGAACCATGCATAAACACTAAAGGCTTTTCACTTTTAACATACGAATGACCAAGCACCACCAATATTAAAAAGAAAAACTCAATACTGTATCATATATAAAGTGATCTTTTTATGTAATTAATATATGATCCGTAGTGATGCAGACTCAATCTCAATATAGATCAAACTACAGTCAACATTGTTTTACACGTAAAAACCACGTTTAACTTTTGTGTTTCCGTTTTTGTGTTAAAGAAACGCAAATATGAAGGAACAATGCTTTGTGAAAGAAGGGAATATAGAGAGTACTTGTCGAAATAGAAAGCGAAAGGGGCCATAACAATGGCAGCAACACCATGACGGTAGACGACAAGGACGTAATTGCTCATGCCTTCGTTTAGGACAGCTTTTGTGAGAATGTCCATTCCTGCTAACCCTACTTGCAACAATACCACTAAAATGAATGGCATTGCCTTCTTCAGACAATCCATCTTCTTTACTTTTTCCATCCTAGTAATTTAAGATCAGAAAACCAAAAAGAAAAACTTAAGATCAATAGTCACTTTCAACACACACACACACACACAAAAAAAAAAAATCAACAGCCTCTGTCTCTCTTTAGATATGTGCGGAGATAAAGTAGTAACAATTTCTTTATTTTCGAATGAGGTGTTATGATAATTATTTTGGTTACTATCTCTCTTTAAATAAGGCTAAATATAGAGAACATGACGTGAACATTCTTCTCTCTATGGAAACTTAAATAAAAATAATAACATTTAAAATGTTTTATCTGCTATGACGTTTACAAAAAATAAAATAATATACCGACTCAAACAATTCGTTGATTATATTTTCTTTTGTCAAAAAAATGTGTAGCTGATTTCTTGTCAAATAGAAATGTCCAATAAATTATTTCGTTTTTTTTCATATGAAATTTTCTCGAATAATTAATTTTTTTAAAAGTTTATCCTTCAAAAATATATACATCTTTTATTTATTATAAATTTAAGTTTTTTTAAGAAGAAAAAACCTCGGACCCATTCAATTGTTTCGTGGGTTTGCCCTCTTGGCCGCCACTGTGTGTCCCTTATCAAAATACATGTGTAATATTGTTTTCTTTGTTTGTTATGCACTTTGAGGGGTTTACCTTATCAACTTATTTACCTTATCAACTTAAAACCACAAAATGGTTAAAGGTTTAAATTTTTTATTTGATCTTTGTCTTCACATTACCGAATTAAAACAATAAAAATTGTTCTAGTAATGTGAATACAAAGATCAAAGTCGCACGCACATTGTATTAATATTCTCTCATTTGATACATTTTCTTGATCCATCAAGTTGTTAGTAACAACGGAGATATGGAAGTCTGGAAGAAAATAGTTGGTTCTTAACTAGTACTCTGTCAATAATAATATATAGTCAATTATCAGTTATGTTCCACCTACAAAATGCATTGTGAACATTATATTATTGACATCAATGCTATGATACAACATCATTTATGAAAATATAAGTTACATCGTTAATAATGCATTTCTTTTTGTCGGAAATTTGAGAATAATTTGTGTGGTTCCACATAAATATATTCCAGTATCGCGAGTGGATATTATTGTGTCTTCCAATTTCTTTCACATTATACTTTTTTAAGATGTTTGAAAAAGTATCTGGCTGTATATGGCATATTAGGCAACTGTGGCTGTATGATAATACTACTATAATATTTACTAACAACAAAAACTATAGAGGCGGTAGTGTAGCCAAAATCAAATTGAATTGTTAAATTAGGATCTTGTTCAACTATTCCAAGAACTTGCCTTGGAAACGTGCTACCTAGCTTAGTTCTGATGCAATTTCTTATGTCATTTTTATAATAATTTCCTTTGTATATTACGTTAAATAGTTAAATACGAGTGCGAGATTAATTAATAGTGATTATAATTTATAAATAAGTTCTAAAAAAATTGGAGCTGGATATTATTTTGTTAGTTTATGGAACCTTTTTAGCATTAATTTAGACAAATCTCATAATGTTATTGCTAAATTTAATTATATAGTCAATTCCGTCTAAAATGGATGAATATTTTTACCTGAATTTACAATAGCCCAAATAAATTCCAAGTAAAACCACCATTTCTTTAGACTTTCTGCATGTCCATGGAGTTTTGAAATATCCAAACATAAATATTCTAATTCCTTTGTTGGATTCGAACTATTTCCCATGTTACCGAATGATATGACTTAAATTAAGGACTAAGAACTGAGTACTGTTTAGCTAAAACAGATCGTCAAAACCTCGTTAGCGAATAAATCGCCCCTAGTATATGGATCTGGAGTTCTGGACATCTGGTCAAGATAAGTTCACTTACTCTCAAGAAAATCCAATATATTTTTACATGGATAAGGTGATTGGTTGACTGGCGGTCGACTTAAAAGAAAAAAAATATCTTTTTTTCCTGAAAAATGCATGTGATCACTAAACTTATTTGCTCACTGAAGATATTTATATATCCCATACGGCATACGCGCAAAAGTTTGAATTTGGAGCTGACATCTTTCTGTGACACGTCACAAGATCACAAAAACATATACGATCACGACAGTTGTGTTCGCCGCCATCTCGAGATGATAAAAAGCACAAGTATGACTCTGAATCTACGACAAAGGAATCCATAGAGAAAATTATCTTGGTTTACTAGAAAGAAGATAAAATGTAAAAGTGACTGTACATGCATAAATAACGATAAGCTTCATCTTAATTATATTTTACGCTGAACGTAAGGGATGACTGTACATGCATAATACAACGTTAAGCTTCATCCAAATAATAT